TATATATACGCAATACGACTTTAGACGCCGTCATTTATCGATAGAGTAGTGTTCACTTAAAGGGGTTGCTATAAAACAACCGCTTAGGTACGAGCACATGAAAAGCACTTTTTATTGATTATCATTTCTGTTGAGAATTGCAGAGATAAAAGGGCACCCCTAACCAAACAAACAAAGAAAAAGTTGACGGTTTTATGATGAAGCACTGGGCTCGTTAAAGGACTTTCACTTCGCTAAGTGTTTCACGTTGATGTCCCGTGAATAACCGTGACATGTCGGGTAGCCACTTTGCAAACATTGCTAAGGACTAAGCTAGTTATTCTGCAGGCCTTGTCTACATTAGGGAAGTGTCCCGTACAAGTAAAATTTACTCATTGTTAAATCGAAAACAGAGGCCGCCAATGTCTTTAACAAACAGTATTTAAAATTGATTTAGAAAAAACATTCCACCACACTGACTTAACACTGCATCGGTGCGGGGGAAAGAGACGCGACTGCATAAAGCATCAGACAAGACACAATGTTACTTTGCTATTTTGATCTCCTACCTGTGACATCTCACTTATTTTTTTATGGGCTAAGATAGGCGAAAAATGTGTAAGTCGACTATATCACTGGGAAGAAAATCTGTGTATCAATAGGCTAAATGCTTGCAGCGGATTCTTATAGCTATCTTATACCCAAAATATTGCTTTGAGGTGTGACAGTTAGCAATATGAATGCTTATTAGTTTAGGGAAAAATGGAAGTTGCACAACTGACTGACCTCAACAGAGCAATGGAATACGGTTCATTATTATGGTAATATAATCGGACAATCGATTCATGATAATTACGTAAATCTCGTTCTCTCATATTATGTGCAGGTTATCAGTTGATTAAACTGAGAAGGTTGTAGCTTAGGAGGCAATTGTGGTGACTTTATAGTTTGATCAGTGACTGGGCAAGTGGTTAAGTATTGTGGGCCGCCTCAAATTTCCGTGCGATAGTACCACGAGGAAAGCCGTACCCGCAGTGTTGTTACCTACCTGAAGGGGACGCTAACTGAATTTACTAAAAATGCGTCTTCGTAAGTTGCCTAAATCGTTTCACATTGAAAACAGCAGGAAGAAAAAGAAGAAAGACCTGAAGAAACCTGCCTCTTCGACCGATGTACATATAATACACAATATAGTTACGCAGAGGAGCGTTTGCGGACAAGAAATTTTAGTTAGCATAGGAAACAAGCTAGATGAGTGCAGAACTCAATGAAAACGCAGCAATAATTTTCATTGGGTTCGTCGATAAGCGGGTCTGCAGTGAGTCATCGTGTTTCCAGCCAGGAACTAAAAGTGAGGGTGATTTTTTTAATTGTTTACTACTAGTGCACATGGACTTATTAATTTACGGGAATTAAGGTAAGCAAACGACAGAAGCAATAATAAGAGGTGTTAACCGTATTTAAATGGAAACAAAAAAATTCGGACTCATATACATTAGATCATATTTGGCGATAAGGGCTCGTTTCTAGAAGCATTGATTAGGTGACGTGACTTAGGTGTCCGATGAAAATTTGTTTGGTAACGTTAGAGAAAATAGAAGGAAAGGGCATCCTGTCAAACATATCCCCCTAGTAATGACTAAATGGAAAGAAACAACTAGTAAAAAACAAGGGAAATCGCTTTCATTGTGACTGGATTACAATGTGACTATTTCAAACACAATAGGGAGAGTAAGGATTGTGACGATTATGCGTTTGTTAAATAATAATTATACCTTCACATGTAAATACAACAAAACAGCTATTATTATTATTATTATGTCTCTGTCCATAGTAACTTTTCACCGAAGGCGTATCTTCAACATCAAGTTTATTCAGCGAACTTTGTCTGCAGTTAGAACAAAATAAAAGTAATAAAGATCTTGAAATTAGGCGAATCCCTGTGTAATAACCCGACCCCTAAAAAAAAAACGTATAATACTGTTTGCGACGACGGCCATAGCACAAGAAGGGCAATAATGATAAGAACATCTGTATCAAAAAATAGCTACGGCTTGCATACAATACTTATTAGTTCGTATTCATGTATAAAACGATGACGAGACATTTTCCTTTTCACTGTAAATAAAAAAATTGGTGTTGATGATGATGTACTCGAGCGCTATATAGTTAGTTGGTTAGTTAATTATTAACAGTTGTCAGGAGGAAATGGCAATGTTAATTTCATAAGGACTGAGAGAACAGCGAGTAAAAAAAAAACAAAGTTAATAAAAAGAAGATACGACGTTGGCATATACTCAAACGAACGAGGAAAACGTGTGAATAAATGTTCCTCCCTGTCTCTAAACAAAACTTTGCTTTGTTTTAAACGGTTTTAGATAGTTTTTATATAATCATTAAATAAAACAGCTGCAAAAATCGGAATCTCAACTTTACTGTTTTGTTATACTCGTTGCAGCATGGACAGTTTATTGAGCTGTTATAGATAGGGTCATGTCAGTTCGGCAGAAAAGGACGTGTGTTCTTAATATCTCGGCAGTATTTTTTCGCACACGGCAGTATAACGCACTTAACGGACTATTTAAGACTATCACAGCTCACACACATTTCAAATGCATACTTTAGTAATTTAGCAAAACGGAGTATCTGGTGTCCTGTCTAAAACGTACCAAACGATTTATATACAACAGTAGCACAACTGGCGATGTCAGCATCCCTTACATCAACGAACTTATAATAGGAGAAATAAAAAAAAAGCTGCCTTACGAAAACAGATCGAGCATAGAAAGTACGGAAATCTACTCGCATACAAGTTTCAGTTATAGAATCTTGGGGCTGTGTAGAAGAGCTCTGCTCATCTGCAATGCATAATTTGCTATAGGAGCCCGAATGCCGATGATGCAACAGCCACAGCAACAGTAGAAACGCGCTACTGTTTAGCAACAAACCTAGCGAAACGCGTCGATGCGTATGTTTGCTACTATTTCATATTCATTTGTATCTAAAGCGGTAAAAGATCAGCTGAAGCAACAATATAAAAAAAAGATTAGAGCATAGATGCATGGAATGATTTTTCATTGCTCAAACGTCGAAAACTACCGGTGTTGACAACGTAATCGTTGTATATACAGCGTCAGTGTGCAATACCAATGTAGTGTACCGAAGAAGATGGTTGGTAGAGGATCTGCAATTCAAGGAACGTCATTTGAGAGCCGTATCTGTTAAAATGTTACGCTCGATTTGTGGTGAGGATCACCTGTCTGACATGATAGAGAAACAGTAAATTTTCCTGAGCTATGACTGTTCGTACGCATTTTTGAATGTTACCATTAAAAGTAATTGTTTTCAGTGTTTCACAGCTACTATTGTTGGCGAATATAAAGTTAACTACCTTATAGGTTGATATTGTATCAGTAACCCAATGCTTGTGTACCAGTATAGTGAACGAAAATTGAACCTCTCTACAAAATCTTTAGGTAGTGGTTAAAATCTGAACTCGACCTACATCTTCAGAACGGAACAATTGGTCACCTCAAAAAATGGGCTGACTTATTCAACAAAAGCTATTTTTGTTGACAACGATTTATACAATTATATAATATATGTGTGGTAAGATCTCGGTTAGCCGAGTTAAAAAATATATGTCTAATTTCTAGTTTCATTCGAGTAGAGCGGCGTGAAATAGTGATTGTTTTTAGGGGACATTTGCTGTCTCAGACGCTAGAGAAACGTGGTTAACGGGTCAAAATGTTCAAATCATGAATATTAGCCTCCCTCTTCCATTGACAGTTGTATCGTAGTGTAATTTTATGCAAGACGTTTATAAACCTACGCTACACAGTGCAATTGAACTGGAAATCAGGGTATCCAACATGTTTATGCGGCTTTAAATATTTTTGTCACAATCAGTGTTTGGGTCTTGGCTGATTGCATTTCGTTGGCTGTTCAGCGTAGTCCTTGAAACACTCACAACGTAATGTCGTGAATAAACTTATTGCCCGAAAATTTTTTTCCGTAACCTATGGCACTTTCCGATAAACGCAGGGAAATAATAATAATGTTTAATTTCGCATCGTTGCAAAATAATCGCAGTGCCAAGCCGTAGTGTGATTAACGGAATAAAGTTCTATAGGGAGAAAGCTTATGGTAGTAATGGCATGAACTGACACACAGATAAAAATCGTATGTGGAAACTACGCGGCCGCGTTAGCATAACCCGGTAGAGGTTTTACAGCAAAAGCTATTCACAGTCAAACAGTTCGCGCATTTATTATACAAAAATTACAAAATTGGCCCGCTACCGTACTGCCGGAATTAACATCGAATAGCTGCTTTTCTCTAGTTTTCTTCGAGGTTTTGGTAGAGTTTCTCGAGGGTGTTCGACAACTCGAAGTACAACCCATTGCTACTACTAAACGTATCAATTCCACAAAGATGGAATGAAAGCTTTTATTGTTTCTTCATTTCGCAGAGTATGGTTACTTCACTGTTTTGCACGCTTTATTCAAGCCGTCTTTGTAGCATTACTGATACGATATAAGGACTGAGACCTTTCCTGAAAAGAAATCGCAAGTGACAGCGATATATCAAACAGCAGTTATCACTGGTATACACGTATGTAGCGTATGGGTGTAGTAACCCAACATAACGATACCTTGCGAACACCTGGGTTATAGTTCGATGAAAGACCAAGTTATTGGAGTTTCTGTATGGATCGTCCACCTTCCTACTGCCCATTAGCGCAAGCGACTGGCTGGATTAGGCGAGAACATAAACGTGTGCTGGGCTTCTTGTGTACGCACTAACTGCCTCGCGGCAGAATTTGTCCGTAGTCTTTCATCTTTGGACAGCGTCGTTCCACTGGCAAGAACCGACAGCAACAACAACAACGGTTAGAACAAAACAAGCAAGTAAAGCCAAAGAGGCACGTAAAAGACTATGGCTTTTCTGCGCAGGACACCAACGATGACTGGCCATTAACCTCAATTCCGATGTGAAAACGATCGATTCCAGTGCGCTTTGGCTCCAGCCAACTCACCAATTTATCGCCACCAATTCCATCCAGTGATTCTGCTACTTCTTCTGCGACTTGTATCGACGCGGACAATAATTTTGCTGTCATAGCGCGGTAGGAAACTGCGCTTTGCTATACCGCTACGAACGCGCTGCGCTCCTTGTGTATCACTGTTTTTTTTAAGTATAGATGTACTACTGCTGCTGCGCCGATGCAGCCGGCATTGACTTGATGTTTGCTCTTCGACGTTTCTACCGCTGTTGCAGCTGCTGCTGCTACTGACTACCAACTTGAATGAGTGGAATAATGCAACGGCGATGGACCCTAGTGCTGGACCCGTGGCTGCTCTCGTGTCTTCGTCGACGAACCCCCCTTCTTCTCGATGCGTTGTTACCTGCGTTCCCCTCGAAAAATATTGACGAATGGCGACGACTGTACCAACCATCATGGGACGATGACGCTCAAATCGGCGATGCCAATGTCGGCGGCGGTGTTGGTAATGCTACTGTAGCAGAAGCTGAAAGTGCCCGGCAACGCCGCTCCGAACGTAATTTCGCTTTAGCGTCGCTCCTGTGTCGGCTTCCCCGGCAAAAGGAGGCGACATTGTGTCACCACACTGTATTGTAATATTATCAATGATAACAGTTTTTGTTTGAAACGCCTCTTGCTTTCGGGTGGCAGTCAAACGACTCTCGATCGCCTTTGACTTTTTGTCATGCCACAGACACCTCCTCTATAACGGTACCTGGAGAGAGGCGGATAAATAGTCTCAATCCGTTGCTCCGTAGAGCTTCATACCTTTGGTGTAATAAGTAATATATAGCTACAATGGAGATGTCAACAACAGCAAAAAGAGCCGGTTTTGCTGCTGCCGCTGCGGCACGTTGCAGCGGTCGCTTCCACGCTGCTATTACTATGTGAGCATTGTAAATGTGTATATATCACATTTAGCAGTAGTTATGATAATGGCGGCGAAAAAACACACCGTCGAGGAGTATTGGCAGGCATATGCTATAATTTTTTCGAACACATCTCAACTATTGCACAAATACATGCCCTGAACAGGCATAATCTGCCCAGAGATAAGCGGGCTCGTCTGTCATTAAGCACTTTGGTCTTCGGTTACAAGATGGCATGATGTAATGTAATTATAGTCTAAGTTATGTTCACTGAAGACAATTAAATCTACCGAGATAAGGTAGTACAAACAGTAAAAAACATCGTACAAAGGAGGAGATTTACCGAGAATTAGTAAGAATGCCGGTTCTATCTCAGTAGGTACACCGCACTTTCAAGCCCGCCTGTAAAGGCCGCGACTATATTCCACGTGAAACAGCTTATTTGCGCAATTCTGCAGTACTGGCTTACAACCTACTCATGAATCAAACTTACAAAGAAAGCGCCGTGATTACAGTTAGCTCAATTTCGGTAGAATGCTTGGTCCTTATGGACTAACTAAGGCTTCCTCGGCCACGAAGTTGGTGTACGCACAGCTAAGTCTTAGCAACGGTGATTCGGCCAGAGTTTAGCAACTTTAAACAAGCTTAGTAAGATATTTGCTATCATGTAGGTATATCTCTCTTCAATCTAAGTCAACATTAATTGTTTTTCTCATTTATTTGGATCGGCAACGAACGCTGTGTCCAATTCCATGAATAAGGGCAGATGCTGAATTGCGGCACTAATAATCATGCAAATTAGAAATGATACGATTGGCTATCTGTATGTGTACGTAATGGCTATACCCTCGCAATTGGGACATTCACTTCGAAGAAACCAAAACTAGTCCAGCATACCTTAGAAGTCCTTTTCATTTCTACATAGGAACTTACGCAGAAAAATCTGCGCAGATCCAGTTTTGTCTTTCAGACATTGCCACGGGGTCGCGTACCGATAGCCATCGGACTTCATGTGAAACAAATGAACGTACAATCCGAATCAGTCCCTGGCTAACGACATCGACTGCGTTGACGATGCTTCCGATTGCCCGGCCAATCTCGGCCAAGGTAACCTGCCAAGACAATAAGCATCGTTTAACATTTCTGAAAATAAGTACAACATATATAAACCAGGGCAGGTCAGAGACTTGCTTGCTATTTGATTGAAAATCAGTACATAAGGTCATAATAAGTAAGGCATTACTCTTATAGTAATAGAACTTCCGAATTCATCAGAGGTAAGAGCTCATGGTGTAAAATAGTAGCACTGACGAATAATCAAGAGACTTTCTAACGCATCTCAAACGCATTGCATGTTTCTTGTTAATCATTAATCTCCATGACTCGGATAGCCACAGCCTGCGTATATCTTTAGGGCTTTCCAAACATTGCCAGTTTTGTTCGTCCTAATTTGTCCACTGTCGTTGAAATTCTTCAAATCTCCAAGCGACATTCTCAAGAAGAAAATATGGGCTCATTCATACAGTGTGAACTTGAGATCTGGACCATTTAACAGGTCCTCTTTTCTATAATAATTTCAAAAGGTTTGTGCTACTCTAGAACATGGTCCGTTTTTCTAAGCTCTTGGCCTGCAATCAGACCAACACATCTAACCTGTCATTTGTTCTCTCCCATCGAGAAGCATAATGAACTAGAATTTCTAGGCAGCTTTATCAACTACAAGAAGAGGCTACCTTCTGCATCACCACGAGGAAGCTAAATAAAGGTGAACACTTAATAGATTCTCAGGGTGTATATTAGCATAACGGGTATCCAGCTGAGCGCCTCGAAACCAATTCAGTAGGAAAAAAGAGGCCAAATCGGAGATAAATAGAAATGCATGCAAAATACAACGTAGCATGCTTCAAAAACAAATGCAACATGTACCTTTTAAGTTTCATGCTGCCATTCTTAGCTAACTTCTTCTCAAGGCCAAGCCGAATTCGATCCCTTTTCTGTTCACTCCATACATTATGACATGCGCATTCTTTTTCATCATTCTTTCGTGGGAGGTTCCTTCTTCCTTTTCGACCGCTCATTTTCTGACGAATGAATGTCATTGTTCCAATGCGAAACACTTGGTTTCGGTCGCCTGATCGTCTCTGTTTGGCTGCAGTAGCTAGCCATGACGATGACGATGGGCGAAAGCTTCTGAACTGTCGCATCCGCCCTCGCAGCCCTCGTGGCATCTTGCTTTATCCATCACTTCTTTCTTATTGACGCCTGTTGTTGCTGCTCTTCTTCTTCTTCCTATTATTATTATTATTATTATTACAATTCACTGTTCTGGCTAGCGTAGAGTTTCCTCGTCGCAGGTTTAGGCGTGCGCGTGACGCTTGGGCCGAAGTCGCCGTCAACCAGTCTGCGGTATGCCTTTATCTTTAGTCCTGTCTATCTTGGTTGTCTAGTAGCTGCTTGAGCTACGTGCGAGGCATATTAATGTTGTTATCATTGCAGCATCAAAGAGTCGGCTCATCAACGAAGCTGATGAACAGATCCGCGGGCGCCAGTAAACCTCCTCCACCCCGCAAGCACTTCGGGTAAACACGCACGCGATGGCACAAGGGTATGCTGCTGGTTTACGAACCGCGGTCCGTTCTAGCCGCGCTTCACTACCCTCTCCGACCGAAGACTATCGCTGCTGATGCTGTCGTTCAGCGTTTTCAGAACGGCGGGCTCTGCGCCAAGGGGGTCTATCATACTACACATTCTGGTCTACACACGAGTCACCCGCGCTGTATCCAGACACTGTACGAAAGAATAAAGAGGAATATATGGACACCATACTCACAAATGCCTTAAGACATCTCTTCCGAAGAGACCCAAGCAACAACTGCATCGACAAACTGCTTCTAGAAGACACTTATCAGTCAATAATTTCTTAGCTTTAGCTACGACCTCATAATGGACCTAGCAGTTCGTGGCCTTGCGGTGAATAGTGTGCATTAATCTACTTCTAAAAGCCTAATTGGCTACTTGTGTGAGGAAAACTTCGTAATCAGGTCTTTCTCCTTGTCGACTCGGTTCTCACTCAGTGAGCGGCACAAATTTAAACGAATTGGTGATCAGCTTCTTGCCAGGGCTGGTCATCCTCCTGAGGCTGAGCTGCGCGAACCGGAAACTGAAGGAAGGTTGTACTTGTCATGTGTTTCTCAGCGTCCTCAACCCCTAAAGACTACTTCTGTCGACCGGTAATCTTGAAGTGATGTTCCTAGTCTTTTCCTGTCGTGCTATGAAACGTTCGTGATAATTCGAATGGATAATTTTAGTGTATCGAAGTTGACAAGTAAACTAAATGGAGCTTTTGGGATGGTGCGACTTATACGAGAGATCTTTGGCTCTGTATTGTGATGTCATGCATTTAAAAGGCTGCTTTAATTAACGGCAGACGATAGAGCCGACTGATAGAGAAGTTCGTGTTCAAAGCAAGTTAACTTCGTCAATCTAGTCAATGCTAAGTTGTTTTCGTATTGTACGGCTTTAGTATATAACTTTACCAATAAGACCATTACAAGTGAGTTGGTTAAGAAACCTTTTTATTATGAAATTTTTCGCTATAAAGATCCGGGTCTCTTGCTGGCTAAAAATGGGCATCAGTCGTCCATAAATGAGTTAATAAGATTATGACTGTTCAAAAGAAATGAAACTGTTACTGGTACAGGCTCGCACGCATGTTGAATATGTTGCTCTTAATTAGATTAACAATAGGCAATGGGGCAAATCAGGACACAGACGTAAATATAATTAGGATTGAAACGTGTCTGTGTCCGGTAATAACCTGATGCAACTACAGTAGTGATAAAAGCCTTCACAAAACTGGCAGACGTATGACTGGCGTAAATCAAATAGATGCAACTCCTCGAAGGCGCAACGTATTCTCTTCAAACAATGATCTAATTGTGCGAAATTTACTTCAACACCAATGGTTTAAACTGCCGTTCGCAACATGACTAGGCTGAAACAGTATTAAACAAAGTGAAAGCGAATGTGTGAACAATGTTCGTCTTCATTTTGAACCAGGGTGATATGATTCCACGTTGTTTTACGTCACTTCTCGGTAAGCTCGAAGCTGAAAGCTCGACACGTTCCGTAAATACTATTAAATGCCAGGGCACACGGTACGTCTCTGCTAAGATAGTTCCAAATCAATCTTTTTTATACAAACATATATGATACTGATTTATCGCCCTAAAATTGTCATGCGAATACATACCTTCTTTGATGAAGCGTCACAGTTATCCGCGCCAGCAAATATATGTACATAACTTGCTAACTTTCTACATAAATGCAAGTGCCTAGTCGTAAATGATAGGCGTGAGATCCGTTGTTAGATTCCGGGCCTCCCAGAACCGTGGATACATGCCAGCTGTTGCTTCTACCACTATCCTTGTTTGTAATATATGGGAAAAGTCGAACTGTAATACAAAGATTTATGTAATTACAAATTAAATATCTGACCTGATTGTGAATGGAAATAAACAGAGCAAACAAAAAGTAAATAGTGTTGCTCTGGTCATTGCCGCGGAATTATGTTCTTCGGTGTGCGCTAGGGGTTATTCCATAGCAAAAAAAAAAAAACAGTTAAAATATGCCTTGATGAAGCTCGCCTTCGTCGGGCAGTTGTAGCCTAACATGCACTTTGGCATTGTGGAACAATTAATTATAGCAAATACGGCTTAATACTGCAATGAGCCAAAATAAACTTAAACGGAAGCGATCTCGATCCGAATCAGCACAGCGGTCCTGTCAAAACCCAAAGGCGATCTCCAGCAAATTCTCGTATGATGCATTTTTATTCGATTAGACATGTTACTCATTATTTCCATTTCCAGACTCTGTTGAACCGCTTAAATCTCCTACATGTCATTTTGAATTTCTACGTTGCGTTTTGCTCTTCTTCGAATTGTACGGCTGCCATAGACATTGCCGCGCCGACCTCAAACTGCCACCGCGTCTGTACAATAGTCTGATTTTTTTTTAATTTTACGTTATTGAACGATTACCGCTTGGCCATGCAACGAATAAAACCGAAATAATCGAACCCCTTAAAAAAGACCGGTCAAAGGTTGTGAAATAACGCCTATGCGAAAAGGCAATAAACATGACAAAGAATAGGTTACAAAAATGAAAAATTGGATGAACGTGCACTAAGCGAGTGTTTCGGTAAAAAGGACATTGCTAAACATGATTATTACCATCATTTAGAAGCGAGCTCATGCTATCGGGGTGACGCAATTCTAGAAAATCAGGATGCTGCTGTCAACTGGCCGCTCGCAACATTTCTGTTAGAACAGCCGTATATTTTGACTACAGCGGAAAGTAGAATGTAGAAAACTACATTCGTTAGTAGATTCAAATTATACTCGTTACGTTAGCATCTGGCGTCAGTAGGAAAATTCGTGTTGCAAGTAGAGCAGCACCCTGTTGCATGTAGATATCTAAGCTGTTTCTTCAGATGCCATCATAAAATCTCACAGGTGTGTACAAACTGTTCAAGAAAAATTTGTAAGTTCCGAGTTGTGCAGATAACAGCAATGTACATTTCTATTTATTTTACTTAAAACATGAGCTTCCTCAGCCAGACGTCTCACGTACGTTCGGTCTACACTTAGAAATGAAGGCTTATTTATATCGTTTCAGTTGACTTCGCGATGCGCTTGAATGGGTGTACCAATGATTTTTACCGAAGACTGTACATATGAGCTGCACAGGTAAACCCGCTGCGCAGTTGTTAACAACCCTACCTATCGACTGTGTCGCTTTGCATATTTGGCTAGCGTTGAGTTGTGACCAACGGCAAAACAAGTTATCACGGAGTAGTTGGCTTAGGATGGCGACCGCGAGAAAAATACGATTTCAAAAAACCTTGACCTAGTTTGGGTAACTTTAACGAAGCGGACCGGGCATACCTGTGTTGAGCTCTTTTCACCATGTGCCTAGCCAGCCGATAGCTTAGAGGTCACACATGCATAAATAGAATTGAATAAGATATTATTGGTGTTAACACTTTACCTGACAGCGCTTAAGAATGGTTCCCAACACAGAAATAATTTGTTTGAAACCTTCTCATAACCTTTAGAGTTGCAATTTGGGCAAAGCTGCTCCAGTTCAACGTTGCGCCTGGCTCTAAGCTAATGGCTATCGGAGTCGTTCCACACGTACTGCACCGGTGAGTCAAACTGAGTGACTATGAGTGTAGTCTAATACTTTCCATTACGGCACCAACAGGGTCTTTCGGTGTTGTTAAAAATGTGCGAAAAGTGTGCTAAGATGATCGTTTAAGGAAAAACTACATTTAATAATTACGTTAGTTCAGTAAGCACATCTTCTAGCTAGTAGTTTCTACTTTCGTATAAACAAACGCTTGACTGTAGAGTCAGTCTGTTTTACGATTCGTTCATTGCTGCCCATAAATAATGACGAAACGGCTTCATTAAATTTTAGGACAAATCGAGCTTGTGATTTTTCGATAGTATGAATCCCAGACATCGACTTAAGTTTGTTTGCAAGTTATTAACATGATATCGTTACATTGATAATAACACGATGCAATATGTAGTAATAACTGTACTGTATTCGATATTAGACCGGAACTCGAAACAGTATCTTTAAATAACAGAACTGTTTGACTACTGCTTCATATACAACTCAGTAGGACCACAATCCTGTTCATCTGCGAAAAAGGGCATTGTCTTGTGTTGCCTGTATTGAGCGAAGACCTATTGGACTCAGTCGTTCAATTTGATCACTGACCTAAGCTTACGTAGGACCTAAGATAATGGTGACAGCTGTGCAACTAGCGCTATTGCTGACGAAGACCTTGACGCGGTTCCAAATTATAACCTGAGTAGCCGTCGTCTAAATGCGCTTCGACTACTTTTTACATATGTGTGGACGCAGTGGTGTGTATGCCGTACAAAATACCGTACGGGCACCGTACGAATTTTTTTTTAATTGTGCTATATGTGTACACTCAATGGATTATTCAGATTTCGTTTTTGTTAACACGGGCGATGGGCACTTGTAAAAAAGTTCTCAATAATATTAATTTTCGAACAAAATAAATCAATGTCCTTGTTGCCACATGGGGAATGGGAGCTACTATACTCGACCAACGTTTCACTACGCAATAAATAACAGAATAACCGATACTTTCATATTGATATTGTATAGTTGTGGAATATTACGACTTTATGTGCAACTAATTGGTTCTTCCTGCTTGTATTTCGGCATATATATATGTATATATGTGATGACAAAGAACAAACGGGCCGTCGCCGATCGAGCATAATTGAACTATGTGGAGATTTGTGCAAAGGAAATTAATTAACTTGAAATCTTAGCCATTGGCCACATGTTTGTCAGACCCTCCAGTATTCTTGAGTACCCACTCTCGAATTTTATGTGAAAATAACCAATATAGGTCATATTGTGGCGCACAAAAACGTTTGTAACCTCAGCATTTTCTCGTCTAATCCAGACAATTTAAAGCAAAGTAACGAAAAGCGTTAAGAGTAGCATCAAATTCATTTTGAACGTGCACTTTTCTCGGAATGACGATGGTCTATTGACCTGAGTGAATCGCAGTGTAAAAAGATGTAAATGGGATCCTAAAATTTGAGTTTATTTTCAACTAATCTGTTGCCCTGATATTTCATTTCGTCCCCCCAGGCAATCTCGAGCTGTGTAGTGTCTATTGCGTTGTGAATAATGTCACCCACCATGTGCGCAAGTATAATGGTCTACGTTGGTGCTGCAGCGACCTTTGCGCTCCTATTGACAAATCCCTATGGGACAGTAGCTTCTGGTGAAAAGTTCCTACCTTCATTTCGCAACTACAACGGAAATACTCCGAAAAACGGTTCCTCAGCGGCGGCCACCGCTGGATGGCTTCCGTGGGGTGATACAGCAGTATACGCGTATGGGCTGAGCGTCGCCGAGCTGAAGACCTCACCCAACGATGGAAGCGTGGTTGAGTGTAAACTCACTGAATTGCAGTAAGTCGAATAACAGTTCACCTTTGCTATTGGAGAATTTCGAAACAAGCGTTTTCTTAATACTAATTTCATTCTAACCATTGTACTTGTGAGCTTAATGCTACCTTACACAAACACGTCAGTGTTTGATTAGAGCTGAATGTTAAGTGCAGAGATTCTGCTCTGTTTACCGGAACCTGTTGATTTTTTCGTCGTATTGTACGTTAATTCTGTCTCAATACTCAATGTGCTGCAGAGACCCTATCGAATGCGACACGCTTGTAAAGAAAATTGGCCGACCCGTTGTCAATGTTTGTTTCCATCGGATGATGGAGATTATCGCCGCTTGTCGCGCCCTTGTACAAACCACTAAGGTATCTATTAGTATGACTTTATTTGTACGCAAAGCGATTAAAACGTTTATTCAAAATGTAACGGTACCGTGTACTAGGTAATGAATATCTGCTGTATACTATTGCAATAATATCGTTGCGGTTGTTGCCAGGGACCTTCGTTGCCATTAAACGTTCATCAGTTTCTTTTCTGGAATCAGGTCTGGAATGGGATATTTCCAGGTAAGTAATTGTTTATAGCTTACTTGCTAAGAAAAGGTTCTAGTTTTGGAGAACGTCGGTGTGTATAACGCATGTAGGTGTCCCTGATTATAACAATGTTTGCTCACACGAACCTCGTCGTTGCTTCGATAAAAATCACAGTCACAGGAGACACCTCTTGGTCAAGTGCAGACGTAAATAGTACGTTGTTGTTTTTAACTCAGCATGGTGAGAACTACCGGTCAAGTAGCTCCAGCTTCGAGTCATTTTCAAGTAAAAGAGACGTAATTCATGCCTATTTCTCCTATTAGAAACTGTTAGTCATGCATAATCAGCTAAATCGTGGTTTCCACATTGCAAATGTATCAACTGGCGCCGTCTTTCAAGCGCATACTGATAAGAGAACAATACTTTTGAACGTATTTATAGAGCGTTTTTTGTGTGAATCAAATACGACACTGAGATACAACGATTTGATTGTTCATATTGAAAACCAAAACTCGATTTATGGCCAGTAATGAATTTTTTCTCCTACGCAGGAACAAAATGGTGTGGTTCCGGTGATATGGCAGGGGGCTACCACGACCTCGGGGCTGACGTTGCCCTCGACAGGTGCTGTCGAGCTCACGATCACTGTCCCGTTAAATTGAAAGCGTTCAGAAGGTAGCTCTATGATTATTCGCAGGCAGAGAGTTTCCTTTAAGTTAATGAAGACAATCCACACGCCTAAGATTATCGCGTTATTATTAGCTGGCTGTTGCTTGGATTGAAAAATAGAAAAGTTGTACCAAACGATCAACTAATCGATGTATCTCGCTCTTAAAACGCTAAAATATCAAGCACAAATTTCCAGAATCATGTGTTATCTAAAGAGTAACTATTCGTCTTTGTAATTTTCACATTGTTATATTTAATGCTTATATTGGATCTTGATTATAATCGTATTCAATTTGAAACGCTCATTCGAATTGATCGTAACAATATTTACTATTCTATTAGAGTAAATGGCCCACCTAAATTCCCTCTGTTAATTCGTGGTGTCTGTCTATTACATGCCAGGGGGCATGGTCTAGTGAACTTTTCACTGTATACGAAGTCACACTGCGCGTGTGATAACGATTTCCGCAACTGTCTCATGGACTCGCAGTCGCACAGTGCATCCGCTATCGGTAATATGTACTTCAACGTGCTTCGGGTACCCTGTCTCCAGGAGGTCGACGAGTCGAGATCGTTTTGCAAAAGGTTTGTAGCTATTTGCGCGTCTATGTAGTTACTTTCTTTAGCTTTGGTTTCATTACCACCATTTAACACCTTTTAAGTTTTTGCCACATTTAAGCTAAACACCATTAATGAAAGGAATTAGTAACCATTCCAGCGCAACAGGTAACATCACCACTGAAGTGTTAGAAGTGTATAGTCAAGTAGGTAAAGCATGAAACAATCAAAATAGGAGCCGTCACAATCGTTACGCTACTATGTTTCAGTGAATCAGGTGTAGTATCAAAGGAATGCCTAAACGAAGACCAAAGAACCGTACAAATGAAGTTTATCAGCGCAGGCGGTTTTCCGCTATCAGGACTTAACGTACAGTCGACAATCGTTAGTACCTCCACTAAAGGCGGCAGTGATCTTGCCAATGAAGATTCCCGGCAGGTCTGAAGGCATAAGAGAATTTGCCATGACAAGCATAAGCGACGTCCTTTGCGCTATTTTGACAACGGATGTACATACGATTGTACATATCGACACAATTAGGGGTAACTAATTATTCGTTTGCATGTAAAAAACGTTTTTCTATATATCACCGAGTGCGCGTATCCATTTGGTTTGTGCTTTTTGCGGGTCGCTGAATTATAACATCAACATACAGCTGTCACTAAATCTACTGCCCGAAGAATGCTATGTCTGTTTAATAGCTAATTTTATAGTGATGTAGAAGGCTGAACTATTGTGACGAGGGCGTGCTTTTTCATCAACTAATAAACTTATTTAGATTAGACATGTTACTAAACAGATACACATATGTAAGACAACTTTCGTCGCCGTATCGGGTGCCTATATTTGACATGTGTCTGTACGTATTAAACTTCTTGGTGGCAGGCCTTTCAAGAGAACTTTTGGTAAACCAAGATAAAAGCTAGAAATTGATGTTAGTTCTATGGTGAAATCTAGTCACACCTGTACATAGTACATCGATCAATACAGATCATAGAGATTTAATAAGAGCGTCTGAACCTTACTTTACCTTCAATACCAATGAACAACAATTAATTTGCTATATCACTATAGAAATAGTTAAACTTAAAGAAGTTTAACTATTTCTAACCTAACCTATATATATAACCTAATAAGCGGTAGGCCGCTTGGAGTCTTCTACATTATACAGCACGATATACAAAAAATAAAGCTCAAAAAACACATTGGCAATGTTAGTTTTTAATTAGCGCAGTAAAACAATGGAGCATTTACTTTCTGATCTATTATCTGTTAGCCAAATCTAGGACACATAACAGGTACACACACACAGCTATGCAGTCACGCAGGCACAAACGCAGCTACGTAAATACAGTGCCATCAGCTTTAATGAGCGACCCTTCTAACGGGTTGTTTCAGCGGCACATTTTACATGTGCGCGAAAAATGTCCCTCCTAATAGCCGGGTTTGCCCCACAGAGTTTCCGTTCCTAGCTACAATGAGTGACCCAAGTCACTCTTTACTTTTCCTTTAATCCGCAATTCATTTTTTCGCTGCAACTATACGCCAAGCGGTACCACACAACTGTAGACTTATAAAACGCCACTTGAAAACGATCAATAAAAAAGTCCAGCAAACTAAAATGTCGGCCTGATAGTAGGTCAGTAATCTAATGATACAATCCCAAAAAACTCTGCGCTCGACTATTCTAAAGAGACTACGCCTAGAGCTTGTATGAACAACGCAGTTAACTATATATATTCTCCTCTCCAAAGTAGCAGCTATTTCTAAACTGAAATTTGGAATTACCAAAAACAGCTTTCTGCGACATTTTAGAGAATTTTGAGATATTATCATTCTATTTTCTGTTAACAATCGACCATTTTTCTTCCAAAAAGTCTCTTTCGATTTTTTTTTCTGAAGCAGCACGGAAATTCGCGCATAAATCATCGATACCAAGCCCTTATTCAGCGTGAAGGTATTCGACGATTCTTGACCCTGGCTCATATTCCTTCTTGCTCTTGCTATGATGAGTTTGTGGTTTTGTGCGAGAAAGTACAGCATTTCTCCTAATATCAAAAATACCGAATAGCGAACAGCCCGGCAAGGTTACACCTAATTTAAGATGCGGCATGCGCACACATATAAAGTAAAGCATTCAAACTCGGACAGGCCTTGTCGAGCTATCTGGCAGAGAGGGCATTTGTTCATCCTCTATTTCTGGCCATAAAAAAGCCAATTCCTTTTAGAACAAAGCAATAAACAAATCAAGACGGAAAACAGCGCGTCCTTGTCGGCATTTAAATCAAGATCAGCTCAATTTCTCAATTCATTTCTAGTTAATGTTTTAGAGTCTTCAAATACTCCTCAGAACCTAGGAACGCCTTAAGCGTGACAAGGTCGTCGCACAGACCTAGAATCGAATGTTTGAAGTAGACTGCCGGGTATAGAATTCGACGAGGCGTGGAAAAGACAAGCGTAACGATGCCAATAACTTGACTAAATGATTGATTCTCTGCTTGAGAAAGACACCTTCGGTCCTTCAGCGGAATTCGTTTTAGAGAATATTACTTGCTAAGTAATTTTACAACAGGTATGATGTAGTCAATTGTAGACGACAGCAGGGATGAAGAATAAAATAATTATTTATTTTAAACACATAAATACAGCGCTAATTATTATATATTACAGATAATTCCAACACAGGCTTCTCATGTATCGCGTTACTCTTTTTTTACCATGCTTCATAACTATTTATGTGAAAATGCAATTTCTTCAAGATGTGATAAAATCTTGCTAAAGTCGACGAAATGTTTTCCTGCATTCAGCGTCATTGTTTGCAGTATTTAAAAAATTATTTAACATTTGTTTATATTTAAGTATGACAACGTACGTGTATAGACTCGGCTGACAAATAGAAAGCAACTTCAGTATATTGAGCGTATGAACAAACAGTGTTTCATTAATGAATAGCTACCTTTGTTATTAATCAACGTTACGAACAAAACGAACAAATTCATATATAGATATATGTTTTTTACATAATTTTACCTTATTGTATTAAATATCTAGTGCACACTTTTTTAGAAAGCGCAACATCAATAAAAAGTTGAAATGCAAATTGGAGGAATTCCCTATCGCCAACCACCCATTGCACGCCTCTGTACGGTTACGGTGACTGTACGGTTTTATATACATTACTAAGCAACAGCAAAAAAACTTGGAGGTCTCCAGTGCTTAATGACGGCTTATTTTCACGCGCATACATACTCACCTTCACGTAGTAACTAGTCAAGGAAATGGTTTACTACTACGTTTTACTGATTGTTATTATCAACAACCTATGATACTCAACGGTTTGGTATTAGATTTTTTTTGGGTGGATTTTTTAAATAAAGGAAGTGGAAGATTTCTACTTGTTATCCTCGATCGTTCCCGTATTATTATATCGTTTATATTGAAACTCGTTATTTGTGTTTCGCTGCAAAACATCACTGCAGTTCATCGTGTCCATTTCCGTCGTACTTCCTTCATGTATTAACAACAGGAATGAACACCGCTGAATAAGGAAACTTGTCGAACCATACATCATAAGCACATGAACACTATATATATAGTGTTTGAAACATGCGAATGATGACGATCGGCTCCTGTTATTGAACGACAAAATGGTTCAACAGATTGTAAAAACGACCGCCTCTACACTCAGTACGTTTGCAAATTGGTTTCTTCGCTTTCATCACCCACACCCACATGTATTTCGTTGCCATAGTGTTTTGCTTTTGTCGTGCACCTATATTAATTTATTGTCGCCTCTTGAATAATCGGCTCATTATCTGCTCATTTAGCTTGACTAACTTCACCGCCGCCGCCGCCGCCAGCAGCAACAACAAGAACAACAACAACAACAACAACAACAACGACAACAAAAACAGCCTCTGCCTCTTTTCACTTCAACATGAAAATTCTTGAGGTTTCATGCGTTCGTGAATTTGTGCAGTTGTGTAACGTACTCTTGTTTTATACAACATGTTATATATCGCACACACTTAAACATGGATGTCTATAGCGAACGCATGAGCAGCGATTATTTTGCCATTTGGAAATTTCATCCGTAAACGGTGTTTCGGTCCAGATCAGCTTAACGGTACGAAGGGCTTCGTGGCATCAGTGTAACCGTTGCTGGCGCCTTTGCCGTATGTCGACCAATTCGTCTCGTCCGATTGACGCTACTGCTGCAATTCATTCAATTGTTACTGCTGTTGGTCTCCGCAAGCATACGTTAATGCGCGCTGTTGCTGCTGACCCAGGGCTGCGCTTCACTTTCTCTGTCTTCGTAAAAGCTTACGGCATTTGACGCTGTTGTTGTTTGTCGACTTTCACTAGCAGCTGGAAATCGATTCGTGGCCAACCGTCTGGTAGCGTTGTCGTATACCCTGCTGACAGTTAATCGAGTCACCCTGCGACTCATATTGACCGCTAAGGCTCGCTCTAGTGACCTTGCCGGATAGTCTCTCCACGTAGTAGTAAGGCCGTAGGCACGCTGGAAGGCACTGCTCAAGCCACACCTTGGTCGCCAGCCACGCGGCTCTCGAGCGCGACGTTGTAGAAGCCTGTGCCGTTGACTCGCATTCGGCCTCTCGTTGTTAATCTGTGTATCGTCACTGTTACAACTATTTGTGGTACAGGTCTCCCAGTCACTTTCGCTATTTTGTTCTTCGCTATCCAAATCGTCGGACTCGGTTTCATCCTCCAACGACTGAAGTACAAGAAACTTGGTTATATTCATATTCGGTGATATCATTCGGCTTATTTAAGCTTAACTTTCTTTTCATTTTGTTACGGTCATTCATTGCTAGTACGAATTGTTCGTTAGGTTGAAATCATCACTAAATGCGCACTGTTCTATGGTGATTAACAAACGACTAGGCAAAGTAAACAAACAACAGCGGGATCCTTTCAAGCAGTTACCTTATGCCTCTTAGGACAAGACTTTCGATGCTCTATAGCAAATCAACAATGGCTAGTCTTACTAATACGTATAGATGTCTGTGATAACAGCATGCAAGAACGCCAATTTCACATAATACTGCACTGAAATGAGACAAATGAGAAACAAGTATGAATCATACCATTTTCTAATAGTAAATAAGGTTGCCTTATTTAAGGCAGAATTATAACCTGACCTAACCTTACCAGTATTCATGTTGCGCTAAGCATATCCATTGCATAGCGGACCGTCAATGAATTAAATATATGTACATATGTGTATATAAACTTCACTCTAAAATGAATGAGTGATCAAAATACGACCTTTACTCTGTAAAATCCAAGAGAACGTGTGACAATCCTTATAAAGTACAATAACTTTTTTGGCTTATTGATCTATAAGGACTGTGCGAATGATTACATGCTAAGTCAGATTGAACGCTACGGGGGGGCTCCCGAGAAAAGACCGTAAATTGAATACTTCTGTTTTACGTGAGAACTTGCAGGTTGGTAACTCTTTTCCAAGTCATTATACCAGATTCTGAGAGGTGTTGATCATAGGTAAGCTAACTTTAATAGTTACCAAAAACATTTTGCTAAATTTTATGGAGAAATCAGTTAGCGGAAAAAATGTCTCGAGTATTGAGTTGGCGCGAGGTTGCACAAGGTTAGCAGAAGCATGCGTATCTTTGCGCAACCTTTTCAAGGTGCAATACATGGTTCATGCCCAAAATGTAGTCATAAATCATTATAGTATGATTTTTACAAGTGTTTACAAACGAGGATCTATATATTCTGAGGTGCATGCACGTTAGGACAGTATTATTAGGCCATTACCTCCAGACGTTGTCGTTCTCGCCTGCAGCTCTGCGACTCACAACACATTGGGCACCGGACACATCTGTGTTATTTTTCGTTCGAAGATTCCGTTTAGATGAAAAACAAATAGCACAAAACAATTAACGATATGAAGTATTTGCTTGCATGTAATGCAACGAACTCGATTTTCACGTAAAACGCCAAATACCATCGATACTTTTCGTTGCGTGTCGGCAGATGCTTCTAAATTAACTATGTTTACTAACCAAATATATCTTGAACGAAATCGGTTAGTTATGAACAACTATATATATGGATGAAATAAAAGATCCAAAAAAGTTTCTGCATCAATCTGTAGTTTGAAATCAGTGGTTAAGAGAAGTAACGGATAACGCCAAACGCTGTCTGCAAAAACTATACAAGGAAAAACTACAAACCGGCTTATGCCTTTACTTATATTACCTTCCCACACAAGTTTCGCACTGATCGCCGCCCTCTTCTGACTCACTGGTCTCATCTTCGTCAGAGCTGGGGGTAAAGCATTAAATTAACAAACAGATGGACAAGCAAGATAAATCTTATACACCATTATACTTCGGGTAAGTATAAAAAAGTTTGATCATTGTAAGTAGTTGAATATAAAAATAGCTGTAATGCACACTTTCTAAAATAATTGGGGATAACAAATACGTGCAAAGGACAATCAAAATACGGACAAAAAGTCCCGAGCCAGATTTGACAGAGATAAACCGAACCTTAAAAAAGGGTCGCCCACCTTTCGGGACCTTAAAGTGTAGATGTGCATAATGTTGTTTTGCCCTTCTTTTAGAATGTAGCTTCTTGGGTAAAGCGCGAAACTTTACGCCAAAAATTAATTATTAATCAATGTGCTGCTCTAACGCTGTTAGAAAAAACGTGTGGCTGGGCACTGAGTGATTTCACCGCTATAATTTTCAACTTCCTGTCAAATCTGCCTAATATCGGAAAGTTATAATTCTCATTAAAATATGCGCCACTGTAAGATATACTTAGTACGTGCTTTAGTACTTAGCACGTATACCACAGCTATGACGACATAGTAAAAGTATATTATAATAAAGTATTTAATTAGGAAGGAGTATTTTTACGTGCTTCGCACTGGTCATGCAGTTGCTTGCTATCTCATCAGTGCCAGCGGTACTGTGGTGTTCGTTTTTGGAAAAAATTAAGATGCGAAGCCGGAAAATACTCGTCTACGTAAAGGAAGTGTGTGCATGAAACACCCCATCATTGATACACACTGAGTAACGTGGCAAAACTTCGGCCGATTGACTATATATAATTATAACCTCTACGTATACAAAGCTCCGCTACATGCAAAGCGTTTGCTAGTCACAATACAATGAAAATAATAAAGGTCAGAATCGGTTATATAACATAAAATATTATATATATATCATGATTAATATAAATCGTTATTGACATTTACTGTATTCTTTAAGATACTTACGCCATCAGGGAATAAGATTTTTTTTATTCTACATCCAATCTACTTCACAACCAATGGAATTTGTGTTCGTTTAAGCACTAACTAATAACTATATACACTACAAGTCCTAAATGTCCAATCTAATCCTCATCAATAGAATAATTAATGAAGATAACGGTTTATAATGAATAACTTTAACATATAGTTCTATATAAGAGTTAAGCATAGATGTTATCTCTATGACAAGTAAAGATAATTGCTTATCATTGACATTAAAATTAGTTGTTTTGAGACCACCTCGTAAGATATTTCTCTACCATAGACAAAACCCTATTATGAGTTATGCCTTTGGCAATCGAAAGTGTGCTCTGTATGTTGGTATATCGTCTCTTGTGTAATTTTCGAACCACAGACCTTGCAATCCTCACGGACTCCTCATCGCTGGAGTCATCTTCATCGGCTGAATGCTGAATCCGACTGTTGGTAGCGTATTCTATAGCTGGATCGGTCACGATGCCAGGCTGTAGCGCCCAAATGCGTGAAGAGTCTGTGAATTGTACGATATTCATGCCTTAATTGCTTTATTTGCTTTTTTCTATGTTCATTATAATCTTGAATCTTTCGTTAAAGCAACGTACAAAGGAAAATGAACCTTCCTAGCACTTCCTTGTGACAATTCGTGTACACCGATAGATGAACACAGCTTGAGCCATTCGCAAGCTATATTAGCTCGTTTAGCCACACAGAACCAATGATGTGGCTTCACGCACAAGTACGTATTAAAAATGGTACTTTTTTCACTTGACAAAAAAACGGCCCGTTTCACAAGATTTCTGGCAAAAAAAATTTTCACCCATTACAATATTGTAGCCAGTGTGCTTGGTCCTTCCTGTCAAAAATTTTCAAGCCTGGTCCTGAAAAACTCAATGAGCCAGTTTTAGGGGTGCCATTTACTTTCATGTCTAGTACTACGAATATGATTCGCCAATGATCGAAAGAATCGGTAATCCGTTGACGTGAGATCTGAAAACCATAGTGGATTTGAAAGGATCCCTTGTATGAATTGTGGCTGGCTGCTGTAAGGTACCGAGAAGAATCCTGAGAGATAATAAAAAAAGTCATGCTTCTGTGCTCTTCACTGAATTTATGAGACATCCAAGCTTTGAATTTTTGGGTAAATCCTATAGATCCAACATGTCTGTCGATAATCACATGACTTCAGTTCATCCTTTCCGCCACTTATAAGTCGTTTAGCGGCTGTTTGTCTTCCTTTAAAAGTGCCTTTAGACGGTCTTCATTAACTTCGGATGGCCGACCGGGGCGGGGTACATTGTCCAGGTCTAGGATGCCATTTTTGAGCTTCGCAAACGATCATTGGGCAGTCCTTCTTAGCATAGAGTTTATACCGCACATGGCTCAAATATCCCGGACTGCAAAAGGCCAAATAGAGTAGGTGTCGAAATTGCATTTTTTCACCAGGAACGGCCATCATTGCAGCCTGAACCTGAGGTAAAATTTCGTTCACTCCACAGTGATGCACAATTATAACGGGCTTATAGAACGAACAGAGCTATGTGCAGAAGTAAACAGTGTAGATGTGCAAAGCAAAGGTACCATTTTACACAAAAATATGCTATAACATATGTGCAACCTAATGCTGTACTACGTTTAAATATACCGTATTGTCACGTACTTGACTCTCGTTCGATAACGCTTTCTGTGCAATAGAGCTTGGAAACAGCATCCTCGAGGGTGCCTTCCCACGAAGCGGGCAGCGTCTTTTCAGCATTAGGTAACTGGTGATACGTCAACCTGAAGCCAATAATCATGATTTATGTTACTACCAACCTGTTATTAACTCGTTACTAAACATAACCGTTGTTTTAGCATTCATACGGTACTTATACTTTGAATTAGGTCATATAAGGTTACACAATAGGCAAGAAAAGTAAAATCATGTATATGGTTTAGTTTATGTTAGTGAAGTGTTAAACAATACATTACGGCGTTAATAAAAACGTTATACTCTAAATTAATTCTCAAACTATTCCATCGCAACGAAGGCGTGCCCAGTTATCATAATGGCGTGCCAGCGCATTCCTAGCTGTTAACTGTCACGTGTTTTTATCGGGTTACTATGCAGATAAATCTCACCTGCTGCTCAACCTATATCTAAAATATATGTTAAAATGCCCGACATTTTGACCACACGTCATAGGTAGACGTCGTAGGAAATAAAAACGTCTGTAATTATTATCCACGGATATAGGATGATTCTGACGTCATTCGGGAACAACGAACCTAGAGGCAAAGATATCAGCCCTAGTATTGAAAATAAGCGCTCAGTAATTATTTTTCGAAAACAAAAATGCTGGTAAAATCCATCGAAAACTGGTAAAAATTGGATAAACAAATTTTCAGCAAAAATAACAGTGTGTAACTAAAGACCTCACGTTTCAGTGGCGATGACAAATAGATTCAAACGTAAGCTAGTGTTCATACTCGCAACAAAGATCGTTACGAGATACTGCCTGAATAGATAACGGTCAATGGTGTCAACCAAGGTGAGTTTGAACTTCTTGGGTGAAGAATCCTCTGAAACGCCCCAGCAGGCGACGCCTGGCGCTGTGGTATCGGTACTAGAAGCTTCGTACCGTCCCCCCAGGATCTCTGATGCAATGCGGAATGCCAACGCGATTAATGGCGCTGGCACGTTCAGACAGTGGTCGGGCATCCACCATACAGCGGTCTGGCTGAGCGCACAATAAGAAGATCTCGAATAAACTAGGCTTTTTGCTCAACATGTCTACAAATGGAAACTTAAGCAAGAGAGGGGTTCCGACAACAGGGCCCTTCTATTCAAAAAGCTGCCGGATGTAGAGATGCAAAGGGCCGAGAAGACGCAGATTTACCGCTGCTTATCACCACTGGTTCTGGAAATGGCAGCGTAAAAAACACGGTATAGACAGCGGAAGTTCACCTTGCATGAGCTCCAGGATGGTACGAGAGACCTAGTAGGAGCCAGCCAGGCGACGCTGGAATTGGCCATGCGACACCACCCTGGTATTATGAGCCTTTTATTATGGCAAAACGGCATTATACACTTATAAGGTTGACATGTGTCGAGGATGCCAGCTAACGATGAATGTGAGGGGTATATGACTACATGCTGAAAAATACCTTCGTAGCAAGATGATAGCAGGATCGTTCACATTATAATTTCCAGGAAAATGAAGCTTAGCTTCGTACAAAATGGGGTGTTTGTTGTCGAATAGATTGCAATAAGCCAATTATTGCTGGTAGCAGTATATATATATGACAAGACACTTAAAATCGATTTATACACATATTAGGTTTCTGAATCAGTTCTGCATTCTAAATGCACCACTGAGCAGCAGCACTACGGAACTTCCTTGATCTGCACATCGACATAAAATTCGATGAGCTTTACCATATACATAGATCATTAAATTTCACACATTTAATACGCTCTACGAACTACACAAACACTGTGATAATAATGGAGCTGTTGTGCGAAGGTATTTAGCTTTTGATTAAGTCTGAAAGTTATGTGTTTGAAAGTTTGTCCTTATTTGGTAACATAACGCCATTATGAAATTGGTGCATACCTGGGAATTTCTCTTTTTGAACTTTCCTCCGCTCGGCCAAGTTCAGCCTGCAGTTCCGCTTCTTGCATCACATCAATGACGTCAAACCACTGAGGCTGATAAAGTGGACAGCATAACTGTGCAACAACCTGAAAACGAGGTTATGAACGAGACGTCAGAGTCATGCAAAAGGCAAACTGAGGTATCATAGTTGATCAGAATTGTTGAGTAGAAAAAGAATGTGCTGGATGAAGGCATAACGATATATCAAACAGGCAAAATCTTGTAAAGCATTAACATGACACCATCTGTTTATCTGTAAGTGTCAGTGAATTGTCGTAGTGCACGTAGTTGTCCGTTAGAGCAACGTATGGTGACTCGTATTTACAAATCGCGTGCAAATCGCATCTTCGGAAAGAGATGGAAGCGTCGAAGTCATTACGTGCCAGCGCCAAAGCTTTGTTAGAGAAAAAAAATGGGTTGCAAACCTGTTGTCGCAGAACGTGAGCGCCTTCAAAGAGCTTTGTTGTCTTTTCCAAGTCGTCTGCAAATTCACCCTCTCGATCATCTTCACAAAGTAAAAAAAATAATAATTAGTTGCTTCTCAGGGAGAAATTGTTATTACTGGCATTTGAACAAATGCATCTTTTACAGCTTAGAACTCAGATCTTCTTTCCCGCTCAAACCGAGTCCAACGTGCGGCGGATATAGTTGATAGGATGAGCTAGATAGCAAAGTTAATTGAATATAAGCCTGGACTAACGTTAAAAGCGATCTCTTTGTAAGGCATCACAAGGTGTAATATATACTTCTAATAGTTACGGCAGCCGAAACGATCATTTCAAAAGCCGACTGGAACTTCTATGAATCAGAGGAGAGGTAGAATCCCTTAATAGAGTACAATTGTATAGGATTATTACTGTTGATAACTATGAGCAAAAATGTTTTTAGGTCATATTGATTTTGGCTTCAGACATAAAATACTGATAAGTGAAGTATATAATAAAAGGGTCTACGTCTGGTGTCGGACCTTTTTCAGAATCTTCGTAATGATCGGTGCGGCCATCTGAGTCATAAATGTCTATGTCATCGTATTCATCATCCGAGTCAATGTCGATATACGTGTCTTCGTCATCTTCATCAACGTCATCGTCTCCTTCAGCATAATCAACTTCGAACTCAAGTTCGGCCTGAAAAACTCTAGCCAATTGTTGTAGCACACCACTGTAGGGTGCTTCCCTTCTGTTAGGCCTGCTCAGCTCGTCGTCCAGGACGTTGCCGCGCTCTGGAACGCAAGGCAAACTTGTATACGGGAGGCTATCTGAAGCGGCGGATTGAAAGCAAGCTGACTCATCGGAAACGCTGACCGATGATCCTGCTCGTTCCTGTAATGCATTATTTTCAATTACAACACCAAAAAAAAAGAGAGTATGTTGCGGTAATAACTGAAAAACGTATGTAAAATTATATCTAATTTGGACGGAGGGATAAATTTGTTGCTTCAGGATGCTCTAGAATATATCTATATATCTAATTAACTGTAATAATATCTGTTAATAATATCTAATTAACTGTGAAGCCTAACAGTATATAAAATGAATAACTAGATTCAATCGATATTTTTACATATAAACTGGTGATTTTTTACTCACCGGCTCCGCCCGAATATTTCTGTTCAAAGAGCGATATTCCACACACAGAATTCAACAGAAAACATATTGTATAACATCTCCATGATAACTAGATGAAGAAATCGGCGTACTAAGCTTAGGGATCTGGGACGAGTGGCCTATATTAGAACGTACATTCTAAAGCAATGACAGCACAGGACGTAAACCTTAAAGCCGGCCGTCTGAAGCATTGCTGAACATAGAATTCGATGTATATAATTCAGCTTAGGCTATAACTTTGGTGTGGACTATTACCGAATATAGCTCGCACATAAAGTCGTACGCAAGTTACTCGCAGAGTTCCAAGTTAGTTAGGCTGGGTACGAAAATCACCGTCGGTGTTGATTAAAACAGATAAAAGAGTATCCCTAGATTAAGCTATTTCTTAAACCACACCATATTTACAGTAACTGACTATCATCATGATGCGAACGAAGAAAAGTTACGAACGAGTATTAGAGAAATGAATGAGGTGTATCCCTTGAACTTCGCCGGCATTCAGCAGTGATTCTTTTTGAGCACAAATAGTTCTTAGTAAGTAATCCAACTTTGCGGTGCCTATCAGTTATCGAGGCACGTAATTACAAACTTTGAGACCGCAATCTTCGTCACGAAGTTGCCTTGTTGATGCTGTTATGTCGTGCACGTTGTAAAACAAGTCGAGCATGTTTTTCGTGCATAATTATCCTATTTAACATTTTATGGACGAAGGATTATAGAGCCCTCGTTACAGGCGGAAGGATCTTCAAGATCTAGTTAGTTTGTGATACCTAAAGCTGGACTCTTCACTGAACTCGACTCGATTTACTCGGCTTACTGTGAAGATTTGTCCTAATAGTCCATCGACTCTTGTGAGTTGATGGGTATTGTGGTTGAAATGAAAATCATTGAAAAAATAAAGATCAAGTATGAAATAATGGCGTGCGTCTTCAGGCTAAGTTGGGTAAATAAATAATTTAAAATAGCCAACTCTTGTAGTATGTTCGGTACTGGTAACTGCTACCAGTGACCCATAACAATACGTAACACAGAGTTAGCATGACCAAAACTTATGTTCTATAATGTGTAGTTATGGCAGCGTAGAAATCAAATTTACAGGGTTCGCTATTTATTTTCGGCTCATAAGTTCATATTTGCCTAGTCAAATGTGCGTTTAAAAATTGACTGCTAGAGACGACACACTGGTTATATGCACTCGGTTTTTTTTTATCAAAAGCGTTACATTAAACTCCGACACTGAGATCTACCAATAAGTACGCAAACGTTTTCCATAAACGCGTGTGGCCCAGACAACATACTTCATCCTGGTCACTCCCGCTTATGCACAATTTAAAGTTTCCTTGTGAACAATTACTATAAGCTCTCTACGAGACAGATAGTCAAAGTGACAGAATGCGCCACATTAGGATTAGATATTTCTCTGCGCTGACACGTTTTTGATAACCTTAAGGAAAAATATTTTTCCCATTACTTACGCTTCTCAACACTAATAGCCCCCGAGCGAAAATAATCACAAAAACTACCACAGCTCAGGCAGTGCGCTCCAAAATCACTAATGATCCTTTGAAGTATTCCCATTTTTCACAAACTCTATATAAAATGACTCACGTTTTGGTCTTCAGCTGCTTGGTCTAGATCTTTGTTATGTGCTTCATCGTGGAAGTTTCTGTTTTTGCCTTTTGAAGAATCTGTGCCTTCCAGGGCATTTGATCTGATCGGGGTGCCGTGTGCCGGACTTGATGCTGATAATGGGGAACTTGGGACGGAACTCAGTTCATCAAGACTTTGGGAAACCGACAAAGCTGAATCGCCGTTGTGGTAAGCGTCAGTATCGGAAGCGACCTGATTTCCAACATCCCTGTCGGAATTAGTCATCGGCATTGTGAGCGTCGCTAGAAGCTGAAACAGTCTTAAATTATTATGCCACGAATAGAGATTTCCGAACAATAACTGCTACCAGTTCGAGTATCAGTTAGTTATCCACAGTGAGTGACAGTTGCCACTACAAGTAAACAACTAAATTAAAGAAACTCTCACCAGAACACCAACAGCGAGCGTCAAGAAAGAACGTGCAGTACGCAAGCCCGATACGCAATACAATAAATGTATTTTTTTTTTTAGTTATCTTCCGTAGTTATTACGACTTGTGACTAAAAGCGGAGCTAGCACGAACTCTAGCTAGTTCGCAAGCGTTATTGTGCCTTCATAACTCTGTAGAGATCACGAGCGGAAATCGGCTGCAGTCATCATTTAAAAAAAAACCCTGTCACAGCAATCCATCAACAATTATTTACAACAACAGCAGCAGCAGCAGCAGCACAAGCGACAACATCAGCAGTAGGAAGGAAGGAAACATTATCAACTCGAACAGCATTGTTGAGATTTGATTTGGCTACATCTGATGTTTGACCTATGGCGGTGGCAACAGACACGTCAATACACGTTCACGTAAGAACACGTTGTCAATGCAAGCTATTGGATTGTGTAGGAAAGATCAGATGGTGACAGTCACCGACATACAGACCTCCACAATCAAATATATGACATAGCATTGTATCTACGCTTCGTCTCGTGAATCCGCGCGGTGTCAAGCAGATGTCTTGCCAGCGAGCAGTTTTACTGTAAATTAATTGAAGCTGATAAATAGAGATCAGCAATACTAGAATAGCAATAATATTATACGTTTTTATCTCATATTTCTCACAAGTGAACATCGTGTTTCTTCGGATGAGTGTTCGAAGAAGCTAAGTAAACATCGAAATCGTATTGTATAATCGGAATAGACGGTTTCAGTCAGAGGCCGCGGATCAATAGAACGGATGCTAAGTTACTGCAGGGTGTGTACGTGGCATAACGGCCGATTTCAATGAAAAGCGTTAACAACATCACCAGCGAACGATAGTATGAGTGTCATTATAAACAAATTCATATCTGCGTTAGCAAACTCATCTTCGTTAAAAGCAATAGTTTAAGAGTTGCGTGGTAGTACACTGTAACATTATAATAAAGTGTAAACATGTAGTAAAAAAAGTATCCAGCTTATTAGGCACACGAAGGCGATTACGTAGTTGAACCAAATTAACGGTATAAACGGAATGCGGTCTAACATGTAGAGATGTATATCAAAGCATACGGCCCGACTTTTATTGGTGAGGGCATTTCCGTGTTTTTTGTTAGTCAGCCTAAGCCTCTGTTTATTGTGTAATAAAAGAGGTAAGTTGCAACGATTCTGTTATTCCGACGCAGTACTTCATGAATTCAGTAACTTGAACAGGTAAGAATCTTATCAATAAAGTAATTATTACAAATCTGGATAATGTTGCGGTCGTCCAGTGTTTGTCCTGTAACCTTTCATTTAGCGTACGTTAATTTGATTTACTAGGCCTCTTTACCTAATTGTATTACCAGCATTTTAGAGTTATAGAGCAATAAATTAAACAATAAAGCTCACTATTAAAACATAAGCGTGAGGATTCCGACATGTGGATACAGAGAGGCTCTCAGAAAGTATAATACCTTTTGTAATTGCACTAAAATAGCCTGTTTAAATTAGGACTATAAACCTATTCTTCAACCGTGAATAAAATCCCTTTCTACGAACAAACGGACTCACTATCTCAGTACGCACAGCAGAAACTTTGTGATAGATTCATTTGTTATGAGCATTAGGCACAAATCATCCCTTGCGTTTGGATTAATGACCGTATTCGTTTGAAAGAAAACTGAAATACTCTAAGTAGATTATGAAAGTCTCATAATTTAGTAGCAGTAATTGATTTTTCTTATAGTAAGTATAAAACTAAAAAACGTTACATCAGGTAATCAAGGTTGCTGAACGGTACACCAGTTGAAAGGAGTTAACCAAGTTAGTAATGAAGTTTGTCGTCAGGGAATTTCCTGGCCAAATTTTTATTTCAGGTTAAGGAAACCGGTACTCCAGAGAGAAGAGAAATTATCGAAAATCGACTCATTAACTGATAACATGGCACGATTCTAGTTCCATTCTTGTTCAAATATTCTCCGGTAATAAGTTATATGTGAAAAAAAATTATGCGTTATGCAAAATTACATGCGTAATATGTTACCTTGGAAACCTGATAACGCAAAAGTTATTGTGTGAGAAACTGCTAGCTCACTTTTGTCAGCTACAGATGGCACCTTGAATGCGATACCATTAAGCTGTACGCTTCACTTTAGTTCAAAACATGCACTTCCATTAGCAGACGTTACAACAACAACAAGCATATCGCATCCGTACCTAAAATGCCTTACAATCTCTAATTGTCAGCTAGCAACGACGCAATTGCACTGGCACAAAAGCTATTAGATTGTTACACCAAGCGAGTTAAGCGAAATTTTTGAAGTAGTCGCATGGTAGTGATGATTTTTAATGTATGTATTTCCTAATTTTAGTTGTTGTACGACTTTAACCATACGGCTATCATTTGTGTTCCCATATGTGCTTCTCAAAGTAAATCGATACTAGATTTTCTGCCAACCACTTGTTTTCTTCGAGGGCATAGAAGGTCCCGTAATCACACGGACTTATATTGGGACAGTGTGTGAATTGAAGCCAACGTTGGATATTCGTTTGCTTCAAGGTATAGCATATGAGATCTGGCGTTGTCTTGAAGTAACTAGACTGCATGCTTTTCGATTACTATGCCAACGGCTCATGAATCCTGAGACATTCTAGATAGCGGGATACATGAATTCCCGGCGAAAATGTTACAGTAGCAAATGCCCGTAATGTCCATTGCAAGAACTGTCGTTACCTTACGTCCGAACCTACTCAACAGTGCCATCTTGCCTGGTCACTCTCCAGTTAGCGGTAGAGATTCAAATACATCTCGGCGGGTTTTCCGCAAACCGCACGTTCAGCACGCGCTTTTCCAACTAGTTCAGAACCATACACAGGAGACCCATTTTTTACTTACTCCCGCATTTTCAGTATTTTAGTTATAATCCTGCAATTCAGTACATGTAAAAAGCCAGTTTTAGCTGACAGAACCTTTGACTAGTTTCCTTCGTGAATAGTTTCCTCAATTGCGGCAATGTGTTTTCCTTCCCTGCAAATCCTCTGTTCCTTAAACATTTGCGCATGGCTTCGAAAAAAAAAATGCTCTCTTGTGAACTCATCATTCCTGGGATAAACTAACCTATTTTCATCCATATGCTTTTTCCTTTTCGACGCTTGATGCGACATTAAAAGTTTTTCGATGTAAGAACTTGCCAGATTCATTTGCTACAGCCTAATGTTTATCTAAGCAACACCTTGTTCATATCTACCAATGACGACGAAAATAGATTTATATATTCATATGCACCATAAAGTCGGCCACGCTACCTACTTAATATGTTCTAGCCTAGACCGACTATTCAGGCACGTGGGGATCTCCAGTTGATAGTCGCCCACAACTTGCTGTAACAAAATCGTACAATTATTCCCAACATGATCGAGCCGTCGTCATATCTCTGCAACGCTTCCTCGAAAGATGCGTTGAGAAAGATGCTAATTGCGCTCACCCATCCACAGCTTCTACAACCGTTGAAGTGGTAATGTCGCCACTTTTTTTTCACACTCAAATGCATAACGACAGATTTTAGCTTCGCAACTTGGTCGACCGTTTCGTCCATCATCGAATTGACTTAGCCTTTCAACTTAGACATTTCGGTCCTTGCGTCCACTAATTATCGTGATGATAATGGTAATAACATTTATATGCTGATTGTATTTATATTCAGTTGTAGTGATTTTCCGAAAATCATTATTAACAACTTTCGTATACGCGTGTTGCAGGGCAGTATATATACTGCCCTATATATATATATATATATATATATATATGTATATGTTATACATACCTAAGCAAAGTAAATTCGTCTCGTTGAATCACAAATTACTACTGTTGTATTATTAAATATTATATAAATTATATATATATATATTATAAATATAATAAATAATACATAATGACAGGTTGGCCGATGTCATTATGTTATAAAGAGGTACGCGAAATAGAATGAGGTTAAGCCTACCCTGTTTAGTGCTATACTGGAGAATTAGAGAAAATTAGGCTTTCCTTAATTCCATGAGGGTTGAAGGTCAAGGTATCTTGTCGGCTTTATATTTCAGAGAGATTATTTCTCTCTTGGGTTCTAATGCATCTGGTCTTGAGATCCGAGGATGTATAAAGGTGACAACCTGCAAGACCGGCTCTTTCACATTTAATTGCTCTCATCCACTGCTTCATTCACAATACATTATATTAAAGGCAACAAGGGATCATATACTTCGACTCTTCTACATCAAGGGCCAGGCATACGGCTCGTTATCCTTGGCAATCGGCATTTAACAGGATAACTGATCACTGTTTGTTCGGCCCTGTCACTAAGGGGTCCTACATCGTGTCTTTTGAACCTTTACGATCTCGATGACTACGTCCTTGGTGAACATTTGCAACATTCTAAACGCACAGAGGTACTATGGTCTGCTTGTAGACTCTTGGGGATGCAGTTTTCTCCTTATGCAAGCCGGTTTTCACATCCGTGCTGGTTACATCGGGGTAAGAAAGGCTCCCAAGTTTTCTTTTCTTATTGACACCCATTGTAGTCGAATTCAGTTCTGGTGCGAAAATCTCTGGGTGCCGCTAAGTATGACGTCCGTTGCTAGGGGCCCACGTACAGAAGAAGTGTTTTTTTATAAGAAGTTAAATTGCAAGAATTATTCGCTTGTTTTGGATATATCGCAAACCCGCTGACAAGTTTCTCCTGGAATCCCCTAGCCAAGAATCAGATTTGTTATGGTCCTTTAAATCTCCAGTCACCATTCGGGATTCGAAGGCACGCATTTCTTTTTGTGGTTTGAGCACGTTAGACGTGACAGAAATATGAACGTTAGCTGAACAGAGTATTACCACTCTCATGCACTCTGGTTGCTGATATAGTCAAAAAATTTTATTATCTGTATAAAAAAAAGGAATCATTTTACGTCGGTCAGAAATACTCTTGAAGTCTTTAGAACTGCATATTCCATGTTCGTTATTCCTTCAAAAGAAACGCATTCAATACAAGCGGGTAAAACTCTTTCACAGCATAGCCTATTTAATGCACTAGCTTATTTGATCAATAATATTACGTGTGTTTACCTTATGTTTCTCGTTTTGCTGAAGGTAAGGGCGTGGACGTCTTCATCTGTTGGAACGTCAATAGATAAGTTTACTCTTGTAGTAAAGGACCCGAGTGGGTTCCAGGGGGTTCACGTATTAACGATACGTTTGCAAGGGTGTTTAGTTCATTGTCTATGTTGTGTATGCTCCAGCCATCAAATTTCTGTAGCTTACAAGGTACACTGCTCAATTTAATGATGCTGATTCATACCACCAGATGTAAGGTTTATGACGGTATCACGCTTAGCACCTTAGCACATTCACACATCAGCTGTAGGGCGACACCTAGATGTCAGCTTACCAGAACAATTTGAATGGAATAGAAAATATACGGATCCGATGGATAATTATTTTTCCCGCCATCAGCTTTCAAAACAGTGGAGGATTCAAATGCCTAGTCAAGCAGTCTTTTGCAAAAAAACGGTATAGGCTAGAAGTTACCACAGGACGGCCTCCTGTATACCAGCTTATAGTGCATAAATGTAACGTTATTCAGAGACATACAAACAAGTAACATTAGTTCTGTTTCCAGTATATTAAAAAATCGAAAAAACGGCAACTATCTCTAGGTGAGCGTGAATTGATTTTCTGTTTTTTAGCAATTGAATCATGTCAGAATAGTACACTCATCAACATATGTTGAAATTTAACGTGTAGACAAGTTTAGGCGGTCGATGAGAATATGAGATTCTGGAAAGTACGTTTTAGGCCCACAAGTATTACTCTACTGCGCAGCTTTTTTTAGTATAAGATTTTAACTTCTATAATTCAGTTGCTGCAGCGATGAAGAGTTCGTATTTTCATTTCGGACAACGGTGCTGTTCGTGAGTAAAAAGATTTAATTGTTCTTCATTGTTGTGCAGGTTATGTTTCAAGCGCTCTTTTTCTATCTTATTGATGACTATCACGACAAGTAGTCTAACTTGATTGCCTGTTCAGTGATACTTTCTACGGCCTCGTAGCCATCGCGTTAAACATCAGCGTGCTTTACTATCATGCGTGAACACAAATACTTGCTTCCACTCTGATGATGTCCGGAGATTTTTATCGAAAAGACGTCCCGCTAATAGCAAAGTAGATGTTTCACGCATGTTCAGTGATTCGCTATAGTGCCACAAACTCGGAACCACTGCTCACGTTAGTGTTTTGTGACCGTGCTGATCATTCACTTGTTGTTTTTGAACGAGCGTGAATGACGCCGCTCAGACAGGAGACCGGTAACCTTTACAAGGAAGTCCACAGTTCAGGCAACGAGATTTTTTAAGATTATTTTCAACCCTGAATAGGTCACTATTCTATTACCACGCATTCAACACGCCTTTTTGTACGGAAACCCTTTAGACACCAAATTAGCCCACACTTCAAACATTGTTTTACTGTTTTTATCCTAAAATCTAAAACATTCTTTTGATTATTTAAATTGTATTTTATATTTATCGAACATTAAACTGTAGGTTTAGTAGCAATTAAAAATCCTTTTAGATATACGCAAAAAGGACTAATCCTTTCTAAATTCGCTCCAACGAGTTAACTTCAATCCCACCTAGACACCTCATGACTCAAGTTTATGTCTCAGCATGTTTTTTCTAAATTGTCTAGATAAATTGAAATGAAAAGTAAATCTTCGCTTTATAGCGCGAGATGGGACTAATTTTGTACATATCGCCTCTTGATGACAAATAGGTGGCTTTTGTGCGTCTGTGTCCGGTCCAAGAAATGTAAATTTGCCGCTGACTTGTTTATCCAACTCGATTTCAGTATCGGTATCAGGACGACAGTGTGAAGTTTCTCACATAGATGTCTCGCATAATTGCGAAAACTTGTCGTGAAAGGCCGATGGCTTCGAATCCAAAGGCAATTATATTTATTGTTATATTGCATTCTAAGTATCGGTCATATCTATTTATTGCTTTGATTTCCATAGAGGCAAATTGTGATGCAGTCTCTTCCTAGACCTCTGGAACCTCTCTCAACTCACCTACAATTCTCATGACGTTCATAACGTTACAGCAGCGCTTTACTTAGATCGTATCTAGTAGGCTATACATCTTATGCATATAATGTAAACTCTACTTATGTATCTGTTTCCAAGCGACTAGCGCCAACATTCACACTGTTTGCAGCTGAAGTCTCGTTCACTTCCCCCTTTAGGGTATCTCTCAACAATCATACTGTGATGATTAACAACGCTTGGCCATCAGTCATACGTGTCGGTGCGTTCGAAGCCTAAAGAGTCAGCGGCCGACGCCAGCGAGCTTCCGCCAAAAAACTAAAACCGCGCCCGCGCTGAGCGAAACAAAATCCACTGGCGGCAGACTGCCATCCCTCAAATTTTTCATAGTAGCAAACATTGCTTATTACATTGAAGCTTTTGTGCGCCGACGCTACTTAACCTTGTAGCAATGCACCAGTGCCACGACCCAGAAAAAAAGGTGGCCACATACTAGAGTAGCTAAGAGTCAGCTCAAAATCAAATAGAAAAAACTTCCTTAGCGATGCCACTCGTAATGGTGTTGGCTGACTGCATTTGGTCTCCGGGGGCAGCCCATTGGCAGTGGCGGCAGCGGAGCAGGCGCAAACGGACAAGCGCGATTAAGCGACGAGCTACTGCTGGTAGCAGCAGGCGACAGCCGATCCAGCCTCAACAGCGCCTCCAAGTATCATCAACGAACCAGCGGCGCAGCAGCAGCAGCAGCATCAACAACAACAACAAGGTTTGGCCTGGCTTGGCCGTGCTCTTTCACAGTACAGTCAGTTGACAATCCTCTATGGGCTCTGTATGGTTTCTATTCAGGCGAGCGGCAGCGGCAGCAACGACAGCATGTAGAGCCTCACACACATACGCGCAAACACTGGCACGGAAACACCGCACTCTGATACAGCAGACACCGCAAACTCTGCCCGGACCCTCTCCATAGCTCCCATCTTTCGGTGTTTTGGCGCCAAAGGCTGGCGGGCCGTGGCGCTACCAACGCGCTGATGTTTAGCGGCAACACAACCAGCGATAGTTCAGCGGCAGTAGCGAATTCTCAGGCTGTCGTAGTCGATATTGCCAAGCAGCAGCAGCAGCAGCAACAAGCGGATTCGCTTGGACCGGGTTACTTTTGCAAAGGACGGCTCCCGAAGGAAGGTTTCTGCTGGTTAAAGTAAAGACCGTGCTGAAATTCCATGAACTAGAGGTATCAGTAAAAGGCGAAGCACTCTTTGAATAGCAATAGAAAGACGGTGCCTGTCCCCGTCCGTCAGTACCTGACGATTGGTGTCAACTCAATCGGCTCAGAGCGACAGGCAAACGTGAACTGGAATGGTGTAAAATGTGCGATGGAGCCAACGTCTACTGCACGCTAATGTTCGTTCCATAGCTGTTCTTGCCAGAAATTAATCGTCTTATCTCTCACCGTAGAAGTCAACATACGAAAACGAAGGAGTTTTGCCCCTCCTTCTCCTCCTGGTGGTGCCCAGCTCTGTTATCGTTAGTAGCCTATTGCCTGCGAGGATCAGTATTGAACAGAGAAGAGTGTTCATTAATCAGTACCTTGCTTGCGCCAAAAATAACTTGAACGTGGACCAATGAGGTCACTTGCTGCTGAGAGATAAGTGAGTTAATGAGTGTGCCGCTGGAAAAACGATACTGCGAAAAGAACTTGCGTAGGAAGTAGGGCTGTATCTGGATCTGTTAAAGAACACTGGTAAGTAACAATAGTGCCACTTGTAGGCCTTTATGTGTGTGTTCTGCACGAAGTCGGTATTGAAAAGCCCGTGTCAAACATTCGATTGTTCATGTGCCAACCCGGCAGTCTGTATCAGTTAAAAATGAACCATAACACTACATGTTGAAAAACGTGTGCAACGCCATGTTGCAGGTGGCTGCTCTATTCGGACAAGACATACAATAACGTATATCATTTTAATTTGCAAAAGTATTACGAAGTCGTGCTTTCTATTAGATCGCTAATATTAGCAACGATCGTTAAACTTATTTAGAAGGTATAGTAGTTCATGCTAAAATCGAGGTAAGTGTTGATTTTTTTTTACCTGTACTTTTACGCGTATCTACTAAATAAATTACATTTAGCAATTTCCATTGTTAGTCAATACCCTTACCAGAATATATGTTGTGTGATGTATATTCATAGACACTCCTTTTTTTAGTTCTACATGGCTCGGTTTGAACAATACGTATATTAAATTTTGAGTAACTCTCGCTAAGCATCGATCGCGCATGTACTAGGCTTTGTTGAATAATTCCTTATTAAAATGCAATAATGGAACAGATTGAGCCAACAGATTAATGAGGTAATTCATTATTTCGTTGATGGTTTATGCAAGCGGCGGTTACCTAGAAGTTGGACCCATTCATTGTCTTAAATACCACTGGCGGCCGATTTGATGCCCGCTTTGAAGCTCACGTTCGCGAGGCTTCAGATTATTAGAAATAAATGTCTGATCAATGCATATATAAGTTCGGATTTGAAATCAATACAGTGAATAGCAAAAATCGTGTCTCGCCCACGCCTGTAAACTTTCGTTTGGCGCAGTCTCTGACAATATATTATGTCATCTTCGATGAATTGATTTACGTGGGCCTAACTTTGGTTCACATGGTCGGCTCTTGCGTTTCCCGTTCTTCAATATTTGAGGAACAGTACGCTTCGTATCTGCTGTTTCACCTGATCTATCAGAAACGCCGCATCTGCACGTACAGAAAAATGAAGAGTTCAAAAAAGAATAATTATAGCTGTTCTTGCTAGAAATTAATCGTCTTATCTCTCACCGTAGAAGTCAACATAGAAAACGAAGGAGTTTTGCCCCTCCTTCTCCTCCTGGTGGTGCCCAGCTCTGTTATCGTTAGTAGCCTATTGCCTGCGAGGATCAGTATTGAACAGAGAAGAGTGTTCATTCATACACCAGCAGTAAACTAAGAAATATAACTAAAACATCCAAATGAGGCCAACCCGTTGCGGTTTAGTACTTCTTAAGATTCTCTCACACAAAAACTTTTACAGAGCTGTATTCCTATTTAGGGAGAGCTTTGACGATGTTTTCATATAAATTGCTGCGATCGAGATCAGTTGCATCCCAGTATTAGCGTACGTGAATACCTAAATCACGCGTGTAAATTATGGTTAGGAGAATATGTCAAGATGCATCAAGTCATGCTGGGGTTCCAGGTATACACACGCTTACCCATCGACAGCGTCAAGCGATACCGTCCACTGTACCTTACAATGTGTGACATGACATAGCGGAGTAGACAGATCACAAAAGACTTGAAAATCATCAGCGTACTCGGCATGTTTTACGTCGGATTGGAGCGAGCAACTGACACCAAGAGCAGAGGTTCCGTACAACGAAAGCGATATGCATGTCTTCTAGGGAACTTTTTAAGGAGCAGAAAAGCGTCATTTTCGATTTTTGTCAAAAAAGATCTTTCATATAGATACCGTGTTGTTTATGGTGTTGGCAAGAATACCTTAGCCAACCAGTTTGTACAGCAGAAAGTCATAATCAATCCCATCAAGTACAATTTTTTGGTCGAAATCTTGTATATACAGGTGGGTTTTTGTTATTGAAGAACGTGTGACGCGTGCAGCAATGGTGTTGCGTGGATTAGATAGGTAAGATCGGTTTGGTCAAAACAGTATAACTATGAAAGTTCGTAAATTGCAAGCAATTCTATACACAATTACTTTTTGATTACAAAGCACTTTATCAACATAACACGTACTTTGTTATAAAAAGAGCTATATCAGAAATACCGTCATGTATGCTTCTCTATTGACGAGAGTAATTTGCATCATGTGAGCCCATCGTTATATACGGCGCCATTTAATTGCTTGCAGGATTGAGCAGTTGACGCGAAATTGGTCATTCCGAAGACATAGCTGTTTTCTTTTCGGATAGTGATCAAAACCCTGTACAAGCATCGATCATCTTATCTGATTTTGGATTTAAAGGCAATAATTACTGTTGCCCATGCATAGAAGCGCGTACGTCTGTTATAAAGAAAACGCTTGATGCGACAAAAAAGAGTTTCTGGTTAGGTAGACTGAAGTCACAATGGGAAGTAGCCTTGAGGTTAATGATCGAACAAAGATAATTATTTTTCTAACCGTTAAATATTCGTGACGTGTTACAGTGGTCTTCTACGTTTCATTGTTATAACAGGACAGTCTCAGCGTTCCTTTTGTTTATTTAGTTCCTGCAAAGGCCTGACTTGCAGGAACCGCCGCCCAGTTTTACGTTACAGAGAAAACACGGTTGCCACTTTGTGCTTTCCATCAGATAGCTTGTACAGTATCACCACCGAACGTGCTGACTAAAAGTATTATTTATATTAGTTTCTCACGCATGACCCGCACAGACGGTAAAGGACGTGATTATTTATTAAATCACTATTGTTATTATTAAGAATACATTACGGCTGGACAATACAACGATACTAAGTGGACCATTATAATATACATGTTGATAACAAGCGACTAAATTAGCAATTATGAGGGCAAAACTCAGTATCCAATCAGATATACCCGTGCTTTTATTAACGTGTAATTGTAAAGACTCAATTATTGTCCAGTTATTATTGGAATACAGTCTAACCGCTGATGGAGCACTTATCCCCAGAAGGCAGCTCCGTGGGCCTTTCTATAGTACATAAACTATATGAAACGACCTGTCTGGCCATATAAACATCCAGTTCAGTTCAGAATTTGTCTTAGACGATACAGCACGAGGGTGAATAGCGCGTCATGGCGCTGGTAGCGGAGAGCCAGAGGTTGCATCGCCGTCGACAGAACCTATTCACGAACTGCTGGTACTAGTTATTGTTCGGTAGTAGCAATCCTCGGTTTGAGCCTCACGCTGCGTGATGCCTGCTATATCGTCTTGTTGATGATGTCGCTAGTCTATCAACACATACTGTGAATGTCTGCATCTGTGTGTGATCAACAACAACAACACCCAAAGAACCATCAGGATCTATCAGGACAAAACAGACTGGCTGTGTGTACATGCTCGGGCTTATTTGGTTGGCCAACTATGGGTACCCCACAAAACACCAGCTGCAGATCGTTGTCATCTCACTACGACGGCCTGAGCGCCTGGACGTGGTGGAGTGTCTACGACCGAAGGACCGCGCCGGCTGCCCGACAACTATCCCACCAAAGGCTCATTTGTGCTCGTCTAGTCCAGAGTGATAGCATAGCGTTGTGTCTGGGTGTATCTGTGTGTCTGGGGATGTAGAAAACCGCTGCTCAAGGCTGAGAAAAGTTGCTGTGAGGGGCTAGTGGTTGAATGATACTGTTTTCGCTATCACCACTGCCTCCATCACCTACTATGCCTGAAAGCTCCGGTGCCATTCGTTTTATGTCACAGTCTGTGCCCGGCCTATATTTTTGGAGGGGTCCTCTTGTGGGCGACCAGCGCGTCGCAGGAGAAGAAGAGAGGAAGAGACAAAGTTTAGATGGTCAGAAGATGGCAACATACGTAGCGTAAATAATAACTTCGTTGTTAGATCTACATCGTCATAGTAGACGCACCAATTGGCAGAATGTTCCTGATATCACTAAACAATAGAATTTCGTGTAGATGAACAGACAGGAAAATTACATGACATGAAAATTAATTAGTAGCGCTGATGATGATGATAATGGTGAAGAAAGTGTAAAATAAGATAACGATCGCAAATGATATTGGATCCATGGATGTCAAATGATCATAGCACTTAATGCGCAAGGATGAGGCCGAATACTTGAATGTTTCATAGTATTGCGCTACGTTTACCGAATATTATTGCAAATAATTTCGATCGCGTACTTGTCGACTGTCTATATATAATTTACGAAGCGTTTAGCAAGACCGCAACGCAGTTTCATTCGAAGTAACTACCAATTTGGATGAGTCTGCTTACGCTGAATAAGGTATGTAAAAGGCAAATCTGTCCTTTCTTAATTTTTTAGATTTTTCGCCTTTGTTATAATATTAACAGTATATTCAGTCATCTCATTGCGCACGTACATTAGACTTTTTTGCCCCAACTCGTAAGAACATGTCTCGGTAAATAAAGCTGGGCTAACACATCCGTATTTAAAAAAATACCTATCACGGTGATTCCCCCCTCACTTCTACTTCGGATTCTTAAAGAATCGTCTCTTTGTCTTAGAAACTCGAAAGAAAAACGTTTTGGCACGTAAGCCGACGAATACAAATAGGGAATATAGTAGCACGCTTATTAATATACTTATGATAACTTAATCTCTAATGATTGAGTTAAAGCTAAGACTTTTTTTTTGGGTCCGTGTTTGTCATCACAGGAGAAGTGTTTTATGTCACTGTGTTCATTTTTAACCCCGTTTACAAATCTCACCATTCTTAAGCTTAAAAACATTTTTTTCCATACATCGTATATAAAAACAGCACAAAAAGAGTATGAGGCAAACGAGGAACTGAGCATGCAGGGTTGTCTTATAGATAGAATTGCATTATAAGGCTAACTGTAAGGTGTTCAATAAAACACTTCGATTCAGAAATGTACCAGACTTTGTTAAGTTTCGAGAAAATGCTCTCTGCACCGGACAGAGTATAAAGGCGTTTACAGCAGCCTTTCTTGTTATAAAGCTTCTTACTATCTTTCTTTTTATGAAACTTCCCATGAAAGTTGTTCGTGAATCTGAAGATGCACTAATTACAATTTGCATAATAATCAAACCGTAGAACTGCCGCAAAAGTGTAATCTTGAATTTAATTTTCAACTATTAACCATTAAGAGCTTAATAACATGCTTCGTTTCGGAATATTAAGTTGTTGTTGAATGGATGTATGTATGAAATGAGTTTTTCGACGCCAACAAGTTAAAGTCCATCAATTCAAGGTCATGTTGCTGTAATTAATTAATTTAGCGCGTAAAAGAAAGTCTTCAACCGGTGTTTAATGCTGAGAACGACAAAGTCCGAACAAGTAGGACGATGGATCGCTCTGACCCTAAGTCTCTCTAGTAGAGGAATTTCTTATCAATTATGAGATCTACGCCAATGTGAATCACCAAATGTACAAAAGTATTTAGTTGAAGGTGCTGCATCGTAATCATAATGTGCTGTCTACTGCAGTAGAGCAGTTACGTTCTGTGAACAGGGCACACAGAGAGTAAAAGCCCGTAGGTCCAGTTAGTTGACATTGCCGTTGGCGAAATCCTTCCTGCTCACTCAAACGAGCTAATTGTGTACTGCCTTCAATATTTATCAGCGATTCAAGTCCCCGAGGATAACGAGTGGCTTTCTGGACAAGTACACGTGTTTCATGAGATCCCATGGCCAAATGGCCGAGTAATGACTACCGACTGTAACATCAGAATACAGGAGGAGAGGAAGATGCATTTCGAACCGAGAAGAGTGAAGAATGACGCTAGAGAATCATCCCAAGCTAAGAAGAAAGTAAGTTGGAAGGCAGTAAAAGTCGAATAACAGAACTCAGCATCACGTAGTCAGATGTAATTAACACGTTTTGCAGGTTAAAACCAAACCTATAGAGAACTGTACTTCCGTGTTTGAACTTGTGCTAGATCTGTTTTATCGACTTTTGGATGCTACTGTCATTCTATAGGGAGCAAGAGGTGGATTGGCTAAAATGAGGAAGACAGTGTCCGGAGACGTGGAGAACATGCATGTGGGCATGTAATAGGCATTAGGAGCTGTGCGTTACTGTAGGTTCTGGGTCACGGCTAATCCACTAGCCCCACTCCGAAATCCGGCGTTCGGGACTATTCTTCATGCTGAGACGCTGGAGCGCTAGGCCGCCCCTATCTCAATGCGTGTGTGACGACACCTATCAGCTTTTTCCTCTCTGCTGTCTTTTACTCTGGTAATGTCGGCAATGGTGATGTTTGTGGTTGTAGTAGTTAAAGGGCGAGTCAAACCTACTAGGCAAGCGGACCTAATCCGACACAGATACGTCCCAGTATGCACAACTGCGCTCACATGGAGAGATGCCACTAAACAGTAAACGTCGGCGACACCCGACACAGCGAATAAGGAGGTTAAATCCACGTATCAGCTCTTTGACGTCGTTCATTGCCTTTTCATCCGCTTCTGTCCTCGCGGCCTGACGGCCTGACCTAATTAATGGCAAGATGACCGGCATCTACGTGTGCTCAAAATGGCTGACTCCTCACAAAATAATCCTATCGGGGCAGTTTCAGCAGGTGCTAGACTATAGCATGATGTATCAAACAGTACAGAGAAATTATTTAAGCAGAGGGTAGGAACCGAAATATTCTCTTACGACAGAGCTCATATTGATTTGACTGTTGACATCTTCCGAAGTGCTAAATGAAGGCAATATTTAATATATTCGTAGTCTAGCCCCGCTGTTTGCTGTATTCAAACCTCCGATGGCTGAATAATATATGCAATCGCCTGTAGGCGCTGTGCCCCTTGAAGGGTTTGTGCGTCCCGAAGAAGGCTGACAAGCATGCATTTTTCTCTTTTTTCTTTCTGGGAGTAAATCTCGGCTAGTGGCTTTTCTTCGAACCCGAAATAGAAACTCGACATAGTTTTCGCGTCCGTACATGTGTTCCTGCTGGTAGCCCTCGGCTCGTTGTTTGCTTCATCGGCACCAGCTGATGCGGCCAGTCTTGCTGCCGATATAAGGCTGAGTTCGTTCGCATTAGCTACCGGCAGTCCGGCAACCGGCACAGTAATGAATCGGCATAGCAACATATGGTTGCTTGGCTTCCGGGGGCACCGACATGTGCCTCTTAACGAATGTTCCTAATGAGTAACCAATAGATTTACCATTCTGAACCAACAGGGTAAAATGGAGATTATTTTACATTAATCGAACATTTGGGCATAGGTAGACTGGCACCGACAACAGCAACAACAACATTTGTTCAAGTTTTCTTCATGAGTAAGATTTCGTAGTACAGCAAAGCTTTGGGTACTAAGAATTCGATGTTAGCCATAATGCTGTCATCTTTATTTTTCGCTCTACTCATATGAGGTTGGATCTATTGGGGCACGATCTACTGGCAGACGGTAAATGGAGCAGATGTATGCGAAACAAATTTAAACCGAATCCAACGGGGATCTCTGGCCTTTGCTACATCGTATGCGATACGATCAACAGCTGAGAAGTTCAACACGCAAAATCGTGACAATAGGCTACCCTGTTTCCTAAACAGGATATAAATGATAAAACAGGCTATTCCTTACCGTGGTAATAGGACAGCCCGTTGACTGAAATATTTGTGCCGTCATAGAAAAAATTAATCCAACTGGCCAACTGCTTCTGTGTTCGTGTAGCCACAATAGTAAACCAATGCGTTTTTACCAGTAGAAAAAAATTAAATAAAAAAAAATAGTATTCACAAACACATGGCATAAAAATATCCGTATATTTGTAATATGAACCAATAGTGCAAAATGAATAATATCCGACTTAGTATTTTGCATAGAAGATTGTTCATAATTAGTTCGTGCGTAGCTGAGTCGATGCTATGCCATTGAAAAAAAAAACATAACATAGGTATTTAATAATATAGCATAAGTCATGATGTCATCCCAAGCGACTTGTCAGCTGTAACCATATTTGACAATTAAAACATGGCTGTTCTATGTAGCGAAGATAAGCATTTAAGAACGCATTAATAAATTAGATTTTCTGATTTTAATCTTTTGTGCTAAGCCTTACAGTTTACAATTAGCAAGCCCTTATTAATACATAGTGTGTAAAACTTCTGTTTTGCAGTTGCTACTCAATGCATACGGTGGTCTCTACAGTGTCCTATTCAATTCTACGAGAAATTCGCTAAAGGCACAGTTCTTAAGCAAATTTTTTATAGTCGATAACGGATTATCCTGTTCACTTTTTCTCCGGCGCTATGGAGCGCAGAGCCGTTCTTACGCCACTATCACCGCTCGACGTTACTCCACTGTATGACGGCATATCGAATATGCTTAATCTGGAAAGGTCTGTAATTTCCCTCTCGCTGACGCTGAAAGCTGAGATAGTTTTTAACTATTCACGGAAGGCATTGCAATTAAGCAAACAGTACAAATGAAGTTGCATTATGTCAGCACTATGCCGGCCGCTATCAGACCGCTGCAGAGGTCTAAAACGTATCGTATACATAAATCTACTATAATCGTACTGTACTGACATGCATTGTCTGCTTTTCCGTCATGAACTTGTATTGTAATGGTTTATAGGATGGAGTCGCACCCTTCAGCTGTTTCTCCGGATGAGGAGGTCATTCGACTTCGGGGCCGACGATCGTTCGAGCCGCATTCACCAATCAATATTGCTCGATACAGCTCACAGAACATCAGGTATTTCTTCATAGTTTCCGTCGTAGCTAAAACCTCTTGTTCTATATTATTACTGGTAAACCGCTTGAGATAAATGGATTCGACCAATAGTGCTCTTATCACTTGCCCGTTAAGAATTGTAACTGTTTTTTTACATTTAATTCGCATCCCAAGCAATGTTTCTTTAACCAATACATTTCTCCTATATCGTCTTAACAGCCCGATGAAGAAAGTCAAATCTCCAGCTAAAGTCCTCCAGTTCCGTTCACCCCGCAAACGTCTTCAGATGGATTTGGTTGACGGTGTCGGTGGAACCCCTCGTGGTCCCTCATCACCAGCAAAAAGGTTCCGTGTTTCGCTTCATGGCCTTGATGAACGAGCCTCAGACCCAGTGGCACAGTTACATTCCCTAAATAAGGTAAGGAAAATGTCAAACACTTTTTTTTGTTCTTTTATACGCAACGTAGAACTGACATTCGCTTGACCTACAATGATGGACGACAAGTTACTTTTTTGCTAAATACGCTATACGAATTGCAGGGACAACTGCGAGGCCTGCTTCAACGTGCTTTGTCGGAAGAGGCGGTGCGCGCGCAGTTAGCACCACATATGCCGGCTCCAGATCTCACTCGAATGGAAGCTAAACTGCAGCAGCGCTTAAGAGCAGTTCAGGTGGCTCAAGGAGGGGCAGGACGGCATCACTCGCAACCGAGTCCACCAACGTTTTCTAAGAGGCTTCATCCTGTTCTTGATGAATTTCGAACGAAGATTACCTCACATGTCGAGGGTCTGCTCAAAGGTCAGTGTCTATACGATGCGCTCGATATGTGAAATATAGAATGTAGTGAAGGCGCACGCATTTGCAGACTGCCTATATAAACGCTATCCTAATTCTAATTGCATCGTAGACGTTAAAATAGATTTTACTTATAAGGATGCGTGCCATAATGCAGCTCTACAGAATAATTCATTTTAATACAAATAAAAAATATCAGTTGGAGTATATTTCGAAAGTTAGTTTACCATTCACCCCCGTTTCAAGATGGTATGCTCATTATAGGTGAACAATGGACCGGTGGGGTGGAGTATGTCCTTTTAGCATGGCCGTATGTTCGCCAACTACCCGAATGGCGCGAGCAGGTACAGAATCGAACACGACTCGCCTGCTTTAAATTACTTGCTGGACTTCTAGCTACCTGTCTACCGCGGTGTTCTAACCTTACTGATGCGCATAAGGTTTGTAAGATATGATAAGAAATGACGTTTATTTGTAACAGCACTGAGGAAGGAAAGGAGGTCGAAACCTAGTCAGTCATTCCTACTAGTGCATTGCATTATTTCTCATTGCAATAGTCGATAACCGCATGTTAAGTGTGCTTGTTGCAAAATTACATATTTGCCTTTTTTTACATGAGGTTCTGTATCCACAGTTGCTAAATAAAGTGGCACGATAAAGGCCAGCTTGGATGTATAGTGTGTATTAAAAGGGTGATGTTATTATTTATCGATAGTAGTGGATCTCTACGTTTAAATAGCTATGGGACGTTTTATTAACGTCGATATATTATGTTGATGACGTCGATAATTATCTACGTTCTAATAAAATATAGCTGCATAAAGCATACTTTTTATGCCCCCTTTTGTAAGGCAAGCAATTTTAATTGTTGTTAACTTTCAGGAGACGCTTGCGCGAAGAATTTCAGCTATGAAGCCTGACTGTCCACAAGTGGTTTTACCGCTAGTGAGCGCGTTGCATGCCGATACCACTCCAGCCAACTGACGTCTCATCCTCGAGAGACAGCAGCCTATAAACAAGAACTTACGGTAACGAAACATCGAAGTTTTCCTTTGCAAGAAACAAGCGAAAGGCTTCCCGCTATTCACGCATGAATACCACTGACTGGATATTTGTCATTTATAAATATCCTCCAATGATGGCCCTGCAAAATCACCACTTAAGTGGTCGTCACCGGACTATACCGAAAAATCTTGCAGATGATCTATGCATCGTATGTTTTATCTGCGTGTGGGCGAGGAAGTTCAGTATCTTCACTGCAGCAAGCACTGTATCTAAATATGATAAATAAGTATGAACAGTGTTATCTAATAACTATTACGATGGCTTTGAGCACACTACATACACAAATCAACTCTGACGGATTCACATGACAGTTTATGCGAAGAATTTTTGCCGTCTCTTAATTATGATGTACCTGCGCGATGAGACACACACATACGCGAACACGACTATATATCGTTACATATGTAGCACACACAAAATAGATATTTTGAAAATAGGGATAATATAGAAATATTCGATACAGAATCAAAGTAACTTCGAAGGGAATGCCTTAATGGTCGATCTTCACTAATTTACTTAAAGACCAAGATTCATATGACATCTTATGTAAACGTTCGATTAAATTTCAAACGAACAGAAAAAAACCGTGTATCGTCAACCAGTATCTAGAAATAGAATTAAGTTTAAACAAATGAGTCGTTACATATTATGAAGGACGGTCTCATCTCAGGCATTTAAGTATAAAAAGTTCGCTTGAAGCACCATTGTAGTCGATCTTGCGTGCGACCGTTTTTCTTCGAGCAATAAATTTAGTCAAACAAGAAAACAAATAAAAAAAAATATCTAGCGTATTGCATTTACCATAAAAAGCTCACAAATCGCAGTAGTCTGGATCTGCGTCTGCGCAGTGTCACGCGAACAGTTGCGAAAAGCTACAAAGAAGTACGATAGGTACATCGGCATTTACCTATTGATTATACATAAAGAAAGACTGCGTACGGCCGGCCGCATTAAGACATCGTTTTATAGCGGCTTGCACCAATAACTATTTTCTCAGCAAGTCAATCGACAAGCATCTATTCAAAATGCATACGTACTTGCCAAACAAAACAAGGAAGGATTAGTGTGTTCCAATATTTATCGAATCCATCATGAACTGGGCATGATCCTGGTTTTTGAAAGAGAGAAAGAAAATCTTTCTCTAACCTAATCTTGTTTGTTATTGCTTTGTTTATATTGTGACGTCAACATAAATTTGATAGTTTAGCTAAGTGAGCCACGCGTCGTTTTCCAGACAGTAGGAGTCTAACGAAATACGCAGGATTAGACGGAGCCTTTAGCTACCGTGCCATTATAAGCGTAAACTAATTCCGACGTGCAACATCAGACACAAATTTCGTTCTGCAAAAATAAATCACAGTCCTTCTCTATTTAATACAGCCTGTCGTTATAATATCATTGTTAAGAAATATAGACTCCCTCTGTAAATTTATACTGTGACTTTAACATAGCAGTTATGTGCGTCTTGCAAAAAGAAATCGAGATTATATTGGCACACACTGGGTCTCTTTTAAACAATCGGTGCCTACAAGAGTAATTCCCCAATAAAATGCTCTAGTAAAAGGTGATCTGTACAAGGTTAAAAGAAGTGGATGCCATCGTTTCTGTACGTGCCCTTAGGCAGATATTGGGTCGGCGCTTCTTCGGACACGCTGCTGTATCATGTGAGGAAAACAAAAAAACAAGGCTTCCTCCATTCATTTACTGTTTTCCCCGGTGATAATAAACATTCCCAAACAGATTATGGATGAGTATGAAAGCTGTTTAGATAGTACCACTATTAGGGTGTTGCTAATACTATGCATGTCTGTTATAAATGCTACATCCTTTTTACGTTATTATTATTATATTCTGGAACGTCTATTATGACCGAGGGATATAGGCTGCCATTATAAGGAGAGTGATGGAAGAAAAGCTATATTTGAAAGGTGGAGATGCAACGAAACTCTTGTCTCTAAGTCTCTTGTTGTTAGAACATCCCAGAAAAAAATTGTATTTTTACTACACTTTGTGACGAACCGGTAAGATAGTTATGACCATAATGCACTTTGCATAAATTCTATAATAAACTTATGAGCGGGATTGTTAATGACGAATCGTTATTGATAACACTGAAAATTATTTTTCGATAATTATGTGGTTGTGTAACTTTTACAGTCAATTAAATACAAATATACTGTGAGTGGCAACTGAATAATAAAGTCCTATGGACATCGAAGAGATGAATAATGAATTGATAATGGGTCTTTAGTTTACATTATTTTTGGTAGCTTTTTGGGCTTACACTATTTTTGGTAGCTTTTGGGTTTTTTTGGGCTTATATTAATACATTGCATTGGATAATACATTCCATTGGATGTGAAATTTGTATGTTTTGAGAAAGCAACATTTGTAAAATGACATTTTTCTATTGATTTTCTTTGCGTGTAACGACTAGCGTACTTCGTTGTTGGCGTATAAAACTATTTTTATTGGTCCGATAACTTGATTCTTGTTTGCAACTAAATTCAATTTTTCTATAACATAACATATCATCAACAGCTTCAGTTGTTAAAACAATTATAAGTATATTTATTTATCCATTAAAATTTTGAAAACACAATCAAACCAAGCACATGTCCACCGACCACTCGCCATATATATTCGCCATACATGTTAGCACGTACTTAAATTACCGTTAAGTCTGACAATCAAAAATCCGTGTCAAAAATCAATAATCCGAATTATACTAGTAACCTACGAAACATTTGCTCTTAATATCCGATTTATACTAATAACCTACGAAACATTTGCTCTTAATAACCGATAGCACTTCTGTCTCTGCTCCGTCTAAACAACAGTGCAAACATTCTAGTGTTACGCTTAGGTCGGTCTTAACATACCCTAAATGCCGTATTGTCATATACCATTGACTCGATTTAGTTTAGCCGGACATTCACAGGTTCCTAACATCGGAGCAATCAGATTTGAAGCACATTAAGTCACAGCCAGCCCGTCGTAACAATCGAATTGTTCTTCAGTTCAACACGCGCGTTTGCACGAAGGCACTAACAAGAACTACTACTATTTTCGTGTGTGTGCTTATACTACCTCTTAAGGTTGTTTGCACTGCAGAATCTTCGTTCCCTTTCCACTATTTATCCGCTTTAATCTTACCTGTCTGCCCGCACGCTTGTCGATACCTCGTCATGTAAATAGGTTATAATTGTCTGGGCGCCTTAACCAGCTTGGAAAAATTTCGAGGTCTAACGTCGTTACCAGAAAGGATAAGAATATAATCTGATCAGTAGCAACAATAAAGATATTACGGAATTTACTTTGTAATGTCACGCCGTTTTTATAGAAGCACTCTAAATGTCCTGAGATCTTTAGACAAATACGGAACACTTTAAAGTGATATTTTTTTTCTAGTTAATCCACTTCGATACTTGACATCGCTTCTCATTGAATAAAATATCGAGATTTTATTATGCCGATAAGCATATTCCAACGAAAATTTAGCGAATTGTATACATCAGAAGTTATGTCAAGTTACTTAAAGGGGTATTGAAAACTTAGAGACATTCAGAGAACAATGACCAAACTCGACGAAAATTGTTCGAGCGCATGCGTCTTCTCTAATTAAACAGACACGAAGCGCGTGGGCGAGAAAAATACTGCTTGTTAATAAACGACTGTTTGCTAAGTAAGGAGGTAAAAAAAAACGTGTTTTTTTTATGTAGTCCTAACGATGATTTAAGATGATGGAGAAATCAAGAGCTCAATTCTTGGCCTTCTCTGCATCGTCCTTTTTACTGCTTTCCGCCAATATCTGTTGCACCTCTGTAGGTTCATTAAATCTCGACTTCTCGTAGAAAACCTTCGCAACGTCTTTAAGATCAAGGGGCTTCTGCTCCTTTATGATCTTTTCCGCTTCACTGAGTCGTGCAAAGGTATTACAGAGTAGAATACCCACAACGATATCCTAAAATTAAGAAAAATTAAAAAATAAGTAACACTTATCAAAGATACACGCATCTCACATGTATCTTAAAACGTCTGTAGCCAAAAAAATAATATGTGACCAGCATTGATGCTGTTCTGGAAAGCAAATTTCTTTTTTCCATTCTTGCATTGATTAATAATGTAATAATCTCGTGTATTAATAATTGTATTAATGTAATTAAAAAGAATGATGGTAAGACCTGTTTTGTGTTATGATCTGGTTACTGCTGTTATTTGTGTTTAAAAAACACAGCTTTTAAATAGCCTCAAAACGTTAAGCTTATAAGTACATATATTTACTCACATTTTTGTTTTTATAGAAAACAACTCCTCGAGTGATTCTTCCATTGAAGTCGGGTTTCTCCTCGGGATGTTCTGGGAAAAAGACGGAGTATGTCTCTAGCGTGGGATCAAGAACGCCCACGCCTTCAAAGCTAACTACGTTGCCCACGTCGCACCACATAATCGACTGTTTCGAATAGGACTTATGGCCTCCTGCCATGTTGCGACCTGCAATATACATCATTCCACGTAAATATGTTATAGAAATATGAGCTGTCGTGATAGCGACAACTGACCGCTAGACTATTGAATAAAGCTGTTACCATTATCAATTGTCGCAAGCGCACAACTGGCCAAACGATATTCATTCATCAACATTGTACTATACAACATGTATTTGATATATTCAGCACAATTAAAACAAAATCACAAGGATACTGGCATATTTAATAGAAACAGAATGGCAGTACTTCAATAAGGTAACACGATAACTATAGCAGAGTATATGGGTAGAAGTTAGATCTAACCAATCACTAGTGCAGGGCGTAGGAAATATTGGGCCACGGTAAAAGGACCATTGAGACAATGTACACGCATGGAAAATATCTCATCACTGTAGCCAGATAAGTACAATGGAATGCCGGATTGAAAGAAGCATCAATCAGATTAATTTTAATTAGAAGAAGCTGATAATCCCTGCGGCAAGACAGCAAGTTTGTTGGAGCCTGTCATTAGGAAAACGGGATAATGGCACCGGGGTAACAAGTTACGTAAAGCTAAAGTAACTGCAATCAAATAACTGCTGATATATAGCCGAGTTTGGTTCTATGGTCATCTGTGAGTAAGATCAGAACATCATAGCAGTTCTGTAATGATAACTTTCTTCGCAACATAAAAACGAGGCAGGCTTAAGCGCATATTTTGTATAACAGAAAAACCATACCAGCGATTCTGCCTGTGCCTATGCCATGATCATGGCTCTGCATTCGCCGTCGGCCCAACAATTGATCGTAGAATGAACAGGCATCTCCAGCAGCATACAGGTCTGTACTAACCTGGAATTCGGAGTTAACCACAATGCCACCATTTTTCTTGTCCACCTAAGCGCACAAGCAGAACGAGGCAGAACGTATAACAACATTAACTTAAGAAGGTAAAAGTATTTATTTAAAATTACGATAACTATGCAAGCAAGAAACCGATTTGTTGGTAGATTTTATTTATTGTAGCATAACATAGGCATCATATTATGTAAGAGGCTTAAACGGCCACGTAATACGTATCTAATATGATATTTGTCCTGGCTAGTTAAATGTATTGTTTAAAGTATGCTCCTACCTCAAGACCAGACTTTTGAGCAAATTCAATATTCGGTTCCGATCCCATCGCTAACACAATACGATCCACGATGATTTGCTTGCCAGATGTTAGTATAAGCCGTACCTGCTTATTCGTTGTCACCTAATATTGAGCATTTTAAAAGAATTAACTGTTGAATCAGTACGGAAAATATCTCACCCAGGAAAGTCGATACTGAAGAATCAGTAGATGATACGCATTGCATTGAAGTAAACGTTTATCACGTCTGGCTTCGTAAATCGTTCTAGTAAATAGATTTGTCAGCCTGCTTACCCCATTTAACTCCAATTTTAGTTATTATGGTTTGTAGTGAGCAGTCTAGCAGTGTTACTTTCAAAGCTTATTATATATATAATATTTAAATAGGGTATAAACATTTTTCTTTGACAACAGGTAACATGGCATGGTTATCATACCTCTGCGCCAATAATATCCGTTCCTGATAAAACTTCGACACCTTCAGCTGAGATCTGTCGCGTTAGCCACTTCGCCAAGTATTCAGGCAGTAGAGAGCACATGTTAGCAGCTTCGGGAAAAATTTGAATAACCTGCAAATAAGTCAATATGAAATCATGACATATATGACATAAAGCTTTCTTATTTCTATTACAACGACTTACCAAGACAGTACAAATGTACCCAGATAGCTCAGATGCGTTTATCTAGCTGAGCTTTAAATAATTATTATGGAATAATATTATGCGAACCTCTAAATGGGTCGAAATCCAGTACGTCCTAAAATAAATAGAGATTTACCTCTAATTTTGAATTGGCCCTCTTCGCAAACTCAACCATGTTAACTGCTAACTCCGATGCAGCTGGACTTTCTCCGACAATAACAATTGATTTGCTCTCCAAAGCCGATTTTTGCAAGCTTTTAAAGCTGTCGATAGTCCTGAGCTCCACGATGTATGGCGTAATTTCAGGAATTTTTGATAGGATAGGATGGCTTTTTGTTTTCGCGCCCGGTGCAAGTAAGCAGCGTCCATATTCCAGCTAAAGGGAAACGAATCATAGTAATTCTGTGATCTAGTTAACGCTCGGTGTAAAGCATAAACATGAAAAAATGCATATCTATCTCGCACGCACTATGGTGCAAGCAATTCGTCTGAGGAGAACATTGTGGACATTGGCTAACCTGGTTTCCGTCGGCGAAGTATACAATTTTCTTCTTAGCATCAATCCTGACAACCTTCAGGCCGCCCATATAGGCGACCCCAGGGCTCTCTTTAATTGCTTCTACTTTAGCGAAATATTCTGGATGTTCGAACATGATGCTTCGTTCTTTGCCATTCCACTGTTTAAATGCCATTTTCTCATTTAAGGTATCTCCTGTATCGAAAAACCAGCAAATAGTTATTTTTATATATTATTTCGCCCTACTTATTTTTTTGCATAATAAATCACAACGAGATGCCGATTCATTAACAACTGACAATGAAGACAATGACAAATTTTGCACGAACCTTGCCATAATTCCTTGGATAGTGGCGGTTTCATATACGGCAAATGATTGTCCTCTCCGACTATTAGAACCTGCGCTTTCGGATCGGCAGCCCGAATGGCTCTGTAAGCCCCGTAGGTAGACGCGCCGCCGCCAACGAGAAGGTATTGCACTTTATCTACCGGTAAAATTGCCCTAATTCCACAACAAAGGAGCACAATAAATTAATCAGTGGCACGAAATCGCTAATTATTAGATTATTATCTCGATCGAATAAATATGGCGGTCACGAGTAAAAACAGATTATAAATGGAAATGACTACCAACTTTTTTGCTCACTGTCTTTGGCTCTCTCTCTGTAGCAAACCAAGCTACGCATAAGGCAAACATAGGGTATAAATATATGATTCCTGGTGTAGTTTTTTTTGTAAGGATTGAAACCTTTTAGCACCGATGCTTCTATAATGGGTACCAATGCCTGTGTCAAGTCTCTCTCTCTCTCGCTCGCTCGCTTTCTATATTATATGTATATAACCGGTACTTTAATGGTGCAAACGTTTCAGAAATGGAGATTGGGACGTTAAAGATCAGCGAGGAGGTGAGCAGATGTCGGGACCCAGAGGGCAAGAACGCATTGCAGCGTTTGAAAAGGAGGCTCATGAAAGAATAGTTGGGCGTCAAAGGACTGTATCAGCCAAAACTTGCATTTTGTTATGTTAACATGTTGAATAGATCAAATACTAGAAATACAGAAATCTAGTACAGAAGGGATTGCCCGAGAATTGGTCCCAGGTCAGTTGGAAATATGTGTAGGATATTCCACGTGCACTTTGCGGAATCCTAACCAATCAAAAACCTGCCTGGAACATACGGTCGCCATAGACGAAGCATATTTAGACCTCTACTGCCATCCGGAGAATGGTAAAAATGGCATCCCCTTGAAGACAAACCGAATTCGGTGGCAGTGTCAAACAGGTTCGGGCATGAGGTGACGGTAATACATGCAACGGACATCAGCAGCACTTGCTACTATGAAAAATTTCCCGAAATGAAAGAATGAATTCAGGTTACTATCTCGATTTCCTAGGAAACATATGGATTGTTGACCTAGCAAGCAAAGGCACACAACTGGGTTTCTTGATGATAACGCCAGACCTTATTGTCATGACTCAGTTGTCTTGGATTGAGCAAAGGAATATCCAAAGTTGGCTTCAACCCGTTTATTCGTTCGTTCCATGTTCGCGTAATCACACAGCCTTCCGTGCTCTAAAAATGGCAACTGGTAAGCAAGCATATCCGACTATTGATTTACTTCGAGAAGCTATAAATAGAGAAGCCACACAAGGGAACGCCAATAACAGGTATGTGGCTGTCGAGAAACTGCTATGACGCTGGGACAAGTAAAAGATAATACGTATTAATTTTAACGGACTGTTCGAAATTTAAATTTCAAAGTGCGCCGGACTCACTAATAGGAGCCTTATAAACACTATGAGTAAAGAGTGCAATGATTCGATGCTGCTGATTAAGCGTAATTGCTCAAACCCATTTATTATCATCATTAAGTCTTAGTTGGTTGTAGATCCCAAGACGGTAGTCAAAAAACAATCTGACTTGATATCGCGAATCGAGTCGCTCAATCTCACCTGACTGGCTGCGGTCTCAGCGATGGCTTCTTGTTCAGCTGATTCGAATAATATATAGCTCCTCCAAGTCCGGCAAGCCCGGTTGTTGTGAGAACAATTTTTCGATTCCACATTATTCACGGGCTCCTTGATTTGCCTTGAAATGACAGTTCTGCAACCATTTGACAAATAATCGTCACGACGGTAAAGATTGTTGGTAGATGCACCCATGAAATATGGCACCATTGCGTTTTTCAATGGTTTGTGCAGCTTGTATCGTATGTTCGTAGCATTCGTCCCGTTCAAGGTCCACATCTATCAAATGGTTAGGTCGTTTTAAGCCGCTTGCATTTATAACGAGAATGTCTTCTGCCTCACTATCTAATGAAACTTTCCATCCATTTTTCGTTTAAATATTCTTGATCATACTCAAAGCTCCTCTGTCGGGTAGTATTTCTCAAAACTCAATGGAAATATAACCACAAGCAGAAGTTTTCCGTCCAGTTGGCTTGCTTGTATCAGTGTCTTCGTGTATGTATAGAAGCATTGGCTAAGTTCCCATAAATATACGGCTTTATACGCCGGCTACGTTTTACAATTTTTTAGATTGCAGTGAACCTCCGTGGTGTCGAGAGGCCGTTCGCTACATTTTCGGAAGTGCACCTCACAATATCGTAAGTCAAAGCAGTAGATGTTAAAGCAAGCATTAGCTTGTATACGTGTAACATATTAGAGCTTAGGTAGCAGGTATCAATACTATGCTATAGCCAATATTCTACCCTAGTATTAGTAATAAAATAAACACGTTTGATATATGTGGAATATATTTATATTGACATTAACATAGATGACTGCTGACAACATTGCTTTTATACCAAATTAGTAGTATATACTACTAATTGTATAATGCGGCATATTAACGGCAGACTACGTAGTTCTTGCTGTGTTGTTTATCGCAAATCTTGCCACTGGAATCATCATAATGTATCGTTTGTTAAGGCCTTGATAAAGTAGCCGTTGATTCTTTCAGAGCAATCAAAGCTGGAATCAAACTGTGCGATTTTGTATCCGCAACGCTATTTGTTTACCACGGAAAAATCTGCATGCGATTAGTCAGACCTCAATTTTGTGCACCTCTGTTAAATGCACGGTGTGCTATTGGTAGTGTAGTGTCGATCAGCTCTAACACACATGTACAATATGGCTAATGATCATGTAAATAAAATAACAATTATTTGGCACATAAATAGTAAATAATAAAGTAAGAGATATGCGACATGTCCATATCGCCGATGACTTCCGCGTTTTTCTAGTCGTTTTCACTCAAATAGAAACATCCATTTCATTTCACTTTCAAATATTGCAGTAAAAAAAATTATTTTTTTCTCTTAATCAGGGCACTTACGTGTGGTATGGTAGGCAGCTCATGTTCTTTGTATTCTGCCTACCAGATCATCTTTACCTTTTTACACTGAGAATATTATGTAGTTGGCAAGTAGTGGTCCGTAACCACCTCATATATGTATTTACTAGCAATACCATCTTCTAGAGTTCAACCTCTCTAATAGCGCGATGGCAAACGCTGCGTTCCGCTAGGGGACGAGTCAAGCAAAAAAAGCAGTCCTACCCACATTGTAAAAAGAACAGTCTGTGAGAAACAATTAGGTAGAAATTCAAAGAAGCATCTAAGTCGTTAAACAAGTTTCACAGCCAATAGTACGCGCGTTCACGGTCGTCGAGTCCAATGAGAAAATGGACGCACTTGACAAAGGGGTATGCTTGACTAGGGGGGAGTAAGGCCGAAAAACTATGGTCATCTGTTCTTATTCGAGTCATTATTATACTCATATACAGGAATACAGCTATTTAGAGGTATCAGTCCTCAAAGTAGACGAACCTAAAGTCAATATAAGAATACAATACGCACATAGACACTCACGGTGTCGCGGACGTGTCGAGATTCACGCCCCGGCGCCGGATAAAGTGATGAAACAGTGTTTGCCGGTAGGCAACAATACCCGCAGTCCAAAAAGCCGGTGTTGTTCAAAGGAAGAACACAGCATCCATCACACACACTGATGGAAACACGCTATTCATATCTTGCTAGCCGGCCCATTCGTCGGGATTCCTACTAACCACAGGTAAACAGAGGCGGTATCCACATGTTTATCGACTGCTATCCGCAAATCTCATAACTGACGGAGTAATCGATGGTGTGGATGGAGGTGTGACGTCGGCGCTGAGAAGTTGACGCGGATTAGAAGTTTCGGTTTTGTATTAGATAGATTTCCTCATTAATTACGTAGTCAGATTAATAAAGGATTGCCTATTTGTACGAAGTATGAATAACTAGAGAAAGGTCTTCTAGTATATACGACTTATTAACAACGGTAGAGAATTCTGAAATTGATTTGTGTGTCCGAAGGTGTCGTAAAAAGACGCTTGGAAGTTTACTACATAGAAAAATCAAAAAAGATCATATTTCGAAACGAAAATAAGCTTGCTTAAACGTTTTGTGCTGCCTTCTGTCTCTTATTTTGAACCCCTTCAAATTGCGAATTCGTAGATAGGAAAAAAAATATCTAGTCTATTAAATACATACGCGCACCTCGTCAAAGGCATTTCATGAATTGATTTTTCCATCGAAAATAATATTTTTATAGAATTCAATCAATGCGCGTATGACCTAATTCAATAGCAAGAGATACAATTTTTAATATTTGTGAAGGAGAAGATCTGTCTGCAAACGAATTCCACTCGGTTCGTAACGTCGCTGTACCAATAATCATCAAAAAAAGGGTCTGAAAAACCACTAATGCAAAAAATAACTATAAAACCCCGTTCCTTTTTTGTCTCCTTTTGAGTAGTATTCAGCGCTGAGAAATGCACTGAGCCAAGCTTCAGAATCAGTTTTACGAAAGAACGTACCGAAACTTTTCGCCAGTATTGTTTGTTATTCGCGTGCGAAGTTTCTCTCCTACTGTAAATAATATATAATAAATATACGTGTTAGATTTAAAAAACGGAATGGAACGGGGGAAATCAGATATTGAACATAAGCCACGTTCACATTTTGTAGACGTACAACGAAACAGCAACAGATTATGAGATTTTTTCTCTTTCTATTAATTATCTTGGAGCAATAATACCATAAATATGGCCATCTTTTTCCCTGCATTCGAGAAATTTCACACTGCCTCCTTACGCCCTTCACAGAGCCACTGTCATGCTTGAAATTGACGACATTAAGTTAGCCCGTCTCCCAAGAACATATCGCCCTAAAGCACTCCTTAAGCGACTATCCACGCACCTTCTGCATCGAACGGTGCAGTGCAGCTCATTCCGTCCCCGCACGAACCCCTCAGCCTTTATCCAGAGACTGTCAGCCCTGCTTCGGCCTCCTTTTCGCGGAGCAGAAGTGGGATCCTTGTGGCCGTCATTCGCCATAATTTTTTTGGGGTTTTAAGTATGTCTACCTCCGCCACCGCCACCTCCGCGATTTTCGCCGATTTCCAAAGATCGCCGCCATCATCAAGCCCGTCCGACAGAAAAAGGTGGGGTTGTCGATCTGCCTTCTTTTCGACTCAGCATAACTATCATCATCACCGCTGTTATTATCAACGTGGATTAATCTACTGATAGTGTCGCAATCACTAGCGCTTCCTCGTGTTTGTCTTTATCGTTGCTTTTATCACTGCAGCAAGACTCCATTATTGTTATTGACTCGGCTCAACCCGTATAGTGTAGTCCGTGCAAGCTCCACGCTTCCTTTGCTATAGAAAATTTTAGGCAGAGTATAGGTTCCCGCTTCAGGATGTCGTCTGCCCTTGTTTTTTTTTCACAGAGAAGTTGCGAACACTTTGCCGCTATTGCCCTTGCCGCTACTGTCGCTGCTGCTGCCATCGCTGGTACGGGCGAATCGAACTATTGTGAACCTTGTGAGAGCAACGGCGTGAGGTTGTCTAGGGCTGTAAATTTTCTATCCAGCAACAAGCACAGCCCAGACAGACACCATTTCGATAACCCCCACCATCACCACCACCACGACTACTACGACCAGGAAGAACTGCGCTGTCGGTAGTTCCTGCATTTAGCTAGCTACCCAGCCTGCCTGTCGGCTTAGTTGTCTGTCTGTCTTTCTGCGTGCTGACGTCCGCTGGAGCTCTGCTCTTTTCGCTGCTGCTGTTGGTGACGGCGAATGTGTACAGTATGACGCTGTGGTTGGAAGCACACAGCACTAATTTATAAGCAGCAGCCATCTCTCTCTAAAAAATTACAGTGATAATAGCCATAATCGTGCGTGTACTCGGCGGGACTACTGAGGAAGGGCTTCGTGGGATTCTAATGCACGAAGCTCGTTGTTGTTATTGTCATTTCACTTTAAATGCACAGGTTGACGGTGTGTTTACTGGTGTGCTACGAGTACATAAACTGGGTGTATCAGTTTTGGCAGAAATAACTGATCTGAGAAAGAGAAAGAAAGAAAAAACGAATTGCAGTTCAGAAGGTGTAGCAAAAACCGAAGAAGAGGAAAATCAACCTGTTTGCCAATACCGTAGTGATACGGTCGCTGTATATAAAAGAACAAACATTCGTCGATACTTGTTCTCCGACACACTCTAAAGCTGCATACGAAAAGTGACTACCATTTCATTGATCGGATAGTGGAACATTATACGGGTGCATTTGTCATCAGCTTGCGTTGTTTTCATGATCATCGTCACGCTAAGCGCGTCTCTAATTACTTGTCGGATTCGAGTGTAGAGAAATGTCAACATCTCAAAATTCCGCATGATTGTTACCTACTAGCAATTTAAGCGGTAATATTACAAGTGAGACGGCGACTTTCAGGATCAGCCAGACCTACATCAGATCGCTGGACGGCGGCACCACCACAACAACAACGGCGCGAACAAGCATAAATTGTCAGTTAGCGATTAACTTTGTATCCATATCGTTGACTGATTGAGAACCGTTCATAGTGTCCTTCTCTTTAATGGAAACAAGCTGTTGCTAATACTACTCGCACAGCGAATCTCCGATTTTCTCGGTCTGACCTGACGGTGGCGGCAGCAGCCGGCTACTTACTCAGCCGGCTATACTTACGTCCGCCTGTTATTTAGCAGCTGTAACAACGACGGCCGTCAGCAACAACAGCAGCGTCGGTGCCACAGCAGCAGAACGGGTCCTGACAGTAGTTTAACGGGATTGCTGCGGCCGTATTATCGTTGTACGGCCGGCTGTCACTGGAGGCTGCCCCCTTCCCAAGTGAACGTCGCAAGCGATTCGCAGGCACACATCAATGAGTTGACCGCTGCCAAACGCACTGAATCACACGAAAACATAGCTATATATTGTTTATTACTCGAGTTGTCACTAGTTGAAGTGTAAACAGGCAAGGCAATAACTCCAACATTTCAGTGGCACAACGTGAGACGGTGTTGTGAGGGTGCGTGTCATCGACAAATCTTAAATACTGAATGAAAGTACCAGGCTGTTATAGCTGGCGAGGTCGATAAGCAATAGACAGATAAACAGAGTTAATCGCTCTGCGCCTGAAGAAGGTAAAAGGCGCCTGTTGTTGGGCAACTGTTTCGGCCCCTGTTGGGAGTTAGGGGAAATCGTGCAAATTTCTGCGACGACGAAAGGGTACGTTCTTGCTCCGTTGACGACATCATTGCCATCATCGTCATTTTCATCTCGTTGCAAGTGTTGAAACTGAAACAGCTCGATAGAGAAGTGGTTCGGCTGAAATGAGTGACGTCGTCTGTGTCTTGCACTTAAGCTCTTCTACACGATAGCCAGTAGATTTGTTGGTACCTGCGTATGTACAACAGATGACACTGTGTTGTCCTGATATATTCAAAGGGAAGCATTTATCTATGATCAAACTCCATCGAAAACAACCACCAAGAACTTAACACCGTAAACGTCGATCTGCTAAAACCTGAGTTGGTTTGCAAAAAGCCGATATCATCGTAATTTCGCTGACTCTCTCTTATTAATATACGACGACAATAACGAGCTGTTAGAAGTGAATAGTGCGCTCTTTTAATAAACTGTTTCTAGTAACATCACTTTGACAGTGTATCACAGAAAAATGTCTGGCTTCGATGACAACCCGTTTGCTGACCCAGCGACAACCGTCAACCCATTCAGTGATCCATCAATTCAGCGGGCTACCCAACAGCCGCCCAATGGAGGGGGCATAATTGACGACTATAACCCATTCGAGAATCAGGCCCAGCCACAGATTGCTCCGGTCCATCCGACACCAGCGTCCGGACAGCTGCCACCCGACCCGGCAAAACGACACCAGCAGCAGACCGCGGACGCGGTTCGGAACAACCAGATCCACCAGCCAGCTGTTATGCAGCCTGTCGACCCAGCAGCAAAGGTAAATCATTAAAATTTCTATGTGAAATAACTGCTAAATAGAATAGAACTTATCTAGTGATTTCAATCGTAACTTTTGAAACTTATTAAACAGTCAACACTTCACTAGGATGCTTTGTTAAATTCGACTAAATTAGAGCTTCGTGTTAAACAATCAAAAGAAGATTTCATAATATGAACGTGCCCTAACGGTTTGCGGTTTGATTTAGCAAATGAGTAATATTTTCCCTTCAGGATACTGTTACTGCTCTGAGGATGATGATAGGCTATTTAGGTTAATTGAGCTGATTTTGATTTCTTCCGATCCGAATTCGATGGAGGGGCACTTTGCGGCAAGAACATAACTTGCGCTGGTAGTATAAGCAAAGTCAGCGACGGCGTTCCCTGTCTATAAAAAACGTGGTAGATGTCAGGCAAATTCCAGAAGGCAGTCGTTAGGTGCTTTTTTGTCGTAGCTTATATAGCTAATAGCGACCATAATGACACAATTTTTCTTGCTGAAGTGCCAAGGGAACGGCTCAGCATTGTGTAGACGTGCGCTGATTCAGGCATAATTGCATCAACAGTATGAGTGAACAAGAGCTTGAGTGAAAGTGATATGTTTGATTTATCAGTCCTGGACATTAGTAGCATATTACATTATATATTTAACAGATTAGCAGAATCTCATTCTGCTAAGCTGAAGCTCGTCCCTGTCGACCTCTGTTCTAAGGAGATTGGCGGTTGCGATGGAAATGTAGAGTTAATCTTTAAGCGTAAGCACAAGAAGATACCGGAATGGCGGGCGTTTAGAATACATCTCGGTGATGGGTAGCGCGTTTGCATGCTAAACTTGAGCCATCTGACGGAAAGCCTGACGGCGGCACCGGACGTAAGGTTCGAGCTATTTACTTAGAATCTATCCAGGAAGATAAGCCAAATATCGTTGTATATTGGCAGACATCATTTAATACGTTACCTATGCCAGAACTCGATGAACTATTACTGCAGAGTGGCTTATAGTCAAAGCGCGTTTCGATTGTTTAGCTCTTACATTAAAACACCAAATGGCATAACAGCCGTCATCCTAAAATCGCAGGATTAAGTAGTGAAGAAATGAGTTTTCACAGTTTTTCGAAACAGATTGTACGCATAAAACGTTTTTGTGGCACGAATATTTACTCACTAAATTCATATGGCGTACATTGGACATTATCAGTCTATACATGACGTCGTAACAGCATGTTTTTGTGCTGATCTATTGAATGCCGGTTTACACTTATCATGGAGGTGGTTGCCGGTCGCATCATTAAAGCCTCAATAAAACTGTAATTTCACTTGATAATTACGTTGAGTAAAATTACAGTAGTGAAAAAGTATAGATCTGCAAACATCTCACGGTAGCAGTCGCCAATTATGCTAAATTTTACAAAACATAACTCCCTATAGTCGACATTTTCTGTTTGGCAAGAATTGACGGATTGGTCTCGTTCGAAATTTACAATCACGACGGCCGGACAGTTTCACCAATAGTTCGTATTAGGCTTTTGAGAACGCACCGTACTACCAAGCATTTTCTTTTACTTTATTAGGGGATCACCTGAAAGCAGCGCTAACGATCGCATAGTGACGCGTCAGCCTCATTACTTTGCAATAACGTCAAAATTGTCTCGGAAGCCATTTCACAATAAAAGGTCATTGAATAGATGTAAACAAATATAACCGTCAGTAATCTACCCCCAGTGATCGAACCTAGTCAAGTGTGAATTAGAATTTGATCTTGCGGATTGTCATTTAGCCCCATCAGATACGATGACAGTAGTAACTAAATCGTCGGGTTGATGCCATGTGATCGAACAGATACTTGTATAGCGATATCTCGTTGCTTTGATTAGCCTCATTATAGACGTTTTTATATTTCGACTTTTTACGTCTAGTATCGCCCTCAGGCATCCCATCAGACGGCTCGCTCCCAGCTAAAACGAAACGGAATTTGCTTATGCCCGGGTTCGGACCTAGATCACGAGGTGTCACTAAGATCAACAAGCACATACGTTACTCACTAAGCTATCATCACTATAAACCACCCAGCGCCCCATAGCAGACATCGTTGTATTGTCCAACGAGACCTTGTATGTCAACGAGTGGTGTGATCCGCACGTTTAGAAAACACGCAGATCTCAGTATGTTCACGTATCGCTTGCTCAACGCTCACCTTGTTTACAATAGCTTTCAAATTTATCTGCCCAGTGCCCTTGGTGCGAATACTAGATCGTTTTTGCCAGTTGGCGTTTTGGGTCAACTATAAATCAACAATTTTGTGTATCGAAGCAATTACGAAGCGAGCCGGAAAATTCGCGCTGATTTGTTGTAGCTAATCAAGCAGTGATTCACTGTCTTATTATCTAGAATCGAGAAGGTAAAGATAGACACAATAAAGCGCACGGGAAACACCATACGGTCCAAGACTTGTCTCAAATTACGTAGTCTTGTACTAAAGATTCGGTCCTTTAAGATTTGTTCACTGCAGTTCACCGTTGGTCTTGTCAGTAGCAGTTCCGCATTTGTGGGATTACTCGAAAATTATGTGCACCTCTGTAATGTATGCGGCTTTCATGCGTAGTATGAACTTTTTCTTTCTAAGCTTATACGTTTATTGGCTTACTTTTACTTCGCAACTCGCAGATATAAAGGTATTCAGAGTGATAGAACTCGAATCAAATAAACCCACAGATCATAATTTTTTCATGATTCCTTGAAATAGATTGGCACAGTACTATTTATAAATTTGTATTTCTATTATATATGTAGGTGGTTGCATACAAGGCTTTTTTGTGATCAAATTTAGTGAACAATTTTGAATATAGTTCAAAGCACGCTCAGCTCAAGTATCGGACAACATTGCTCACACTGTTCGAAGTGTGATTGAGTATACAAACGCGGTAAAGGTAGCGGTTGATACTAAATTAAAACGTAGTATTAAATACCGCAACTGAATGGGGTGGATTACAAAGTTGAAGTTATTTTTTAGAAAAAGAAACGCAGTATAGTTACGGATCTGAGTAACGTAAAATATGCCAGCATGTATGTACATGCTTTGTGTTATTTAATAGGCACCGAACATGCCTATAATGATTAGTTTGGTCGCATTCGTAAACCTTTTTCTGATGCACCCATTATTTGCGAAAAAAAATAATCTTGTCAGCCATCGGATAAACAACCAGATCCGCCAAATCTCGGATACGGTACTTAACATGTGATCTGAAATACGCACAGTAGTTAACTTGTAGGTATATATGTGCATGTAGGCAAAACTGACGGCAGAAGAGCTACAAAAGCGTCAGGAAGAGCTAGATCGACGCGCAGCGGACCTCGAGGCACGTGAAGAGGCTCTCCGGAATGGAGGATTTAACGTTCGCGCCCATAACTGGCCCCCGTTGCCTTCGTTCCTACCGATCAAGCCATGCTTTTATCAAGGTATTAGAATGATTAATATACTATTATTATTGTCACTATAAATATTATTATTATGATAACAACCATTAAAAATAGCTCCGGTAACGATTTTCCTTTAAGGGGTGTTCGTCGCAAACTTCTTATATATTAGTTTGAATAATTACTCTTTTTTATTAAGGTAGATTATTGGGTTCAGTTTGCTAAAGGATGTCAATTTCTTATTAGGATAACATCTGTTTATCACTCGTTGCGCTCTACATATATTCGAATGTTCTTCGTCATAGCGCTGCTTAACTATGCTAGATCAGAAATAACCAATACGCCAATCTGTTTAAGTAACTAGTTAGTTTTTCTGTTGTGGCGCGAACTTTTCCTTTTGTTACAAAGGTTGTTTGTTGACATTACGCCTGTTGTTCTGCTCTTGCCTTTTTTGCTTTTGATTCTTGCAGATATAGGTGTCGATATTCCCCTCGAATTTCAGCGGATCGTCCGCACAATGTACTATTTGTGGGGCTTTTATGCGTTGTTACTCATAGTAAATGTGTTTGGAGGTATAGCCCTACTCATTGAGGATACGGAAAAAAAATCATACGATACTTTTGGCGGCTCAATAGTGTCACTAGTTCTGTATGTTCCGCTATCGTTTGTAGGCTGGTTCCGACCCGTCTATCGAGCATTCCGAAGTGATTCGTCGCTCAATTTTATGATTTTTTTTCTTGTTTTCACAGTACAGGTAAGTTTGACGATGCACGGTCATTACGGTTTGTGATTTATTTCAAATTCTGATTCATTCATTACATCTTCTCCTTACATGTTTCTTCAATATTTCCTACATTGAATTAAACCCGACTTGCAAGCTAGCTCTCGAAAGGTTATCTAAGTCTCTTTGCCTCGATAATATTTTATATAAGGAGTATAACAATATCGTGGCGTTATTATTAACAGGCGTATAGCTATCTTTCCTAATATTCTTATTGTCATTGGCGATGTCTCCCTGTTGGTACAGGGAGATAGATTTCAATATTTGATACAGGCTGGGATAAAAAAACAATCTTCGGTCTATGGTTGGTCATTCTTATCATTGCCGAAGACTGTAAAGATAGACAAGATTAACAATCATGCACTTTGATTATAATGCAATCTTTGTTCTGAATTACAGCATGTCCATTAATTTTCTGCTTATTCTAAACAGCAAGAGGATATTTAAATCTGAGCGCGTCTAGATTTCCTAGCATGACGAATCTGACGCATAACGTACCTTATTTTATATTAAATAGTTTTGTAGCAATAGTAGTACCTGTAAGTTTACTGTACTTCTCTAATGATGTTATCTGTTATCTCTTTTGCATTTAGGTGGTGTTATCTATCGTTTCAACAATTGGCATCGTCAACTACGGCGCCATTGGTGTGTTCACGGCGATTTATGGATTCAAATATGGACTGGTGCTTGGGATTTTTCTTTCGACCATAGCCGTCTGCCAAGGTCTGTTTGCGCTGGCCTGTTTCATCATGCTGATGCGGGTGCACGCACTCTATCGCGGCACGACGGCCAGCTTCCAGCGAGCGCAGGCCGAATTTGCTTCAGGTGTCCTGCGCAACGAACACGTTCAACAAGCAGCCGCGAATGTGGCCGCTGAAGCAGCTCGCCAAACCGTCCAAAGCAATCTTTCGGGGAGCCGATACTGAGCTTTTTGACTCAATAACTACGTAGAAGATAGGATAAGTGATAAAAGATGATGGCTGAGGACGTACGGAGGATTTATGTAATGATATGTAAGGAGAAAGGCAGAAAACTGATTAAGCGGAAAAACAGCAAAGCAAGAGAAGAAAGTGTACGGAAAGAGTCGAAAAGACGTCAACGTCGAGTTCACTCCTCGAAAAAAAAAATAACAGCTGTGGCCAAAACAGATGCAAAAGTGAAAACAACAACAACAACCGCAGGGAAAGACAAATGATTTATTGACTTATTTATTCAAGAGTCATTTAAGTGATGAGCGTGAAGTTTTCATGGTTGAAACATCCCCCGAAGCTGAAGGGCGATACAAAGAGTTTTAGTTAGATACATTTAGTCAAAACATCATGACATATGAATACCTGACGAAAATTCGGAGATACAAACTAAGGGGCAATATTAGCAGAAAACACCTAATTGCCTCATGTGATTATTACTACACAGCATACATATATATGTTGCGTATCGTTATAACAACGCATTGATTTAAATTGACAAAAGATCAGTTCTTAGGGATATGATCGTCCTCAGAAAGTCGGAAAATACTAATGGGAACACTCCTAAAAATCTTAACATTGTAAATCAGCCTATGTAGCGTCAAGAGAAAATTTCCTTCGTCCGAAATTAGATTAAAAAAAAAGCTTTCTAACATGCATGTAGGAGTGAGCGTGTCCGTGTGTGTGTATGTGTATGTGTGCGTGTGTGTGTGTGTGTTTTAGTGTAAGAATTTTAAGAATAGGGAAGGGATTGCAGCTGTTATGTGGTAAGCCCAACAAATCCAGCGGGACAAATGTTCGACAAACGAATATCCCCTTCAGACTAATGAATGTGGTAAATTTGACTATGATAAGATAATGTTATCGAAAACAAAATTCTGTGTCGAAAATCATGTGAACCTGTTGTGAGTGATGTTCTATAGTCGATCAGATGATTCCAGTCTGATATCTGTTTCATGGAATCTTTACATCTAGCAAAACGCGAAACAAAATTTAGATTTCAACTGTGAGGGTTTATCGAAAAAGCAACGATAGATTCGCAGAAACGAGCCCAGAAAAGAGAGACAAGGCGTGTGTTCGCCACAGCAGTATGGATCTTGTTAGAGTAAAACGTCATCGCCAATCAGTTTGAGCCCTATAAGCGAATATTTATTAATTATTAACTGACTTGTTTGCTTGTTTATAACAGTCTAATATACGAAAAGGAATAAAATTTAAAAAAAATAGGAAACATCTTCCTCCTTGCTAGCCACGAATTTTCAAAATAGTTTCATGCCAAACTAATTAGTGGATTCAATATGCCTTTAGTAATTTCTATTATCCTAATAATTAGACAATGAACAACCCATTGGAGTCGACGAATCATTACCAAACCGTCTGAATTTCCTTTCGTATCAAGTTTTTACCCTTACGTACAGCAACTTAACGTTAAGTCAAAAATCTAATGCCAAGTTAACGTTAAACTTAGCATTAGATCCTTTTTGCTATTAACGCTTCATAGGGCCTCATCCATTATAGTAGCTTTCACGGAGCAGTTGCTGCCGTGACCTAGATTCCTCTGCCATAAAAATGACAAATATCTATAAAATCCATCAATTCACGGGCAAACGTTTATGTTTCTAAGTATTAGGGTGCATGTCATCATCTACTACTGCTATGGTTCTTCTGTTATCTCAGTTTCTCATTACATCTTCAGTTTTTCTTAGCGTCCTGCTAATTGTTTCTTGTAGCGTAGAGCATACTAATAAGGACACGATGACGATGGTTAGTTCATATATTGGTAATAATGCAAGCTTCCTCATTCTACCCAGACAAAATCTCGCTTTTCCAAAAAGGTGCACATAAGTCGAAAACCGTCTTTTGTTGCCCTTTGGGAGCTGAGTGTTGTTACATTGAAAGAAGCACTTCTATACTACAGCCCGCGATATCCATGATAAGCTTCTTACCTTGGTAGCAAGCACGTCGACGTACATATATATATATATATCAACAGCAAGTTAGAACAAAAGTAATTTTTTCGGTCGGCCACTATAATGTGTATAGTAAAAATGATTTGTCATAAGTAATATTATGCCTGCTATCGTCACATAAATACCTTTATCTATACCAGACTTATGCCATGTCTTTATTTGTACCTCGGCAAAGCTTACAAGTACCCCCTATTAACCCGATAGTTTATTTTTACCTTAAACTAGGTATTATCAGAAATGCGAATGAAGTGGGATAATATCAGTAGCGTCGTTATTTAGTCTTCTATGGGAAACTCTTGGCCACTCAACTCCTCCTTACCCCCCTCCGCCCTCCTAGCGTCATGTAAACGTGTACGGTATGTGATTTATTGTTCAACTTGAAAAAGTGAGGGATGCTGCCTTTTTCATTCCTTGTTGGCCCTGTATTTAAGATCGAATCATTCGTGTCGCGCTAAAGAGAACAAACTAACCCAAACATTGTATTTCTAATGGGTGACATGTTCTTCTGTGTGCGAAACGAGAATGACTCATGTGAGCACTCAGACACAACCATACTTGGACTTCCGTATCGTGTGCCATCACCTCTTGTGCATTGTTCGTCACAATTGTGGTAGCATTAACAGATACACAACATAACAAACGCCAACAATGTTTTCTCTTTTCTTACCTGAAGAGACGCGTCGGCAACATCCCCTGTCTGTGTAAGTTAGATGTGTTAGTTAGAGGCAACGCAGTAGGGGATCGCCGAAGCCAAAAGACGTCATTAGCCGTTAAGTTACTAACTGAACCAGCGAAATTTTTCGTGGTCGTGGTGAGACAATCGTAGTTACGTTCCAGTATAATCGCAGCATATGAGAACAGAACTTCGTATCGATGTTGACGTTGTGTGAAGTAAACTACGGGGCTTAGACAAGATGAATACAACAGCAATGAGGATATAGGCAGGAAATCTTACGCGTGAGTAATTACTGCGAAAATAATGAGTTTTATTGTCTAACGGAAATAGTTTATCCCGACGGTAAAGCTTCAGATGTAAAAGAAAAATGGTTTCTAGGCGTAAAGACCAATGAGTCTAAAAGATGTTTCATTGTTAGAATAAAGCTATAATAATGCAGTGAACCTTAACTAAGCTCGCGATTGTCCTCCATTAGGGTTAAGTAAACAACAAACAAAATAACCTTACTGCTTCAACACAATAAGTATATTAGGGATAATTATAATAACACAACGACCACGGCCACCAAAAGCTTTTTGCCTTAGCTAAACGATTAAAAAGACACACGATAGTGAATATTTACAGGTGAGCAAATATTTCTCAGTATACGGAGGAATCTTATCCTTCGATAAAAATATCATACGAAATAAGCGCGACTTATTTTGGGAAGAGTTACGAGCACTTGCGCACATATTCACATCATGAAGTATTTGCAACACAGCAAAAGACGCTATACGGAAGAACGGCTTGATGCTCGATACAACTAATACGACAGCATCAGTTTCTGAGCACGACACAAAACTGCGGCTTATAAGCTTTTACGTACAGTCTATAAGGTTTTTGCATATATATATATATATATATATATATATATATATATATATATATATATAAATCCATCTTCTGAGGAGTACGCTAGCGAGAATTGTGTGCCTGCACTGTCAAATGAAAAACAATAGGGGTGATGAACGAACAAAATAACCACATGCTAATGATGATGATTATAATGCTGGAAAGGAAGAAAATTGATAAATCAATAACACGAAATACGAAAATGACGATGCTGTTCAGAAGATAGATGATGACAGATGACGATTAATAAAAAGAAATAACTTCCATGGGAAATATAATTATGTGTTCCATGCAAATCAGTCGTTCTTGCTGAAAACGATAGTGTCTGTAACAAACCAGGTGAGGCAATACTCCTGCAAGGTATAAACGACGCTCACAATAAGCTCCAGTAAACTCAAATGTGACTTATTGACTTTTGAGCATACTAGTAGACTCCTATTGTTAAGGCCTATAGGTATAATATAATAATTATGTAATAGTAAATTACGCAATTTATAATAATAAGTAAATTATGTATTTTCCGTTAATTTTTGTTAGGAAAAATCAGGGAAAACAGTTCGCTTGGCTGTCAAGAGGAAAACATGGATTTGCTTTACAGTTTCCTTGTACATCGCACTGATATGTGGAAAATTTTCAACCAGAACGTAAATTTTAAAACTACTAAGCTCACATATTGAAAAAACATATTGAGGTAAGTACCATTGCTGTGATGCAAAACCAGCTAACGATATCTACTACGCATGCCCAACTCGCACGTCTCCATAAAATAAGCCAAAATACACAGGTATGCTAAGCGCGTTGCCCGGCATCCAATCTCCAGCAGCCTCTTTTCGATTTGAGGTATACGGTACGGTCTTTAAAGGTTAATCGCGGTGGTTTGTAGAATTTGAATAGACAAACTTCAGCAGCAGGCAGATTCGTTGTTTGGAATGGACAACTTTTTGAGGAAACTTACAACTTAAGAAAATTTGTTGCAGAAAGTTGAAGATATGATTGACGATTCCATGCTATTTTCGGGCCTAAGCTACATATAAGAAACCCAACTCCATCTAAATGCTACTCATATGAGTACTTATCGATAAACATATCCTAATCCAAAGGTGCGGACGAAATAGGATACCGTTAGGTTTACTTAGGCACATTTGTCTTGGGCATAATATGTTGAAAAAATATATATTCATGCACTGTGGCAATGATACCTCTCATTAATTTTATAAGTTGTCTAAAGTTTCATGCAACCTATCTTCACAAGCTCGTGCTCAATAGGCTACTACAAAACACCTAGAAGGGTACTAATCGAGCGGTTTTGTAAACGATGCATTATTCAGTGGAGTGTACATTGAAGTGGCTAGAGCTTAGTAAATCACTTGCTATTATACACTGCAACCACCATGGAGGCTCGATAGTCATCAAAACGTCAAACTGCAGACCATTTTTAATTACTTTGTCCACTCAGGACTTATTTGCCCTAAGAGGTCATCTATCTGAAACAACGAACATCGTGAAAGTCCAATAAATTCCATTCCATTAAATTGGTACGTAACATTTTCACGCCATTTTTTTCTCATCGTCATAAAATTTTAAGTAACAAAATTGTGACCCCATCTCCCGGAGACTGTAGACCTCAGAACGAACCAATTGATGTGCATAGCTAAAAAATTTCAGGTTATAATCTTCAAACAAACAGATCGGCGCCTTACTGGGACTGCGCTTCGACTGGACGTCTTTTACGGACGCTTAATGCACACTGTGCCCCCAAGGCAGCGCAATGACCAAGACACTTTCGCAATCGCTGCAGCATTTACAGGATGTACAGACTCGTCTTCTAACTTCGTCTCATAAGTCTAAAACAAGCTTTAGCGCCAGTCAAAGCCCTAGTCCCAGAAAAGTCTTGATCGAAGAGATCGCGGAGGTAAATGTTGATTAAATACGTTATGTCGAATGCAGCCAAATACAGGTTGGCGAAATTCCTAATCATATATACGTATATAATAAGCAAACGGGCAAGAATGGAAGATCAGAAGAAAAGTAATCTCTTGAAGCTTGTGTGGAGTTCAAAAGCCAAAGTTTCCTATTGCGTGTAATTTAATATCGGTAAAGGCTAAGTGTTATACCCCCGTAGGATTTAATTTTATAAACTACATGGACCGAAAAATTTGAGGATGTTTAATAGATTTTTATTCGGCAGAACCATTCTTCTAACTAATCTCGACTATTTTTCATATCAATCACCATGGTATAGGTTATCGCACATAATTACATACATTGTTTTAAATTTATTGCATCCAGAAAAAATAAGCAGACTTTCAAAGCGGAAATTCTGAAATGGATAATAATGTTCATTAGTATTAATAATGTTTGGTAGTATTAATAAGTAATAAAAATAATAAGGAGAAATAGTATAAATAGAGTGAGTGTAAATATTATTATACTACTTACTAATGTATGAACTTCATCTATTTCTTCCTATGGAAATCCGTCAGATTAAGGTGTCAGTGAAAGAGCTATTTAGGAAACAGGATGAATTAGATCGTCGAGCAGCGGAGCTTGAGGCGCGTGAACAGTCATTACGAGAAAACCCCGGAAGTACCCGGTCTAATAATTTTCCTCCTCTACCTAAGACTTTCCCTTTCAAGCCATGCTTCTATCAAGGTAACACCTTTTATAGTGTTGTCTACATTAGTGATTCAGTTATAGCACATTTTTTATTCAAAATATTTCAGCAAGAACGCACTCAAAAAAAGTCTCACGGCTCAACATAGCGAACGTTTTGTAAGCAAGCGAAGGCCTAATGGATCGTATTGTGTGGTGGGTAGTTATACACTATATGCGCCATTTTTTCATCTTTGAGATTTACACAAACCTCTCTTCCTGCATACATAAACATAATAGACTCGAAAGTATATGATGCATCTGAGTCGATCGTAACATTATAAGTTCAGCAGTATTTCAATCCAATGGACGGATGAAAAACAGTGAGGCGATTCCCACTCTACGTTCATTTAATTTTGAGATAGTTTTCTTTATGCGATTGTTGATAACTTGCACCTGTTCATATTGGAACCTCTTGCAGATATCAACGTCGAGATACCGCTCGATTATCAGAAAATCGTGCGCTCTGCGTTTTACTTGTGGGTCTTCTATTCACTGCTATTAGTGGCGAATTTGTCTGCTGGCGTAGCTGTTTTGATAGCGAAAAACGATGCAATGATTTTTAAGCGCTCCATTAGATCGCTTGTACTCAATGTGCCATTATCGTACCTGTGCTGGTTTCGACCGCTCTATAAGGCGTTTCGAAATAATTCGTCGCTCAACTTTATAATGTTTTTCTTGATTTTCGCTATACAGGTGAGATCACTCAGAACAGCGTCGTTCACCAAATCGTAATAGATTGTTTTGATCAAAGATTCGCTTAAGTTTTTTATTCCTTATACTATTTCGTATATGTAGCTCAAAAAGTAACAAGATTACCTAGATTTACCTACAACGTCATTGGCGAGAACGTATACAAAACTTAATGTTACGCATCTATCACTTGAAGCGTCTAGATCCGTCCAAGCAGTGTGATAGTACACAGAGTACCAACTACTTCAATTAGCCCTTTCTCTAAATACAGGTAGGGTTATCTATTGCTGCAGCACTCGGCATCACACGGCAGGGGATTATCAGTATCCCCATCGCCATAGCAGCTTTCAACCAAGGTAAAGTGTTCGGCTTCATCCTGACGGTGATCGCCATAGGTCAGGCTCTGTTCGCTGCAGCCTCGATGCTTTTGATGAGGCGGGTCCACTCATTATATCGTGGCGCAGGCGGTAGCATAAACTGCGCTCGTGCCGAATTCAGAAACGAAGTCTTGAATAATACATACGTCCAGCAGGCGGCCGCTACTGTGGTAAAACAAGTCGGAGATATTGGACAAGGTCTCGACAAACTTTTTAAACTCTTGTAGTCAATACGAAATTATGAACAGAATTAGCACACTATTTTACGGGGAAGCTGTTATGGGCTTTATTTGCATAGGTTGATTCAGTAGATGTGTAGATGCAAATTGCAAAAAATTATATTTTGTTTGTTGTAGAACCTACGAGCCGTAAGCGATTATGAGAATGAAATTACATTATATATACGACGCTCATCGATAGTTCACGGTGCTTGTTAACAGCGTGTCCATCAAAACGATGAAACGCTTGGCGCATAATCATTCATAGACATCTTGGCCAAAAACGCTCGTAAGGACAAACAACAGTCCGTCCAAACTTATCCAGTTATCCTCCTAGTCATCCTGTATCTTCATCTGCGCTCAAAACTTTTCTTTCGTATTTGTCTGCTGTTGTCCATAAGTAGCAGGATAGAGATAACGAGGTTCGGAACTGGTAGTAACGCTACGGAACTGGAAATCGAGAACTTTAGCAGGTCACAGTCCCTGAGCTACGACATAATGGACTTCGACATACTCTATCACAAATTCGACATTATTTATTCGACCATAATCCAAAAAGAAAAATAAAATTAAGATTTTAACGGAAAAATGTACGGCGTAAGATGCCAGCAAGCAAAGCTCAGAGAAACTTTTGTTTGTTCGGCAGCTTATTTAAGAAGCACGTGTACGCGAAGTTTTAAATCTGTATAATTAGAAGCCGGCTACGCCATAACGTGTTAAGCCAAAATTAATGGGATTCTTAGACATCACTTTAAATACAAAAATTTATTATACTTTTTTTTTCTATGGCCTTCACCGCTTTCGAAAAAGTTGAGAACTAATCCAGTCCGTGCTGGAATTTGTCGGTCAAGAACTGGCTTTTTTGGTCAGAGGCTGTTGTATTGCTTCTTAGTATAGAAAAGTATTCATTACTGAATTAGTTTGCATTTCGAAAAAAATCTTACAACACAGGATTATACAAGGATTCACAAAACTTTTCAGAACGAGCAAACATTTCAACGTTAAGGGGTAATCCGATAACTGAATTTGCTGAAAACAGAAAAATCGATGTTAGGTTAGGTATTTACATTATGCCGGAGTGAGTATAACATTATTTCCTGGCTGAGAAATAATTTGACTTCACTATATTACAGACATGAATTTAATTTCATTTTAGACGTATAGGGTTAACTGATTTGTATCCTGTGTTTTACGTAAAACAATAACGATTGTGATCGGCTTCCGTTTCGAATAACATCGGATCTATTACGTGTTCTTAAAAGGTCGCTGGTTATAATAGCAGCTGACGCGATGCCATAGTGAATAAATTGAATATATTTACAGTCGTCACTCAACTAACACGGCTTTCATTAGTATCACCTTAAAATGTGGTAACGCTACCCATAAACGAAAATACTAGTCCTCTTAATCGATATTTTACTTTATTCGGGCAGACGAATATCTAGCTGTTTGATTTCACTGCTTTACCTATCGTTATATTCGATTGGTCGAAAGTAATTCCCTTTTTCTAATTTTAAATGCCGATAACTTATTTGGAGCACTGGCTTTTCTTACTACAATGCTCCATACGTTTCTTGATCTTCTTGTATTGATATGACGTCAAACGAATTCCTTGACAAATAACAGAGCATCTATAAAGGCGCTCTATTTATATACATATTTTTGGGTTTGTCTCCTTATTTTGAATTGTCTAGCCCCGCATCATGCTGCATGAGCATACATGTATAAACCATGTGCCTGAATTTAGTGAAAAAATTTTGGGATCGCCAAAGCTTTTCATGAGAACCATTCATGACAAATGCGACTTGTATGCGTTCAAATGCTTTACAAGTTCTTGTACATTTTCTTTTCCTTAAACTGTTTCCTAGTGCACCCTGCGGCGGTTCAGGTTAAGACGGCGACTAACGCATAGCTGTGTAGAAAACTCTGAGGTGACCATTCCTTAAAAGGAGGACGCTTAATGGTTGAAAGTGAGAGCTCTAGAAATGCTGAGCACCTATTGTATAAGGATACTGCTAATTTCCATGTAATTCTACATATAGTTTCATCGTTTCAACGTTTTCCAGGGTTGGGACTGTGATAGTAAAGAGCTTAGTGCCAAATGTTTTTAGCTTTTCTTATTTTTTCATTTCATAAAAAATCACTAACAGACAGGCCACAATGTAAATAATACAACAAACATAGAAAAATCTACCAGCTTTAAGGCTAGATAGGAAAATGTGCAGATAACAAAGTTCGAAGGTTGCCTTCCCAGTACTCTTCAAATAACAATATTACTCTTTCAATCTAAAATTGAAAATTACGACACCACTTTTCGACTAACTTCAGTATTATATACTGCTAATTCTGTTGTTGTTCGTTTAATAATAATTGCATTCTCCATAATTCTTTACACGTACGACTGCGAGGGGTTATTGCTTCTGTTCGCGTTGTAATTTGTGATGATGCTGAATAAAGACTGTAATGAAGTAAGAATACTTCATTTAAGTTTTAATTAAATTAGACATACTTTCGCAAGGAGATGATTACCAACTGAATTTTTATCTAACTTTATTATCGAGATCCGAAAGATCTGTGCTACTTGGTTCCTACCAAAGCTGCATTCCCAATGGTCTACTATTAGATGTCTATAAATAACCATTATAAATAACACAATGCGAACAGCTACATTACATCGTCCCTCCTTATTCTTTCACGTACCCGGTAATTTAGGCTTCATATATATTTCCTTTTTCTTTTCATCTAGGACATCTTTTCTATATATATATATATATATAATCTGCCACTCTCTCCTCTGTTAGTTCCGTATTGATTCTGCTTATTATTAATAGTAATAATTATGTAACTGCTGTACGTCGTATTCTCACTTGCAATGTTTCAGTTTGTCTGCGTCTTATAGTCTCTACATCGCTTTTCTTGCTTCCCTTTTTATGGCGACCAAGTAAAGACGATTCACACGATAAATACAACAATGATAGTTATACTGATAGTGATTGTAATAGAAATATAATAGTAACCAAAGTTTCGAACAAAAGGATACGCCAAAACTGTTTACTAGCAATTTGTAATTAGTTTTATACTTTCTTACAAGACCTGTAGTGACTAACATACTGCCTGGTTTACAATTATACAATTGTAGTTAATAATAGTTGTAACAGTTACACACTGTGTGTACTCGTTCTTGTATTCTTTATTGTCACTGTCACAGTTTAATATAATAAATATATCTTCATTCAGTACGATCGCCACCAAGTACATGTGCCAATATATATATGGGCATGTGTGCAGCAATCATAGCAATCAATTAGATTACAACGCTTTATACACATATATATATATATGTATACATGTATATATATGTATACATGTATATATATATATATATATACATGTATATATATATATATACATGTATATATATATATTATAGTGCCACCACTTCTTTCCTTATATTTCTTTTCACAGTCATCTTCTTTGCCTCAAATCTTCAATTCTCCTACAACGACGTTCTGGACTAAAAAGTTCGGTTTTTCTAGTAGAAATTACGATTGTAATAATTAAATAACTAGACAAAATCGACAACAAAAAAATATGTTCTATACGCGCAAGTGTGTAGAATTTGCTGGTAAAGCTACAAAAACGTCGTGATAGGCACGACGCGGCCTTGACCAACATGTTATCATATTTCTGTTTTTCTTTCACTAACAATGACGTCATGTAGTAGCAAAAGTCCACCGAGAAGTGAAAAAAAACGATGTGTCAAGAGATAGGAAAGGAGTTAATTGAAAAGGGTGAGCAAGATCTAGCTAAACGGCGGGGAATATGGGACTAACGTCTAACGTCCTACCGTCGGTGAATTACTGAAGCAATTGACTGATTTATGTTTTTTTTTTTAGGTAACTATTGCTCTTCGCCATTTTCTGATTATATTTTATTTTCAAAGCTTTTCTTTAGTGGGGCGTGACTGGTTCGTCCCACCTGCATATATATATGACCCACGTGCATAATCTCCATCTGTTGGAATTTTCATTTTCTTGTCCATTTGTCTTTTGAACACATAGCTTAATATCATTGTCCTGGAATTGGTTTACTGTTGTAGTTATTGTTATTATTTTTACACTTTTCGTCGAACTTTATACGTTCTCAGCATTTGAGTACTTTTCTTGTCTTCTGATCGTCATCTGAATTTTGAACACACTGGCTCATGCACCTGAATGGATGCTTTTGATATGATGATGAACATGATGTGCCTGTGATAATGATGTATCAAACAGGCAATAACCTTTCGTTAACCAGTAGTTTCTCTTAACAAATCCGACAGAAAAGGTCATTCTAGAAACCTGATTAACAGAACAGCAAGAATACACTAATTATTAGTTCTTTCTTTAAAAAAATACAAATGAATAATGAAGGGGTGAAATGGGTGCATTATTAGGGCAAAACAAATATTTCGGGGAAGTACTGCTTTCGGCAGAGGGGGACTATTCGTGGGGGGAAAGTGGCATAGGAATCTTTTGAAATGACGCCATCGATGAGTACGAGCCATAAGAAAGAATGAATCCACTGCAGATCTTTTCTTAGGTAGGGGTTGGGCCAGGTACTACATCTTCTTCGCTTAGGCGCAGGCCGGGTCCACCGCCGAATCCTGGCTCTTCATGACATCAGGCAGCTCGGGTGGCGACGATAACGGAGTGATCTATATTAATAATTAGACAATTACATTTCTATCAGTACTTCTTTCCTATGTGTCGATCAAATAACCTGAATATGTATGCATACCTGTCTTATCGCAGCAAAGTAGACTTTTTACTTCTGTATTATATTGTTATTATGACAAACTAGGCATAATTGATTCGAAATAAAAGCAACGTGTTTCTTTTGCAGAAATCCATACTTTTTCTCCTATAATAATTTCATCGAAGCGAAGCTATGATTACGTACAATACCTTTTGCTAGCACAGCAAACAATTTATTCTAAGTTCCTGAGATATACAATAATACCAACGTCAGTAGGGATACACATTTCGTAGAGACTGTGTCACTACGAGACCGAGGGCGCGCACCTCGTGACTTCTGTATTCGTGGAGTTGAAAAAAATTACAAAGCAGAAAGCTGGGGTTATGCACTCTTCAAAGTAAGGGTTGGCTTGAAAAAAATGAAAGACAGAGACATTATAGTACAGCAATCATTTGTTTGAAAAGCTGCTTAGTTACCTCTAGGGTCTCATCGCTTACGGCCAGTCCGATTGTAGCGGGCGCTTGCGCTTTGGCCGAATTCGCGTTGAGACCGCAGTCGGTCAACGTCTTATTATCGTCCATCTGGATATCGTTGTGGTACAAGCGTTGTTCCTCAGGTTTGATTTTAAGGATGCCATGGATCATTTTCTTGAGATCGAGCACGGGCGTCGTTTCCTTAGCATCAAGGAAGAGGGTGGTCTGCTTACGGCGAACCATGACAAAAACATCCATGGCGGCAAAGGTGTAAATACTATTACGCCGAAAGGCACCAAAGAATGAAGTATGGCCAAGAACGAATTGTCGGAGCTTCAGCTATTCGCTTTGGAAATGAGAAAAACAAAAAAAATGATAGGATTTAATAAAGCCTGTCAAATTTAAAAGTATCTAATATATCGCTGTGCACTGATATATGAGATTCACGATTTAGGTTGATGTTTTAGACTATCTAATTATTGGATTTTTGATCACGATATTGCAGAATATTTTACCTGAAAAGTATCTCCGTACGGTTTTCCTGGGTGAGAGAAGGAGAGATGCATAAAGATCGCATATTCTCAACCGATAAGCAAAAGAGATATTTGCTACAACGCGAAAACTAGTATTATTAGAAAAAGCAAAATATTTATGGAAAACTACCCTAGGCACTAATCAGGTACTAGTGGCCAGCCAGCTTTGCTTACAGTGAAACGGCTACTAATAGCTTTGGAGGTTCTTAGGCATCGCATTTTCCCAGCGAGCATAGATTTCAAGCTGTGTGCAGTGCCCGTACGCAGCTAAAGACCTCGCAGTCATGAAAACCTTTATTCTCACTACTGTTTAAAACGCTAACATACACGCAATGTTAAGCCCGCGTCACAGGACTTGTATGACCCCAAGTGAAATATGACGACATTCTAATCTGAAAGATTATAAGATGAAAATGACAACCTATATAATTATAGTGAGTCCTCAAGTACAAGCCTAATATAGTAAACACTAGGAAATAGCTACATACTGTACCCCACACAACATAGCTTCAACTAGATATTAAAGAAATGTTACGATATTCGGAGTTCTTGATCATTCAGATAACTGCTAATTTGCCACAATAAAAGACAAAAGATCAAAAATCGTTTCACATTAAGAAATAATAGATCCCCTTCCTGTTCTTAATAACAACCGAATCCCATCTGTAGACCAACAAATTGTTGTTGCAGTTTAGCCGAAATTTTTGCATTGGACAGCGAGCATTTTCTAGGGCTGTTGAACACCACCGTCCCAAAATATTTTATTGAAAGATGTATGCTGTTGTCATATCTCACAATACACACCTGCACTGGGTACTACTATTTGAAAAAAAATCCAAAAGTATTTTTGAAACAGCTAGCCTTTAGGCCTCAAATAATGTTTGGCTCAATTCGAAAACAATCACGATAACAGCAATAGGTACGAGATTTGCTATTACATCATCACACCTTCAAAATTGGTTTTGCAGCATAGTGTAAATTTTATATTTGTTGTTAAAGCCCGTATCTAGTGGAAATAACAAATAAGAACTCATACCGAAATCAACGATCCGACCTGGCATCTAAACAAAATACTAAAAAAAAAGTGGAAGTGACGAGACGGTCTTCAACTTTTACCCAGTTCGAAAAACGGACCCGTCTGTATTTCGCTAGTTGTAGATTTTTGCAACATCAGCGTGCACATCACCACTGTTTCTAGAATCTTCTTTCTGGCTTTTTGTTACCACTGATGCCCTGTTCTTGATACAGCGTTGTTTACGTTCGTCAGCTGTCGCAATATTAAATTTCCTATTTATTACAACATAATCTTTGTACGACTAATAATATCAGCAAAGAATATGGTGACCGCTTCGTTTGGCGTTAATTATAGATATGCCACATGAGCCTTTATACGGACCAATGCAAACCGAACTAATTTTCCCCCGTCTTTTACCCCCCCCCCCCCCCCCGGCTATCATTACTCCACTTAAAGCCAATAAAAAATCTTTCAAGCTTAACGTCCGGTGCTAGTCCCGTTCAACGGTACTTCGAACGTTTGGTTCCATCCAACACAAAGCTAACACCCAGTGTCGAACTTAAACCATATCACGTGTCCCTAAGTTCAGTCGGAGGCAAAAACTGCACCATGACGGGAATAAACTGCCATATACCTATCCTATCGAATGTAACATATAACTCAACGGCAGTACCAACATTTGAGGGTGATTAGGTGGCTTAATGCGTAAGTCAGACAAGGTATTTCATTTCGAACTTAATAATGAACGGATCATTCGGATTAATCCACAAAGATTGTCCTGCTCAGTCAGCTTTCCTGGCATATATGGAGAAAATGCGCTTGAACTTTGTCCATCACTTTTCGAGCTTTGATTCTTTATATCGATTATCATGCACAACACATCCTTTCAAGACATAGCAAAATCAGTGGCGACGGCTACCAAAGCTCGACGGGAGTTTCGGCCGAGCAAACATAGATAGGATTCAGACCAGCACCGGCTGCAAACCTAGTAGCTGCTAACCTTGGATATCTCTGATATAGCCTGCATAGACTGCGACTTTCAAAGAAAGCCCTACTTACACTTCCAATTGGATTGCAGAGGCTTCACTTTTCATATGCACACCAGCACCACCGTAACCGAAGAGAGTAAACGATGGCGAGGTCTTCGTTACTGCTGTAACAATTGACGAACACTTCACAACTCAGTTCGCCTGTGTACTCTACTCACTGGCTTCTCACTCACTCACTCACCCACCCACCCGCTTTCCTGCTTGATGCTGTGTCGACCAGCGAAGAGTCTAGAGGCACTACTAGCCTCGACGGGACTTCGTATCATCGTCTGCTAGTATCGCCGTCCATCGGTGAAGGTGATTTTCTAAAAACAAAGATGGCGCCAACCGCTTCTCTACATTGGGCATAGCAAGCCGCAAGCGGGCGAAACAATGCCAACGCGGCGATGCCCCATATAGAGACTTCGCTAGTATCAACTTAACTTTGAATACGAATCAGCATAAATACGTGGAATTAACACAACTATATTGACTATGGTAATCGCTGTGAGCACATTTTCTGAATAAATAAAAAAACTGAATAAATAAAATTTAAATGGGATAATATTAATACTAAAAGATGAAATTTCGCTCGTCGAATGACCCACTATTTATGCTTCTGAAATTTACTTTTCACAGAGCACAGCCGAAAAACATTTACTGTCCACTTATTTGTTTTTCATTACCTCAGTTTAAATGTGCCTCACGAATGTAATACTCCATTGACTTATCCGACTGCTACATTCCGTGTCCTACACATAAAACAATGCTTCGCTATAGGAAAAAATAAAAAAAATCTCTCTATACATTTGTTTGCTCAAATAATCTCCGTTTTTGTATATTACTTGTTTTTTATTTATTACAAGTAAGATATCTCTCTTTATGCTCCTCAAGCCTGTTACCATCGCCGTGTCTTAAGGTTTTACATATTCAAATTCGCGTTTGATAATATAGAAATCATCTCAAATAACACCGATAATAATAATAATAAACGACAGTAAGTCGAAATTGGTTAAAAGGGAAAAACGGGATCGGAAAAGCTAATTGTGGAAGCTATATATTTTATTAAAATTACTTTTATTGATTGATTAATTGTGTATTACAATATTTATCTTTTTTTCTTATTGGAGTTCTCAAGCCAGTTTTTGATGATTGTTTTTACGTTTCAGTTACTCTGGGTTTGGATCTTCCTTTATTACGTTATACCTTAATGATCCTTATATGATATTGTTTTACTAAATAACGATAATGTCCCATTTCGTGAAAAGGTATCTACTTTAAAATGGGGGTTCAGGGTAAAATTTTATTGCATGAGTAAGGACGACAACAAAATGCTTTGATTGAGAAGTAAAGGAACAGCCTCTCAGCGCTATATAGGAGTTAGCCCTCAGCGAATAGAAATTAGCAAAAGATAAGGAATAAGCAAAAACAAGTATTGCTTCCCGGTCAACCCTAATAATACTTCTAGGGTTTCAACACATATAGCTTGCTAAGATAAATCATCATTAAAATTAGACCCATCTTCGCCACGAACCACCTTCTAAATCCTCGTAGAACTAACTTTGTTCGCAAGTTAGGCTTCGAGTCCTACTTAAAAGGCCACAATATACATGTTTTTCTATATATTGTCTAGTAACACGCAAGTACCGGCACAACTGAAATTGATTTAGACAGCATTTATATAGCGAATGTAATTAAAACACTTTAAGTTACTAACATTATATAAGTACTGTCTGAAGATGCCTATGGTCAGTTCAAGTTCAGACTAAGTAATTTTAAACATATGCTCATGAGGGCGCTATATTGCAGCAAACATTAGTGCCTGGAACTTAAAGTAATACAAGTGTAATTTAACTTTAAGGCAAACCAGGCTACGTCAGACTGGGTAGAAAAAAACCCTTAGCACTCGAAGTGAAGTTACCATGAGTAAGCGTCATTTTTCCTTATTTTCGGTAGAAATTCGCCCCAAGAGGTTACTCTTTCCCGCTTTTATTGCGCTAGTGATTTAGGAATTGTGTATTTAGTATACATAGCATCTTGGATCGCTTGTACATTCTTTAAGCTATGGCATTTCCTCTGCTAGCTAATGTTTAACAATAGTTGCATACGGAAATTTCTCTTAACTGATTAGATATGACAGACATACATCTTTCATAAGTTTTTCTTCTGAACTCCGCACGCCGAGTCACCGACCATAGACACGAACTATACTAGCTAATCTTGGCAGAGGACATTGCAGATTGTTTTTTCTCGTGCAATATCGAGTCTGTATCTAATCATTTGCTGATCAGACATCTGCTGATCGCGACTAGAAATCAGCTACGTTCTGTCGTGATGTGATTCATCATTTTCAACTATTTTCCCACTAACTTCATAGCTTATCATATGAAAATTTACTTAAGCGTTGTTATCTAGGATCAAGTTTCGAAAAGTGTCATAATTCAGTGTATATTATCTTCTGTAACCCGAGTATGCTAAAACGAGGAGTATTTGCATGATCACAATCAAAATCGCTACGAAACAGTCTAGACCTTATGGCCGCGTCATTGATGGCTGTTTGTGCCAGCCGTGGCGCTTAATATCTGCATAGTCGGGAAATGATTGGATATATTAAGATATACTTGCAGAATATTGAATGATAAATCCAATTAATAAAATTGTGTTTCTATTTACAAAACGAACAAGTATGTAATAACAGTTAGAGAGTCTTCATAGAAACAGTTTAGTTTTTCATTTTTAATATTAAAACATCTATAGTTATTATCTAAACATTTTTGGAGATTGAACTATCTTTTCGAAGTAAAGGTACATGCAAAAGATGCCGTGGCCCTTTTGCCTTCTGGCTAAATAACACCACAGCTTATCAAAATTATTAATACGATTTAGATGGCTACAGTCTAATAGTACAGTATTTACAGGCATTTCAAACAAGATAAATACAAAACGTCATCTCGCACAACGTGAAGGTGGCAACCAACGTGAATATGTTAACTTCAATATATATTTGTATATGCGCGTATATGTGTGAAGTGGCGTTGCTTCAAAAAACCCGTACTTTTGTGAGTAATGTATCGCAGCAAAGATGAGGCTGATAGAGCCCAACAAAAAACAAGCGTTAAATTGACAAACCTGCTGGAAATGGCACCTTTATTTAAACAAAAGGAATAAAAATGCCATGCAATGATCCACCTCTGTCTGATAGTTATCCTATGTGCAAGCTACATCGAAAACAGAGATAATATATTGATAATGGATACGTTTTCCATCAAAATACCAGTCAATACAGCTGTGTCACCTCACAGTAACTCCTGATATTCGTATTTGTTCGAGCGCATCTATTAGTCCCGAGGCATTTGGAGACGAAGTGCTATCTTGTCCATTTTAAACCAAATTTTAGGACTGGCAGCTAATTGATGTCCTAGCATTACATGACATTTTCGACATAGGGGCCATTGATGATGAAGAAGTTCCGCATCCATTATGTATGGATTTAAACAAAAGCTTGAGAATATATAAGAAGATAGCTTAAAGCTATGTGGATTTTTGCGCGAAGAAAAATGCCAGGAACTGGCTATAAATGCCGTGTCAAGTGCAATAGGTTCCTAAAAATGAGATATTGATTTCCGTTCTCAATTGCAGAGCATAAAAGGTCGTTATAATTTTCATCTGTACAACGAGCTAATATCGATCTTAAATTGCACCATAGATGGTTAGCTTATTGCCATTATGGAACATGATTTCTTCTTCTTACATCTTAAGAAGCAATACAATCCTTCACTTGGTTGATATTCTTCGATCAATGTGTATACATATGTATATATATTCATGTAAGAGCTCTAGATGCGGGAAAAGTTTTTGTCGAATCATGCCGCTTGTAATTTCATGGTACCATCTTTAAGATATCAGGCAAGTTTCTCAAATTAGTTTGTAAATAAAAAAAACATTTTGTCGTCCCACGTTGACTTCTATTTCACTGTTCTCTATTGCTAAAACATAATAGCCATTATTATACGAAGAGTAATTAACCATTCCTCATCCGTACCTCACCTGAACTGTTGTGTAATATAGTGGCCATTTGAGAGTCTGTCGGAGTAGAGCATTTGTGTACTCTAGCATCTGTAACAGTGAGACACATATTTTAAATAAACAGGCAATTCGAAAATTTATTATTACAACTGTTAAAATGTTTATTTGTATATTTGCTTAAATATTTATAAATGATGTGATAATCTTTTAGAGTATTCTCTTGACCTAATAATGCTTATTTTTTAGGTTCTGATATGAAAGATATGATAAAATAAAAATAAAAAAATGTCAAACATTAAATACTGGAAAAGAATTTTGTTATGAAAATAATCGTGGTAGTTTGTCACGACCTGGGTCGGATAAACGACTGCAGCTGAGGCAGGCATAAATAGAACTAGGTTTGGTTTTCCTCAGAAAAATGGCCACCGTATAATAATATACCGACATTCAATTACCATAATTACATAATCCTGTTACCTTCATTGTTTGAGAGCTTAATGCAGTGAACTTTAATTAAAAATGTAATGTATCCTTATCGCTAACATGAATTTCATTTAAGGCTAGAATCGTTCTCGTACCTTACAGAATCGTTGGCAATTGGATAAAATATTCCTTTTACTCAACATTTTTTTTTTATGAAAAAATAATACAGCGCTCTCGAAAATGATCTCATCGACCCGAACTCACAAACCCGATAGGCTTTGTTTATTACATTTAATTGGCGCTAGCTCGCCATGTTTTTTCTAGCGTTTGCGTCCAATTTTTCGGTAAAATTCCCTTTATGGATGACACATTTAATTTATTCATTCTCGCAAATTTGCCCATAAGAAACCCGCCCAATCAATTTGCAATAAATTAACGCCATACCAGTAAATTCGGCCTAGAAAGTAGCAAGTGTTGATTTGCGATTTATTGTCTGACTAAGCAAGCAGGTGGGAATTTCTTGTAACTAATGTCCGAAGTCTCGAGATGTATATGATTTAAGCCAAGAGTTGGATTTTCGATTTCTGTGAACATTCATTGTCCCGTTTACATGTGATTTTTGTGTTTGAGTGCAACACAGTGATCCGTTTTACTTCCTCCTACTGGATCTCTTTCAGATACAAGAATGGCACCGCTATAAGCTTTCTTAGCCGCTGCAATGGCAGTGTACCTGATGCACTTAGATAGGGTTGACTTGCACAACTGCACCAGCAGGGGGCGCTAATGGTGTCCGGGCCTCAAGTGTGCCTGAAATAGTCCTCCTCACAGGGTTCAGAGGACCGTTTTGGGGGGCTCACAAAGGTCGGGTGTCGACGGAGCTGAGTGTTAAGGCTGTTCTGGGCAATTGAGAGGAGGAGGGAACTCTGCAACGAAAGAAAAAGAGGTGCTGAGGTTAGGGGGTAAGAACTCCCATATGGCTTCACCCAACTACGAATCAGCATAGAAGCCTCGTCCATAGAATCTCTTCTACACGCGTCAGTAGCGAAAGTAACGAAGGAGAAAAGCGGAGGCCTCAAGAAAATGGAAAACGATTTTCTTATAAGTTGTGCAAGAGCTTAAGTTTGACTGGCTATTCAGTGTTGGAAGATAATTTAAATAGGTTAATAACAGTAGGCAAATTACACTAGTAGCTTCTTGAATACTTACTTCATAGCTTTAATTTCAAAAATAACACGTTAACAACTTTCTAGATCAGAAAATAATAATAGTTTATTTAGGTTTCGCAGTTCTGTTTTTTTTATTCGCAAATATTATTGTTTAATACTACCAAAAATAATATTAGCCTTTAATAATTTTTAACGTTTAATAGGCATAAATATGATAAAGTATCTAAGTAATCAGGTTGACGTTATAAGCGCACAAGAACTTTATTGATTATTGTCATTAGTAAGTAATCAGGTAAGACAAATAAATAAGTTATACACTTCTGATCCTCTTTTTTAAATAAAAGGTTGGCATAGTTGACTAACTGCGTAAAAGTTTATGACATAATTTCATTTTAATGCAACCTTTGAGGTTTTCTGCTTAGTTATAGGAGATAGAAATACACGTCTCAGCTACAATTATCATTCCGAATTTTTACAGCCTTTTATGTATAGTCGTATGCATTAGCTACACAATGTTGCAATGTATTCGTTTCGTTATTCGCGAAAGCCTAGTGTCTATTTTGAATTAACGAATAGATAGTATATCAAATATAAGAGTCGATATACGTGTTAAGTTAAATATATTTTAAAAGTGATATATGTTTATTTCATAACCCAGGGAAAAACTGCGTTGATTAGTAATCTACATGCGCCCACCTCAATATGCCCGTTTGATGACAATTCGACCTATACTTTTTGCCTATCCATCTCACTATAGCATCATCATCATAGTAAACTTCGTGACTCACAATATCAATTGCAAATATATACCCAATAGCATACGGTCGTAACCCATCGTATTCCCCCGCTCTCCGTCTCCAAGCCATCGTCTAGGCTTCTATGCATACGACTTCTCTGTGCGAGCAGGCGGCGGGACAGACAGACAGACAGACCGACAGACCGACAAGGCTATCGATCTCGCTCTCCTTTTGCACTGCGGCTGAAATAGCTTGAGTTGGTCGTATCTCTGCCTGTGTGTGTCTCGCCTTCCTTCTCTCTATCTCTGTATGGATCGCTGTATCAGCCGGCTGCCTTGTTTTTTCTCCCGTTGCTGGGTACCTTAGGACATAGTGACTTGTCTAGCACAGCCTGCGACTGCCGACTAACCGCCGCTGCTCTGGCTACTGCTACAATCACTAAAACAGCCTTAAGCAGCCGCCATCGTTGTCGCTGCCGCGGCCGCCGTAGCAGCCAGTCGCAGCGTTGCTTGGCTGATCTTAGTTACACGATCATCGCAGCTACCGCCACTCCGTTGTTGGTCGAGTGGCTGCCGCCACCGTCGCCGGCGCCATCGCTATAGAGTCGCTGCTGCCGTCGGCTGTTGGCGGTGTTAGGGGTCTGATTAGTCCTGGTCGGTCTTCGCTGGTCGCTGCCGAGTGCTCCGTGGTGCTGGTACCGGGGCCCATTATTGTATCTGGTGCAGATTAGGTGGTGATTGGTGTGAGCAAATCTAGAGAAGTGCGTAGAAGAAAGACTATCTGGCTGGTACGGAATTCAGGGAAATAGCACAGGAAAAAACTGGTAGGAAGCGGCCGCACAAAGGCCGAGCAACGACCGAAGGAACCGAAGGATATCTTCGTTTGTTAGAATCTGCGTTTCTCATTCGTAGTTCTCGTACGAGAGCCGAGAGCACGAGAATTTGCCGACTGCCATCGATTCAGGCAAAGTGTCTTGAAATAACTATCCGTCAGGTAACGTCGGCTCGTGCAAAGACGACTGCAGCAGCCGCTCTTCGCTGTGCTCGAATCACGGTGCCAGAAGGAAAAAGCTCAGTGTGTAGGTGTGGAGTGCTAACCGTCGAATCGCCGCCGATCGACGAAATCGCGACGAAACCAGCCGTCGAAAAGTACGGAATATTCGCACTCGTATAATACTACTGCCCTCGTTGTCTGACCATAAGCTACCCCTTTCTCCCCCAGCTGTAAGCAACGAGACTCCTGTGCTTGCTCTTAGTTAATAGGCATCCTACAGTAAGGGACGCGAGGCCTGCCGCCTGCACCCACCCAGTTACCTCTCTCTCATATTAATCTAATCCGTTCGTGGTAGTAGTGGTATTAATCCGAATAGGGATCGACGACACCACGATACGCTTCGGAGTTGCCCCCGTCGACAACGGTTGCGTCTGCTACAGACGGCAGCTATCGAGGAGGAGCTGTTCTGTAGAAGCATACAGAACTACGACTACGACCAGTTGAAGGTGCCAGCGCTTGTTACAGTGATCGTTAGCGCAATCGATAACCACAGGGTCCAGCACCGGAGCGCCGTCGGTCGTGCGAACAACGTTGTTACTACTGTAGGTGCAAGTGCAAACAAGATGGCATTCCGCAACGGAGGCGGCCATTCCAGTAACGGGTAGGTGAAGTTGGACGTTGGAATCGGCCATATGTATCAGGTTGTTCAGACAGGCCAGTAATGAAGGTCTCTTTTAGGGTCGTGTCTAACTCTCACTCACTTGCATACTTTACCTGTTTCGTATCTATTGACGTGATGTAGATAGACGAGCGACCGAGCACTAATATATATATATATATATATATATATATATTCGTTAGATGTGTATATTATGTTTAAGTAATGTTATGTAACAGATAGCAGAGCCTAGCCCACATAGCTAGTGAAGATGTTCGCCGATGTATAGCGTGGCAACTTAACGATTGCATAAACTATGATACTGACACATACATGCGCGCACGTAGACAAACGTGCGCATGCACGTACATACACATACACATGCACATAAACATACGTATACGCATATACATATACACCACACGCGTACGAACATAAAAACAGATATATACACATAAACATACACACATTAACACAAACACTCATGCACAGGCACATTTACACACACACACACACACGCACAGGCACACTTACACATACACACACGCACAGGCACACTTACACATACACACACGCACAGGAACACTCACACATACACACACGCACAGGAACACTTACACATACACACACGCACAGGCACACTACACACAGCACACACACACACACACACACACACACACACACACACACACACACACACACACACACACACACACACACACACACACACACACACACACACACACACACACACACACACACACACACACACACACACACACACACACACACACACACACACACACACACACACACACACACACACACACACACACACACACACACACACACACACACACACACACACACACACACACACACACACACACACACACACACACACACACACACACACACACACACACACACACACACACACACACACACACACACACACACACACACACACACACACACACACACACACACACACACACACACACACACACACACACACACACACACACACACACACACACACACACACACACACACACACACACACACACACACACACACACACACACACACACACACACACACACACACACACACACACACACACACACACACACACACACACACACACACACACACACACACACACACACACACACACACACACACACACACACACACACACACACACACACACACACACACACACACACACACACACACACACACACACACACACACACACACACACACACACACACACACACACACACACACACACACACACGCAACCACACAGCACACACACACACACACACGCACAGGCACACACGCACGCACATGCACACACACACCCACATGCACGCACAGATACAAGCACGCTCAGACACACAGACACACGCACGCACACGACAGACACACATACACACACACACGCGAAGACATATAGAGACATGCACACACATTCAGACATATGCACATACATACACGTGCGTGCACACACTTCCACACATATGCGTGCGTGCATACACACAAATACGCACACGCAAGTAACATTACATTAAACATTGCGATTGCAAATTAAAGTCCACTTATCCCCGACCCTAGTCTTTAACGACACAGTCACCCCTTTCATCAGAGTCACTGTTCAGCAACCCGTAGAAATTGTAGCAGGAGCAGTAAAAGCATAATGACCATCACCAATAATAGTCAGTGGTGAGTGAATGAGCAAACTTGCTGTTGGCTGCACTGTCGTAGGAAAAGCTGAAGCTGAATTGCAACAGACCCTGGTTGCATTGCCCTGTCGCGATTGGTACTCGCTAGACCAGCAGCGAGAAGCACTAGAATTGAATAGAATAAAGCCAACGCTTCACTGTACAGTGGCAGTGCGCCGATAGTGCCGTGCCGCTGCTGCTGCTGCTGCTGCTATTGTTGCGGTTCGGGCCTATATGTTGTAGTTGCGCGTAAAAATGCGTAAAATTCATTCGAATCTGTGGTGGAAAAGATAATAATTATGTATTTGAAGTAGGTTCGTTCATTCGTATTTAGTTCATCACGTACGCGGAAGGGAATGTCAACTACAGGAGGCGCCTCGTCTGTTGCTATGTCCTAAGTGTTCAGTGTGCACTTCATGAGGTTAAATCATCATTTAGCTATGAGCTGCTTTTCGGATCTAGTGGATGATTATTGAAAAATTAGCGTAACTAACCCAGATCACTATCCTACCGCTTACTCGTTGCGTTCGCGTGCATCAAACGATGCTACGATGATCGGTAACAAGAAGCAAAAACAAGCCAAAATATTAAGCGCTCCCGTTGCTTCTACTGTTGGACGTCGGCCGCTGTAACAAAGCTGGTGCTGGCGTAGCGTCGGCACAATAACAAGGCTTAGACCGTTATGGCTGTTGTCCGCGACCAATGCTCGGGGCAGCCACGACTCCTATTGCATATATATATATATATATATATATATATATATATATATATATATATATATATATATATATAGGGCAGTATACGGAGCGTAGCGACGAAGTCGATATGCCAATGTAGTAGTAGTAGTAGTAGTACATTGCGATCGGCGACATCAGGCCTTCTTCCCATCTGCGAGGATCTAGCCAGCAGATTGTGTTCGTAGTAGAAGGTTACGGCCGACGGTTAGTTGGAATAGAACATGAAAGATGGCGTCTCGTGCGTTTCTGTCAATTAGATCTCGGAAGTAATCTGATTATGTAGACGACGGTTTCGATACTCGCCTTTGTGTAAATATTAGTTACCGATTTTCATTTTTGTAAAATTTAGCCAGAACAGAGGGTTTATGTAGCCTGGGACAAATGAAGTATCTAGGAAGAAAAAGGGGAATCATTTTATTTAAGCTAGGTGTTAATTATTCGAGTTGATAAACTCACTGATTCAGCTGGCGCACGGCGCCGAATGCTGTTAATACTTCAACATACCAAATGCCGTACTAAACCATATCTTGTGTCCATTATTCTACGAGTTTGCTATGGCCATTTTCACCTCATTGCGTTCAGGCGCAAAAGTGATAAAACGTCGAACACGTTTTAGAAACAGCAGTGTGGGATACCTTTCTACTACGGCCTGAACCTAATGATTTGTGTTGTAGATTCAAATCCATATATTGCACGAGGTTCAGGGCTATAAATCACTGTCAAATTCATCGACGACTTTAGATGCGGTCCTTAGATAGGTTCGTTCGTAACTAACGCATACAAAAGCATGCTGTCTGCACCAATAATTCTGTTCAGTGCTCATTGACGTTATCTTGGCGTAAACGGGTTGAATAACGCGGCGTGGTCGGAAATCGTCAGGCTGCTTTTGTTATGGATCAATCGAAGTTAAGAACACGATTCATTGTATTGATTGTCTATGGACTGATACATCTGCATGACTATCGCCGTAGATAGATAAAGCCACGGCCATTTCGGTAGAGTGACATCGATCTACAAATTACATAGTACACGACTAGTGTTACTATGATACTAGCAGGTACGGCTGAACGGATCAGTAATTGTGTACGGTGGTGATACCAGAATAAACACCAAACTTTGCCTTGTTTTTTTTTTTGGATGTTCGTTTACCGAAAGCAAGCCCGGGTAGAAATAACAACAGTGTTGGTGCTGCTTAATCGATCCTCAGACGTAGACACTGCGAATGCTTAAGGACGAGAAAGTACAAAAACTTCCGGAGCGTAATAACAAATCAATTTTAAGGTTTAATTATAAAGAAGCTTTGATTTCTTTCACTGATACATTTGACTTAAGTAACCACGATTAGTACATAATATTTATAGTTTTTTTTTTTAGAAACAAAACTACCCCATTATAAAAATGATACGATTGCCTAAAACAGATCGCAAAAATCGACAAGGTTCCATTCTAAAAATATATTTCAACCTAAACGTAGATTTTTTGTCGTTACTAATCAGTAGTCGCAGTGTAAGGTACCGAGAATATTTGACTGTACTAAACAACGCCGATCTCTTGAGCAGTATCCATTTATCCAAGGTAACTTTGTTTATGTTTGCAGAGGAGACTTCTCCGGGCCGCGTTCAGGTGGAGGAGGAAGCCTCCGACAGAACGGCTTCCAGGTAACTAACATAACAAACACGAGAAAGAACAAACAGATTAACGCTGACGCTTAGCGGCTGTTTTGTTTTAGAGCCGTAAGCATCAGCTCCGCTCCTAACTTCTTATTAAGAGTCCTTAATTTGTTTTGTTTGGTGCGTAATGAATTTAGTTATAAGATGCCGGAACAACGAGAAACCACTTAGGTTGCAAGGTTTAGAAGGTTCCTTTCTATCGCTAATGGCTAGTAGGGACGGTTTGTCCCGCCATGTTAAACTCAGAACAGTTGTTATAGGTTAAGCTAACTCGTACACAAAGCTGACAGTATCCCTCTGGTTAACTTATTCTATCAAATCTCAACGAAGTCAAATACAATGAATATAACTTAATTTTTCAAGTTAATAGTCATCTAATATTCAGTCTGCGTGTCTCTCCATCAACCCTCGCGGTCACACCCTAATCCGGGAGCTCCGGAAGATTGTTCTTAATATTGAAATATAAAATGGACGTCAAGCGCAATCGACATACAGATTCTAATACAGTTGATTAATCATGTGTTATCTTTTTGCTCTACTCATGTTTTGCTTCTAGGGAGGCAATGCTGGAGGCTATGGCGGGGGTGGACATGCTGGTTATCAGAATGGGGGTGCGGGAGCAGGATTCCGTCGTACTGGGGGCGCAGGTGCCGGTGGACCTCGCGCGGGAGGCGATCGAGGTGGAGACCGTCGCGGAGGTGGATTTGCAGGAGGTCGTGGCGGTGCCGGTGCTGGAGGACGTCCTGGAGGGGGTCCCAACAAAACCGTCGGGCCTGTGGGACCTCTAACGAAAATCGACTGGAGCACCGAACAGCTCGCCAGCTTTGAAAAGAGTTTCTACCGTCCACACGCCACTTCTCAAGCGCGAACCCAGCAAGAAGTTGACGAACACCGCCGCGAGCTTAAGGTTACGATCCGCGGCCGTGACGTGCCTATTCCTTACACAACGTTCGAAGAGGCGAACTTGCCCGACTTCATCATTCGCCATCTGCATCAGGTTAAGTTTCAGAAACCGACGGCTATTCAGGCTCAAGGCTGGCCAATAGCATTGTCCGGCCGTGATATGGTCGGTATTGCGCAGACTGGCTCGGGAAAGACACTCGCGTACACCCTACCCGCACTTGTGCACATCTGGGGCAACAACGGTCATCGAGGTTATCGTCCACCGGGCTCACCCATGGTTCTTGTTCTTGCGCCAACGCGTGAACTCGCGCAACAAATTCAACAGGTGGCAGCCGAATTTGGCCGAGGTGCAGGAATCAAGAGTGTGTGCATCTTTGGCGGAGCCCCAAAGGGTGGCCAACTGCGTGAGATGGATCGTGGCTGTGAGATATGCATTGCGACTCCTGGCCGTCTCATCGACTTCCTTGAAAGTGGCAAACTTAGCCTCCGTCGACGCTGCTCCTATCTAGTGCTCGATGAGGCCGACCGTATGCTCGATATGGGCTTCGAGCCGCAGATCCGGAAGATTATCGGCCAAATTCGACCGGACGCACAGACTCTTATGTGGAGCGCTACGTGGCCAAAGGAGGTGAGAATGCTTGCCGAAGATTATCTAAAGGAATACGTTCAACTGAACATCGGAGCGCTGTCTTTGTCCGCCAACCACAAGATTACTCAAGTGGTCGAGGTCTGCACTGAGGCAGAAAAGGACGAGAAGTTAATGGCCCTGCAGAGGAAGTTCTCGGAGGAAAAAGATGCTAAAGTGTTGATCTTTGCCGAGACCAAGAAGAAAGTTGACGACCTGTCGATTCGACTCCGCCAGTGCGGTTTCCACGCGATCAGTATCCACGGAGACAAAAGCCAGCAAGAACGTGACTGGGTTCTCCAGGTAGGCTGTAATTATTAATTGATCAATTTCAAATTGGTATGCATAAATCTATATAAATAGACGAAGATTTTCAATCAGTCTGCAGACAAAATGTAGTTTACGAATATTCTTATATTGGTCGTATTTGCATTCGCAGGGCTTTCGCAGCGGCGACTGCCAGACTTTGGTGGCGACAGATGTGGCTGCTCGAGGCCTGGACGTTGATGATATCCGCTACGTAGTGAATTATGACTATCCGCATTCGTCTGAAGACTACATTCACCGTATAGGACGAACTGCTAGGTTTGTAAATACATGCTATAATATTTGCTTATAATGAATTATATGCAAGCCAACAATCGTAGTGTTGCCGCAATAAATGCGTGATCTTACGGAAAGTTTTCACGTTAAAACATTATACTCTGTCTACACTTCTGAAGTACGGCAAAATTATCAACATGTGCAAATATTGTCCTTCTATTAGTACTAACGGCTAATCTATCGTTTGCTGTCGCATTGCTTTTCTTCATGTTAATCTTTCAGGTCGAACAAAACTGGTACAGCTTTCACTTTCTTCACATCGGGTAATGCTAAACAGGCTCGTGATCTGATTGGAGTGCTGAAGGAAGCGGGTCAAATGGTCACTCCCGAGCTTTACCAGCTCGCGGGTAGCAAAGCGGGCCGCTTTGGAAGAGCTCGTAAGTGCCAAAATAGCTTATATTTGCGAAAACAGCGTTACAGTTCCACAATAAGGGATTTGTGTTACGTGATTTTGAGTGATCCATAACTTTTATGGAACCATAGCAATAGTTTCGGAGGGTGGTATGGTGGATGGCTTATGTTTTTGAAGCAAACAGACATTTGTTGCAACCCCTATTGGGGATGCTGGATGAAGTTTAGTGCGTAAATTCTTCTTACTTACCTTAATTACCTTATTACGCTCGTTGAGCGCATAAAACGGTACAGTAATTTGTTTTATTCGGTTGAGCAGAGCCTCCTCGTTATCGCAATCCGAATCAGCCGTTCAGTCAGGCTTACGGAAACCGTGGCGGCTATGGAAGCCGGATTGGCGGTTATGGGTCGAATGGCGTATCGTCGGCAGGGTACGGAAATGATGGCCGTCAGCGAAGCTTCCACGGAAGCAGTGCAGGCCACGCTGGCGGATACGGAGGTGCCCCTGGAAGGGACTTCCAGAGACAGAACTCGATGCCGCCGAGAGGCGGCACCAGTGGTTTCGGTGGAAGGTGAGTGCTTGGCAGGACTGAATAGGAGGGTGATGTAGAGGAGATAACAGAAAGTAACCTTAGGAAGTTCCTCCGATCACTTATAAATACACATAAAAGAAGAGTCTCTGCAAAAGCTTCTTTTTTTGTTAAATATAGCCTAGTAATATTTCTAGCTGTCGGGCATAGTTTTCGGAATTCTAGATAGAAGTGGCAAATTCAAAACATCCTATCCCTAAGACTGATCTTGATTTTCCCTGGCTAATCTGACGAAGCGAAGCTCTCTGAAGCATACGCGTTTTAAAAAAACTCTCAAAACATTATTTCGAATTTCACAATAAAATTGATTTAAGCGTATTGTAAAGCACCGTCTTCAATGCCTTGCCCAAAGTGTTCCAAACGCTTAATTTGTAGGTATATAGAAACCTCGTGAAATCTAGCGAGCACCTCTAGATCCTCTGTGATCAATTATCTTCCACTTCTTATGGGCTGTGATGTCTGCGTTGTTTGTATGCGAACTAAACTTTTACGATCATAGACAATTGTTATTGCCAATCTGAAGATTCTATCTTGAATGGAAACGCTTCGATATGAAGCAAGCATGAATGTATGATTGAATGTGTGCAGGGCGGAGATGACGGTCGCTTATGAGGCCGCGCTCAAATTCAAGGGTCCACAAACAAACCTCTTAATCTCTTTACTCCAGGAGTCTATTTACAACTATCTTGTCTCTCTCACTCTCTCTCTCGCGCGCGCAATCTCATATATATATATAATCTAAACAGACAGATAGCATTTAGTGTATTGCCAGTTTTACTGCTGATTAGATAGAGATGATAAACTAGTTAGCTATAGAAGCTACTGAAAGCCTTTAATATGTGACTGTTGTCTCCATGCATAACATTTTATGTGCACTATATATTACATAAGCAGTTATTACCGTTATGTTATTTTTCGTTCATTTTTGAATTTTTTTGCTTGTTTGATTTTCTTAATTTGTACGTGTTGTTATTTGTTAGATAAGTATGGCCATGTGATTAGATCGTGTAATTTATGGGACTATCGGTAAATGTTATAATGCTATCTGAATGATCTATCTCTATCCCGATGTATATACGGAAATTAAAGAGCGAGAAAGGTTATCTGCTCTTTTCGTGCGCCCCCTATCGTCGTCGAGGTGTCTACAGTGTTCCGAATTTGGCAATAATCATTATTATAAATTGCTATTGTAATTGTTATTGCTCTTATTATAATTATCTGCTCGCCTGCTGGTCTGTGCACTGCTGCTACCAAAAGCCTGTGTAGATATCATGTAGCGTGAGAAAGTGAACCCAAGAAAAAGCATAAGAGCAAAAATACGATGTCTCACTGCGATGCCCGCCGCTCATTCCACCCACGTCCGAGTTGCTCCGAGTCTGCCTACTTGAGCTACTTCGACCACTACTACTACTACTACTACTACTACTTGATCCTACTGTCACTACATCAGTTACAACCACAACTGTTATTGCTGCTGCTGCTGCTACTACTACTACTACTACTACTGCAACTCGATTGGATTTCCATTGACTTCATTCGTTGATTTTTCTATCATATCAGTTGCGTTCGGTTCTGTTCTATTGTTATTATTTTCCCCGAAAATCGGTTCTCGTATAGACTTGAAGCTGTCTAGAACTGCTTCAGAAATCTCGATTTCGAGTCGAAAGCACCTCGTCCATTCACCTGGAAGGCCTTCAGCTTCTAGTTGCGAGGATCTGAGGGGAAGGGGAGGGGAAAGGAGAGGGAGGGCGGGGGTGGGAGGGGGAGGGGAGGGGAGGGGGAGTTATCGCATCGTGAGCTCGGTTTTTGCCGAGAATTTTCGCGGGCGCTCGATCAGGTTCGATCGCCACAACAAACCGGCATATGTAAACGGTTCAGATATTTAAATCGGTACTCGAAACAATTAAACGCCCTTTGCTTTTATATCGGTAATGTTGCCAATAGGCCATTACAATGGACAAAATTGGATTGCAATCAATCTGAGTCCCTTAATGTGCATTGACCATTTATTCTGCTGCTTTAGTTCTGTATTTTGTTCTGTTTTTTTCGGTGTTCTTTTCTTTCTTGGACTGCGTTTCAATACATTATTACAACGATAATAAAACAAGTTGGTGGCTCAAGTAATCAACTTGCCTGTGTAGACCCTAAAAAGGAGGCGAAATTATGTTTCAAATGCGGTAATTGCATATGCTGTATAAACGTGACAGGGTATAATAGCAGTAATTAGAGAAAATACGACTACAGTCTTGGCTTGGTTTTACGTTGCAGGGTTTTGCCTCCAACGTTTATAAACCCCTAGGCTGTCGTCTAGTTTATCCAGCTGTAATAAATGTATAATTATTATAAGTCTCAGGTGTTGTCTGATCTCTCGGGAATAAAAAAAAAAACACAGAATAGATTAATGTGTATTTGCTCCTCGAGTCCAAATTACGTTTGCTTGTAATTCTGTGGTAAGCCACCGCACGAAACCAACTCTGTTTGCATTAAATGTGTTTTGAGCAAGACTGTCCTCAGCAAAACGGGGACCAATCACTTATTAGCCGCACATTTTTTGAATTCTTCTTGATTATGTTTGCTACCGCATGTGACTGCACGTAAGACCGGTTTCTCCCGTAGAACAAGGAGTTCAACGAGAGAACGAATGGAAATAAGACAAAACAGAACGGAAGTTAGGCCACACCGAACTTGTTCATTTTGCGTATAATCACACCAGCCTATTATGCGCTGCTCCACGCTTTGCTGTGTGTTGCCCGGAATGCTTGAGGCCAAATTCTCACCTTGAGTCGATTGTGAGAGACATTCAGATGACTGACTTGTTGACTTTCGGCGAGGCGATTGATGAACTCGTCGTTGACAGAAAGAAAGAAAGAAAGAGAGAGAGAGAGAGAGAGAGAGAGAAAGCGAGAGAGAGAGAGAGAGAGAGAGAGAGAGCGAAAGATTGAATCAAATCTGAAAAAGCCGCTCTAGACCCATCGTAACCCCCCGCGGCTCTGTCGACCCCGATGGTGCGTTCGTTCGTTGGTCGATGAATTGGGGGTACCAATTTCAGGGGTAAAGATTCATCATCATCTCACGATAATAACAGGGGCGGCGATCGTAAACCTCGCGACGACGGCGGCGGTCGCGGAACCGACCGCGGAGATCGGAGTGCCCGAACTGGTCGAGATGACCGCGCTGGCGGCGCTGGCGAGAGGAACGATCGCGGAGATAACAGGCGCCAGCAGGCGGCAGCTGGAGGTGGCGGAGCCGATCACCACCGTAGGCAAGACGGCAGCGGTGGCATCAATGGCAGCGCTGGAAGTGGCGGCGGTGGTGGAGGAGGAGGCAGCGGTGGGCAACGCAGGGAGCGCGGAGACAGGCCAGACCGAGCACAGCATCAGCAGGGCGCTGGGCAGCAGGACATCAACTCGACAGGACCTAACGGAGGACAACATCCTAATGCACGCAGGTACGACAGCAGTAAGCACTTCACGATGGGTAACCCTACGCACAATAGCCATCACTACAGCCAGCACCATCACCAGCCGCCGACGCACCGTGTGGGTGGAGCTGGCGCTGCCACAACCCCCGGCGGGATCATTGGTCAAAACAGCTTTGGGGGTGCCGTCGCTCAGAATGGTTTCAGCGAAGCTGCTCAAAACGGTTTTGCGCCAACGAGTGCTATCAGCAGCTTAAACGGCATGACCCATCAAGGTGCCGTGTCTGGACCTCAGCCAAGTTCTACACAGGCCGGGGGGCAAGGCTTAGTAACCTCGCAGAACGCCTCTCTGGGAGGTGGCGGCGGCCGTATGACACATTGGACCAATGTACCGAGTGCGGTTGGGGCAGCGCCAGCCAGTTTGGGCGGCACCACGGTGGGCGGTTCTAGTGCGTTGAACGGTGGTTTGGGCGCTGGTCTCGGCGGTGGAATTGGTGGCCGGACTAGTAACAGTTTCGTTGTTGGCTCGCCATCACCGCATTCGCCTCAGGGCCCTCACTATGCAGCTTCGCCCCTCAGTCATGCCAGGTAGGTATTAGTAACAAAACGCGCTATAACAACAAGAACAAGAGTGCGCTGCTACTGGTACGTCTGGATAAGAAAGAACAACCTTCGGTTCCTTCAGCAACAGCAGTAGTTATTGGGAGGGAATAAATCAAGCGTCTGCTCAAATTGCGCATATAATGCAGTGTCCGAATTTTTAGTCCACTCGGGAATTCGAATGGTATAACATAGAGCAAAGGTATACATTACATGCAGGTTTGGCTATTTAATACATGTTTTCCTTTTTAATACATTACCCTAATTTGTAGGCTCGTCAGCAGTAGTTGTCATGCTACATTAACTTTTGCTATTCAATTTTTAATAGTGCACGTCGCATACTAACGAAGGTACAACACCGTAACATTCAATTATTCCTCTGTTAAATATATACATTAATGTCTCAACAATAAACGTAGGTGCTCTACATGAAAAGGAAAAATATATTATAAAATATTTCTCGAATGATTTGCATGAGGTACTCAGGTACGAGGTGACTTAAACAGAAGGTCCCCTCTATAACCCGTATTAACTGAGTGTCATTTATAGACTACTCTCTAATCTTTGTATCGATTGTGTTATCTGTGTCGTTTCGCTCTTGCTACGTGGGTAAAAATCACGTCGTCGTCGTCGTCGTCGTCGTCGTCGTCGTCGTCGTCGTCGTCGTCGTCGTCGTCGTCGCCGTCGTCGTCGTCGTCGTCGTCGCCGTCGTCGTCGTCGTCGTCATGTCGACCCACTTCTGTCACTGATTCCTCTGGCCGAACAACAATATGGTGAACTCGCTTGGCGATATCGTAGTTTCCAAGCTGCTCAGAACTACGGTGGACCGACTGGTTCACCAGGACAAATCTCAGCTCCGTTCGGCCACTACCCGGTTCCGCAGTACCAGAGCCCTCCCTACTACCAGGTCCCCGCCTAAATCAAATAAGCCAATGAAAACCTATTTCAAAGGTCGCCCAAAGCAGGGAGAGTAACAGAGAACAATTTGATTTTTACATTCACTCACGTAAAACGAACATCGTAGGTTTGCGTAAATCGAATCATAATGTGGTGGGAAGATAATTTTAAAAATGCGCTATTAATTATAGATATCGTTTAACTCTTGGTCTATGATTATCTCGACGGATGCTATATTACTAGTTCTTTAGGAGAGAGTGCGGCACTATTCATCATATCGTAATTTATTTCTGCCTAAGCTTTAGTTATTATCTGGCTGGCGAAAAAGCTGGTCAAAATAGGATCTACCTCCATGCCTGAGCGTTTCGATTAGCTGTCGTAGTGATGTCGGCAGTAAGTAGTAACTTTGATTTTATTAGTTCGTTTCATAAAAAGTCGCTACTCAGCCGGAAAATTGGTTCCTTGGCCCAGCCCGTAATTCCCTAAAAGCGCAACAATTAGTCGAACGTTAACCCACTGATCTACTGTGTTCGACGCTTCCGTATTGCGGATGTGCCGCTCTGCTTTTGGAAAAACACTTGATGTCTCTTTCTGTTTCATACTTGCGGCTCTCAGCTCTATTTATTTTGTTCCAACGTGTATACAAAGATAGAGTATATGGCAAAAGGGGTAAAAGTCTCCCCCTGATTTAATTGTCCGATACGACACAGAATATTATTCGCTTGTTAATAAGCATCGCCGCTTGTGGGTGCTAGCAAATTATTTGCTATCAACAATTTCTGTTGAGTAATTCCACTTACCTATAGCGCACGATAAACAAACAAAAGGCAAGTCCCAAAGAGTTCCCTCAATGTCACTGTGACACGAATTTCTTATCCGACTGGAAAAAACAAATGGTGAGAACAATGGCAATTTCCGAAGGCCGTGGTTCATTGGCTTATATACAGAAGAATATTGAGGTTACGATGAAACACATGAGTCTTTGGTAGAGGAGGAGACAGAGGCAATACGGAGGGGGCCGAAGGAGGCTGTGGGGTCTGGGCAGACGGACGAAGCTGTGGTGCATAACTCGACCGAAGCAAAACATCGTGGGTAATTAGTAGCAAGGAGACCAGCAGAAGAGATGATGACCAGGGCTACAAAGAACAGCATCGGTGGTAGCCGTGGAACTCAGCGAAAACTCGAGCATTCACTTCTTCAACCAGCTTTTCCAAAAGTATAATTAAAGGTTAATCGACGTAAAAATAATTTTCTTGGAAAAATCGATTCAAGAAACGAGTACGGTTGACCGTTTCCGCCATTTTGTAATAGATTCTAGATCAGTTTAGGGTCTAGACAACATGTCGTGTTTTTCACACCATGGGTTTCCCTTTTTTTTTTTTTTATTTTTTTTTAACAATATATTAACGTCTGGCGCTCATTGTTAGATTTTTCAAATTATTAGATCAGGCTTTTGATTCTGTGGGTGTTATCTTATCTCTGTGAACATGTGCGGAAGGCGTCAAACGTTTGCGGAATGTTTTGTTTCGTGTTCTTTCGATAGATCAGTTATTGTATCGGATACGATTTCAGGGACTGAAACGAGAATGCGAAGGTAACGAGATGACAAGTAGATGGAATGGGAAGTACTTGATACACCGTATCGATGTGTAAATGAAAGTGTCGGATAGGAGCGCGCCAGCATCACTCTGAAGAAGCAAGCTATAGGACTTCAACATTAAAGTTCCAGCGAAAACTAATCGAAGACCAGGACAGCAAAAATAACGCTTCTCACTGAAGAAAAGAGCAGAACGAAAGAACCAATGATACAGAAGAATCTTCAACTACGATAGTTTTATGAAAGAACCTCAGCGTAACACAGGCTTATTGCAAGCCCATGTAGATAGTGCCGACGTAATAATGAAGTTGATGGGAGTGGAACGGGTGACCTTAAATTTATTTGAAGAAAAGGTCCAGCGACGTGAGAGAACAATGTAAGAAAGAGCAAAGAACGTTTAAAAAATTAACTGAACACACTTGTGAATTACGTGAGGCTTTCAAAGCAAACACGTAGGTTAAGATAAAACGGTAACATTTATAAAGTAAAGGAATTAATAATGACGAAGGCTGATCAGAAGACAGAAATAGCTGAAATAGGCCTGACCACGTGAATGAATGTTGGGCCTTGCTTTGGACAGACCTGGTCGAGCTGTACCGTTTCTCAGCACGAACACAACTGAGGACTGCGTACTTACAATAGCCACATACGACGTTAGTTTTCTATGAGAACATTACTTGAGTGTGAGAGGATCGTGCTGTGCCCGAACTAAAGAGAGTACTAATACTGATAATAAGAATAATAGTAAGATGGAAGAACAATGAAGATGGTAAAAACAGTGAGGCGTTTTGAGGAGTAAGATGATATCTTTAAGATCCTATACACTTATGTTTTAGATACACTTACGAACGCCCGAGAGCACTTTAAATAGGGAGGGAAGCGTTAACAAGATTACAGGCTGGGATGTGTCGTAACATTCATACTAGGCGCTTCCTTCCTTTAACAGCGATTTAGGCTTAAGGAAGACGTTGACTCGTGCTTCTGCGGGTCAAACAGACTATTAAATTTCGACGCTTTGATAACGAGAAGTAATGGGCGTCCTCTTGCTAAATGTTTTTTTTTTCTGTGGGGCGAACACTTTTGCGATCTCTGGCCTTTATCTACGAGCGGGGTGATTCGACTGAAAAAGGAGTGCCGGGCCATGTTATGACAGCGACAAGGCACCCGTTACAATGTATCAAAGACCAGTGTCCAAATGTGCGTTTACACGATTTTTGTTGTTTTCTCAAATATATTGTCCATGTAAAACGAACACTGCGAAGGAGAAAGCCGGAGATGTAGCAGTATCTATACGAAACATTCACTATAACAAGTGCTTGATAATACTAATCATAAGTTTAATGCAATGATCAGTTGTAGGCGGCAGCGATATGAAGTAGGTCTGAGGCGGTGCTATACGAAGCAGCCGAGAACAAAATCGGACCAACCTTGGCCTACAATAGGAGACTGAGTAGAGCTTCACAGATAAATGGAAATGAGCTCATTAAGATACTATTTGGTTTCCTCTTTGAGAGTGTACGACGAGTTGTATCCTGGGGGACTCTGTCTCTATTCAGAAAAATCCAACGTAATATCCATCAATAGAAGACCAATGAGAACATTAAACATGATTTAAATTTAAAATGAATTTATTTCCGAAAGCATTCGTGACGAATTGACGTGAGCAGCAGTACAATGATGCTCGTTAGACTTGGTACAACAATTGGCTAGCAAGCCCATCCCATAACCATGTAAGCTATTCTATATCGACACACAATGAATATTATACTATTTCTATAATCGCAATTCTATACGGAATAACACAAATCTCATTTTACTAGCGTATTACACGGTTAGAGAGTGTAAGCGTATGTCATTGTTGGGGGAATAACTGTTGCGATGTACAAGCCTAGAGAAGGGGTAAACTGACAGGGAAGAGGTAGGACATGTGTGATACATGCACGCGTACACACATGCATATAGTTAATGGGACAAAAAAAATGCACAAACAGATATTGAAGACGAACTCAACACAGCTACTATGTATGGACCTAATCAACACTCTATTTGACATTGAAGAGTTGTTGTATGGGAAGAAAAGGAATGACTAAAAGCGTTGGAGACGAACCGAGTGACACGAGCGCGTCCATCCAACATTAACGGGTAGAAGAGACGACAAAAACAGGTCGTTGTAGGTCGTCGTTAATAGGAGTTGCTGGCGACGATTATCGCGTGCAAGCGGAAAACAGATACGCTAACACAGGTCTGTGACAGGACCGAATTAGAGATTGATAACTTTTTCTCAACCTAATACGAAGGGATGAGCCTAGAACATTGATTTGTAACGACAACACGAAAGGTAGTGAATCCTCGCTGCTTCACTTTACTCAGATCGGTTTCACGGTGACAATGACGGCAACTGGGTTGTATGGGTAAGCTAGTTTTCTGATCAACATACTAGAAGCATACGACGGTGAGGGCTTCATGCTTAATGACTGTCCCATACCCAGTGGTTCTTGGAGGGGTCTCAAAGCATACTTTTGTCACGAAAACCTCTGTGAAAGTCAATGGTTGCTATAGCAACGTGCCTTTTATTAAGGCTGTCAGATATATCAAAATCGTGTTTCTAATTTTTTGTACAGCTTACCCGTGCAACGTTAAAAATGTTTGGTCCAAATAACCAATCCTGGTTGCCGATTATTAACAACATGCGTGTTAGGCTACACACGACAAACAAAACGTTGTTGATCTCGCTACGTACCTCTCATGAGAAAGCCGGAAGCCCCTCCCCCCTACATGGTAATGGCGACAGAAACGCGCTTGTTCGGGATGGGGATATTGTTCCGGCAGTTCAGGGGAGTCTGAGATATGAGATACACAAAACGATATAGGGGAGATAATAGATATAAACAAAAGCTAGTGACGATGATGATGACGATACACGCTACACCATTGAGGAACCAACTACTACTACGATTATGACTTATAGATCTATCAACTAATTGGGAAGATATTAGAGGGGAATAGTAACTGGTAAAGAAAATCGGTGCGAAGAGCTGGGTGAGTCGCTAGAGAGACGGCTAGTGTAGATAATAATCATAATTAAAAATAGTAATTATAGCAGAAGAGAGTGACACGATGCCGCTGGCACTCTTTAACACGATTACCACTGACAGTGTGACATTTTTTTCGGCAATTTCGCGTTTGCTGCTACCGAACTTGTCGCTGACTTTCTAAATGAGGATAATTTGTGATACGGGAAAAACATGATAAGAACCGACAACCCGGCTTGTAAGCTGAATATAAACACTAATATATAATTAATATATACTAGTTACGTTTGACAGAAAAGACACGAAACTAGAAAGTCAACGATATGCGCGCAAAACGTTGTGTGTTTAAGATATCTGTAGTTTTGGGGGTAAAGGAATTGTTTTTAACTACTTCTATTAATGATGAAAGTGTGTCATATATGATGCATGAAATGCAGAGACACGTGATAGGACAGGTAGGACAAAGTAGGTACGTGCGAGGACTGGGTGACGGGTTATAACGAAGATGATGACCATGATGATAGTTACAATGGTTGAACAGAACAAAATCGATAGCCAGACAGATAAAAAACGGAATGTTGCGGCGCACATCGAGGTAACGATGGAGCGGCACCAGCGACTTTGTATCGATTTACGATGACATCCTTCAGATAAGACTATGGATGTTATTTCTGCTAATACGAACCGCTTTAAGGTGAAGCGCGCTTTGAATCCGCAGCTCAATCAGCTGCTTCGTGTCGCACTAACCTGAGCAAAGCTGATGCAACCAACCTAAATCCTTTGGATAATTCAATAATAGTAATCATAGATACAGCTATAGAAAGGGAGTGCTACTAATGCTTGGGTTGGGGCTGGGGGGCATGGTTGCATCATTCTGGGCCTTTAATGACCACACGTTGTTAACGAAGTCGCTCGTGCTTCAGGTTCAAGTTTAAACGTTGACCAGCAAAAACCATTCTAGTTCCCTTCTATTAACAAATTAATTCCCTATTGACCACAATCGCAAATCCACTTGACAGCCGCCGACAAAAAGCACCATTAGTCCTGTGAGAAAGGTCATTCCTGTTTTATCTCCCGCTTAGTATTTTGTATATTCGATTTTTCGATCGGAGGCCGTCCGATCCGACAGCGGAATAGAGCGATTGCGTCGAACCAATTAGCGTCGTCCCCGAGCTGGTCTGGATGCTGGTTTTGGATGGTGTCCATATTGTGGCTTGTAGCATACGCGCACAATGGCACATCAAATGTCATGTCAATGGTTTAAATCGAAAATGTCAGTGGAAATGAGTGTCATTTTGTTGTGTCATATAGTTGATCGTTGATTTACAATATAAAGGTACGGACGAGACTGGTGATGACGGATTACAGAAGACCGACACAACTACTATTACAACTTTTACGGCTACCGTCGTTAGGTGATAATTAGATAAGTGTGACAAATATAGACGTTCTCAAGCACGAAACACCCGCATAGAAATAGAAAGGGGCTAAAGTAGTTGCGTTTACAATTTAAAGAGACGTGCACGGTTTCCGAGTAACGTTTTTTGCGTCAATTCTTCCGTTCGTTAACTCTTCTGCCTCTACCGAGCCGAATATAAAAGCAACACCCACGCATCAGTGAGATACGATGAATCCATGATTATTCTAATGATATAGAACGAAACGTAAAATATATCACATTATCGATGGTCGCGATGATGAACCCACTCTGATTATCAAAGAGAAAACAATGTCTAGCAGACTTATGATAAGAATATTGCCGAAACGCAAATATCAAAGCAGAGAGAAAAAGGAAGCTTTATTACAACTTCGGACGAAATGATTGCGTTTATCATATTTATGTGTAACGCCCGACTGAATGATACAAGGAGTGATGAAGAGCAAACCGACAAATACGAATTATGAATTAAAGAAGATCACAATAATATTCATATATGATTATAAGGAAACAATAATGGCAAACAAAGAGATGTATCTATATACACATTTAATACATTTATATATAAATATATATACATGTACACCGATTGCAGCTGCTGTACCTTGCCTTGAGATCTCATTTGAGTCCGGATGACAGAATCAGGCATGATCATACGCTAGTACTACTTCTATTGCTACTAAAGATAAGCGGCGACTTCAATAAGTAAGTTCACAGACTGTTCTGTGCGTTGAGCGTTCGCCCAGATTTATGCCGGCTGTCCCGGACTGGATTAGACACGGACTAAGTTTGAGTGATGGTGGTCAATCAGCGATCATGGTCAATCGTTCATTCATTCATTCATTGACATTGATAGCAACAACAACAACAACAACAACAACAACAGAAGCAGTAAAAGAGCACGAATAGGATAACAATGAGGTCAACCGACGGCAGAGAACAACGCGTAAACAATTTGATAGATAAGCAAAGAAAATCACGACGGCGAAACAGGCGACAACGTCAAGATTTACTTGGGATGGTGTCAGCAACAAGACTGGAGTTGATGATGGGGTACTTACAAAGATATGGTTTGATTAAATTTTTTTGATCTACTGAAAAAAAAACCTGAGAGGCAAGGGTACCTCTTCTGCCTATTATCTTATCACTTCGTCCAATGCTGAATTAAGCATCAAGCAAGATTTACTTCATGAGCTGGCTATGCTGATGAAAGATGACGACGAGGTATGCCAGGTAAGCCACTTTTGCTGACGAGAAAGCTTAGAGTCTAAGAAGGGCCGTTTTTGATTCGTACGACGACTGCAGGGACGAGTACTAATGTCGAAGCTGTTTATCAGGCTGCCGCTACTGCTGTCAATATTGATGAGCTGGAAAAGAGGAATTACACCTCCGGGCTTCTTTTGCGAGTTAGTCGCGAGTCAATTGGTAATAATTTGCAATGGCAAATCAAAAGATAACAGAGAATGCGCTCAATAGTACTACGACGCGGAAATTTGTAGTCCCAGACGCTGAATGATGTAAGAGACCCTATAGCTACGTAGCGGTGGTATCATCAATCGAGTCGGTGGTAGGGAGGCATACGGGGGATCCAGGTAGACGTTAGCTGAGGCGAAAGATGGAGGTCAGAGGTTGGGGGAAAGCAGAAACGTAAAGGAAAAAATAAAGTGGAAGAATAATAAAATGAAGATACGGATGATGGTGATGAAATGCGAGTGAGTGAATGGCCGAATGGTGAGTGATGATCGTATGCATCGCTGGCGGTGTCGGGTTCGGTTGCCGGGCGGGGCGTCATTTCTTTGCTGCACTGAACTACGGATGCTGTTATATCACTAACAGGATCAGTTGGAAAAGTGGGATCAGTCAGTCAGCAGCGACCTCAAAAATGGTAACAACAACAAGGGAACATCATTGAAAGAAAGAGGAACGGGCAGGTTCAGGTATAAGCAGCCGCAGGATATAGCCGCTGCTGTATGATGAACGGCAACAGCGACCATAAACGAAATAGCCTGAACTTATGACTGACTAAGTGTCAATCGGTTCCGAGAAGGTCGATTCGTGTAAAGATGATGCAAGACTAAGTGACGACGAAGGCCAGACTGGCTATTCTATATCCTCGATGACAGTAAGTGATCGTATGTAAACCATGTGTCCATTCATTTCGCGGCACTGCGTAGCGTCACGGCTGGGCTAAGAGTTGGCTGCTTTTTGCCAAAGAAGACTTGCACGTTGGATGTTACTCTCTTTCTCGGAACCATGCCCGAGCATCACAGGGCGGGCACCCTGTTCTTATTACGTGCACACATACTTTAACGTGTCCAAGCCAGCGTGTCGGGTCGTGTCGTTTTGGGTATGCGTATGTCATCCATCGTTTGCTATACAAGAAACAAAGGAAGCAATGTTTTCTTACCTGGAACGCCCGTCGTGGTCGCACTCTTCTGCCCCCTGAAGGGCGTGAACGCAAAGCAATCCCTCATTTATAACAACAATAGCACGTGCGCACACCAATAGTTCCCACACGTTTTGACGTAGGGTTTTCACATAAACGAACTCCCATTCTGATCGCAAGGAGGGGGCGCGACGCCCTGAACTGTCCGAGCTGCACTGTCTGGCCACCAGGTGGCGCCTGTATCGATGCTCAACCCAACTCAACTCAAGCGAACATCAAGAACCAAAAATCCAGAACAAGAACCAGATAGCAGTTAACAACAAGAACTACAACTAATGAAGTACGAGCAAACAACGGAACTATATATATATATGTATAACTAACATGGGTGGTGTTTTTGACTTTTGCACAAGACTTTTTATAACGGATGTGAATCACAGTAATCTCTACATATATACATTAAAATATATCTTGTCCCTTTTGTACCAGCTGATAGCCGTTTCAAGTCTCTTTCTTGTAGGCTTGCAACTGAGAATGGCTTGCCGAAGGTCGGCGAAAACTTGGCGTCACGGAACTGACTTCTCGTGGATCGATCCGGAGAAGCTCAACAGACGCGACTGCTTTTCTGGACACGATGAAAAGAAAACATAGCCTTATGTCTACGGAATCAGTTGCGGTTTCGTGATGGATAAGACTTCATCGATGACATCGAACTTGATGCGTAGTGTGAACTTTCGACACCAGAGGGAAACAGAGGGCTTTCATAGAACAGATGCACATTCCTTCCGAAACATAACGAGATCTTCTCGAAACTAGCTGAGGAGGTTATCGCTGTCAGATGAAGAATCTCTTTGAAGTGACACTCTTGACTAAATTGCAACCATATCTTAAGGAGGAATCATCTACCACCTTCGCAGCCGAGACGTCACTTGCCGGCTATTGAGGTTGAGTACGACCGGCGACCTTTTACGGTCTAGAGAGGCACGAAGTTGTCATACGATACAATACAACGATACCAAACGTCACCCAATGTGCCTATCAGCTGTTTTCCCCCGAAAGTCTCTTCTTCTGATCACGTGTCTATTAGGAAACGCCTGGAGCTGAGTTGACCCTTCGGGGACGACGGAAGCCTGTGCCGAAGGTTCGTGGCCTCGTCCAAAAAGCGGAGGGACTGTTTTTCTTGGCTGCCATTACGCGAATGGCCACAAGTTCCGTCATTGTATATCCTATCTTGTTCTGTTATGAGTTTTTTTTTTTTTTTTTTATAACTTTCCTTAACTTGAAGAAGTTTGGCTCACCAAGCGGCGTTAAAAGTCTTGCCCTATTTGCCCCCTGTCGAGGATTTCATAAGGTTATATATTGGTGGTAATAAATTTAAATTACTACTTCGGAAACCGGTGTAGCTTGTTGGCTGTGATAGTGACGAAAAAAAAACGACAAGAGCGCTTATATAAACAGAGCTGTGAAGAATGAGTGATGAATCTGCTTAGATTCGGTCATAGAATGAAGACGGTGTTAGAAACATCCAGAACTAGAATAGCTTTGACGACTGAATCGGAAAATCCTAACAAATTACCTATATAACCTATTAATGAAGAGTCGTAGATTTACATATATACGTAGCAAATAGGGGTTTAAATTTGACGTGGTCCAGTGAGGGGGATGGTAAACTAAAAAAACGAGCTTGAGCAGAAAGATGTTAAACAAGGGTCGTGTCACGAACAGTCACGACAAGGGGCCATTCCTAGGTCTTTTTTGCAATATAAAGGAATACTACAGCAGAGAACAAAAGATGGGTTTTTCGGACACGTAAGCTGAGCCGCCTCTATAAAGCCGTTGTTTTGTCAGGTGCCGCTAATCATTTTTGCTGTCTCACGGCATTGTGAGCTCGTTATTTTGTAATAATAACAGTAGTGATAATTATTTCATCATGAAAGTGATGCGATACCCCATTACGACGCCAAGTTTATAGACCATGTTTTGCGTTGTCTGCCGTGTAAAAAAAACCATCGAAAACATGAAACACGACGAAGCATACAAAATGTTATGTTGAGCGCTATTTTTTTTAGTATTGTATTCAAAATCAATATTTTCTTTCACAAGATATTATTTGTATACACCGACATACTTATATAAAATCAAACTTTAAGAAGGAAAACATAGAATGAGATGACAACCGACTTTTCTCTGATATGAGAGACACAGAGAAATATATATATATATAGTTCGTGTGTAAAGAGCCAAAAAAACGCCGTGTATACAAACAAAATGAGACAAATGATGCAAAGGTTAGCAAGCTGTGATATATTTCCTCAATAATAACAATAAGTGTAACTAAATATTAAATGTACTATTATAATAGAAATAATAATAAGTACTATATCTGCATCTCGAATGCCTAACATCCGAATGAACCTAATTTACCTAATTGTGTGGCCGAACCGAAACGAAAACCGCAAACAGAATGGGAAAAGTATCTTCTATTTATCGAACGGAGTGTGTCGGTCTACCGACAACGAACCGACTTGCTGTCTACGTAGTTCAAGGTTAGGAACGAGGTTAAGGTTGAAAGGATCAAGGGTGAAGTTAGGATAAAAGAATATTCCCTTATTAAAGAACAAACGTACTAATATAAAGCTGTAATCATCATCAACGCCGTCAATACGAAAAAAATATCTAATCCACATAAAAAAAACTCACACGAATAGAGAACACGCATTGAGTACTGAGTGTGAGGAAGAATGATCTTTGGACGTGTGCGTGTTGCCATGAAATCCAAGAAAACGGTTGCAGTTATCTGTAGTGAGTCGCGAGAGGTTAAGTGAGTCTGATCATAAGAACAGGAATAGCGCCTAAGTTCGTAATGCGCTGAGCTTTTCGATGGCGCAATCACGAGAACCATTAACGGTTCACTTTTTGATAAACTGGTGGGAAAGATAGCTCCGAAAATGATTTAGTTGATAATCGAATCCTGGTTACGTCAGAAAACTGAGCGAGATTGCTTCGAAGACACCGACTAGCTAAGATAGGAATATGTTAGTAGCCATTTAGGCGACGGGACTGAATTCTGTTTTGATTTTACACGATTACCACTCAACTATCACGGCAGACTTGACCGCGTTATCAACAATCACGACGGCAAATGTCGTACTTGGGAAAAGTAAGCTTAGAATTGAAACGAAACTGAATCTGATCATGCGAAGAGCTCGAGTCTGACCATACTGGTTCCGACGACCGAAAATTAAGTCTATAATAATCTAGAAAAAGGACGCCAAGACGATATTTAATAACAATAATGATTTCAACCCAAGATGACACACAGGAAGGGCACGGTAAGAGGTCCGCAAAGTAACGGATCTACATCGTATATACAATAATCGGACAACAACAATGACAACTCTATTTGCGCCTCTACAGTGGCAGAAATCTGCGCATGTGTGTGAATGTCTGTGAACGATGATGTCTGGTTGGCGACATTATCAGTCGTGGGTGGTAACCGAGTTTTTTGCTGCCTGCAGCCAGTGAATTCGTGTAAAGATGCATAATGGTACACTCGTAGGTAGATAGCAATATATCGTCAGTATGTATATATATATTTCTGGAATTGAATTTGTTCTGCTGCGTAGACCTTCTCATGCGAGTCGAGCGTATATACATACATATTATATATACAATAATACAGTAAACAAAAGTAAAACTGATGAAAATGGTCTCCCCCGAAGCGAGAGGGCTATACATGCGTCTCTCTTTGACGCCGTGCTATCGCTATGAGTATCGTCGGAGAGAACATGGTGAGATGACAACAACGACAACAACCACAGCAACAACAACAACAACAACAATAACAAGAACCACAAATTGAACAACAAATGAGTAGCAACAACATCAACAACTTTAATAACAAAAAACAACAATTATTGTAACATCAACAAAGCAACAGTTAAAAATGACGACAGCGTCGATCAATCGACGACAACAACAACAACAACAACAACAACAACAACGATAATGACAACAACAAAAAAATAACAGAAAAATAAAGTGAGCGAGAAAAAGATACAATATCATTATTGATAGTAAGTGCTTGTTGCATAAACAATAAAGTATAACACAGCCACAAGTGTATTATCACTAATATCATAAAAATAGCACCCAATTCTACTCTAGTAACAAGTATCTTGAGGTCAGTTATTTTTTGTTTTTAATATTGGTTTGTGATGTGTAATAACATGCACCCACAGGTGAAATAATATCATGCAACTGGAATACAAATACGCAAATGTTTCTAAGTAGAATGGAAGAAGTCGCCGAGAGAAGACACTGGGTTTGCAACAATTTTGTTCCCTACACACAATCAAACGAAGCTAATAGAGCAAGCGTTTGTTTACCCTTGAACACATGCTGCTCGAAATCAATTGGGCCGGAATTGCTATTCCTTTTTTGTAAGCAGCATCTGCCCAAAAGTTCTTCTTTTTGTGGAAGCTCAAATTTTCAGAAATCCAGTTTTAATTCTTTCCAATTTTTTGTGCAGTGTAGTGCTAATTTGCGGTTCTTCCGCGGCTTGTACAGTATCTCACTGCACTTCTTATGTATCGATTTTTTCCCTACGAAAAATGGGGACTACCTAACGTCACCCCTTACAAGTCACGCCCCTTAGGATATGACCACACATAATACATTTAGTTCTAGATGAAATTACAACATTTTTGGTGATGGACCAGTGGACCAGCGGTTTTCCGACCTATTTTCTCATCGTAAAGGTCCTCTCGTTGGAGAAGAATCCAGGACGACCGAATGATTTGTGCTTAACCAAAATTAGAGCCTTAGAGAGAGTAGTGCGGCGAAAGCGTCTTTTCACCTTCGCGTTTTCAGAAAATGCTTCTTTGACTTTTCTAGTGAACTTTTGAGGCGTGTTCTTGCTGTTAACCTTCCGCACTGGCATATGGGAGTCATTCCTGGGCTCTTCGAAAGCCGCATTTAAGTGGCAAGAGCACAAATCATCGGTTTCATGAAACCAGACAAGTAGGAAGTCGCATGAACGCTGCTTCCGGTGTGAACACATTTGACAGTAGCCGATCTTCGGTCATATTCTGAAAGCGAACCCTCTGCCTATAGCACAATGAGTTTATAATTTTTATTCTATAACGATCTAGCTTTCTTCCTGTACCAATATAACGGATAATTATATTCCTACTACCACTATATACAGTCCATAAAAATTTGTCTTAATTTATACCGAATGTCGTATATATACATAGCAAAGGAAGCAGGTAGATAGCAGCTGAGGGGGGAAGTTGACAGAGAATGGAAACGAGCATCAACAATACACAAATCTTGCGCATACAAGCAAAACATTCGAATATCACCTTAGAGAGTAATAGGATATTAAAAAGAAAAGAAAAAATGAAATATGGATGACAATTGATAACAAAATGGACCTAGAATTAGCGCACAGTCGGCTGAGATTGCGAACGGCTACAAAATGAGAGAAAGAAATTATTTTGTATCGGAATCTTGCGAGTATTGTTGTACCAGGACAATTTTCTATAAATTAATAAAGACGCAAGTAAATGTATAATTACGTATGCGCGTACTGTGGATTAGGTATGAACCAACTTGTTGATGACCCTCTTGGAGGTTAGGGCTACTTCAGGCCCCGCAAAGCAAGTTCGCAATTGAAACAGAGACATTAAGAAGGAGCTGAGGAAGTGATTAGAAACGATAATACAAACACGAATTATGGATGTATTAAGCAATGGGTGGATAGTCAATGAAAAGAATTAGGAAGATCTGCGACGTATTGGTCAAACCCGCCAAGCAGATGGCGTGTTACTCGACCTCTTCCGGGACTAAGATGTCAACACTAAATTATCTGTTATTGGAAGTAGATGAATAGAGAGCAAAATGGCGATCGTTACGCTTAAAACTAGACTTTATTGGGCAGCGAGCTTTTTTCATAATCATTGAGATTGGCAATTCATTATCCATCTTGTCATACTACTGTATATTGTCGATAGTGAGTCAGCAGTTGATACGTGCTCGAGCACATTTAATCCAGTGTGTTAGGATGGTAAAATTAAAAAAAAAAAAGAAAAAAAAAGAAAGACTTGCAAAGCGTTTCGCAGGATAGATTTCCTTAAGCTAAAGCTGATTAAAGGGAAAATTGGATAAGTATAATCATTATCTGGTTCAATGCGTGGAAAGTACAATTGGCACAATTAAACTAAGCGATTAAAACCAGAGCAGAAAATTAAACTTGAAAATAGACGCGGCCTGAATTAAGGCTTAAATCAGGAGAACCAATGTGAGACGAATTGCACATATATACATGCATAAACAAACCAACAACTAATAATAATAATAAACACAGTAGAATACCGTTTTCTTTGAAATACATAGGTGTCTTTTTTACGGATGTATGGGTAGGTCGGGCGAAAATTAACGCGAAGGTAAAACAGATGATAACATCTGTAGGGAAGACCTGAATAGCACTGATAGATGAAGTTTTATCTAATGTCATCGAAGAATATGACCTCTTGCCGTAGTGATCGTGATTGCGTAGTATAAATCTGTTCGTATGTGGTAGATGACTTCTGTTTTAAAGTCTTTCATTATACTTTATTCCGTTCTAAGGATGTGATTTTTTGTCTCAAGGGGTCAAAGGTGATTGGTCCCCGGTGTGACATGGGTGGGATTAAAAACGCTACACTAAAACCACTTTTCATCTATGGTCCGATCGATTATGATGTTTGTTTAGGTTATTAGGTTAGCCCCCTTTTGATTGCCCTCTTATTTCATAGCAGTTAAAACGAAATTGTGTAAAAATGACTCTGTTTTTTTCCATATTTTTAAATTAAATCAGTTAAACACTTTGTTGAAAAAGAATATTTACCTATCAGTAAAATTCGAAAAATGATCCTATTTATAATCTCTGAAATTGAATTTCATAGGAAACACGAACATTCGGCTTTGTACAGATACTAGTCACTTAAAATGTTTAGTATGTGAAAGCCAAGAAACGGCAAAGGTTCTAATTAATTTGGGCCAATTACGCTAGATCATAGTGTCTGTGTGCGTGCTATTTTGCCATTATAACGCTTTGTTTCCATCATCTTTTCTGGTCGTGTTTTGGTGAATGTTCTGACTTGCTTGTTGTGTCGATGAGCAGTAAACATATCCCTTAGGAACAAGGAAATAGAGAAATAAGGAGCTGCGCTGCTGGCTTATAACTGTTTCCCTATAGGTGCATACCATATGATAGGTGTACGGTAGGGGAAATCATACAGTTTCTTTAATGGTCAAGTTGAGGATGTAATCGATGATTCCTCTTTTTTCAGTCCATCAATCGATTCTTGGATATATCGTTGGTATACAACACGTAATTGTTCTTTTTTTAGTCTGTTCAAGTTGAATCCTAAGTGGCTTTGTTTTATCTGCATTTTTTCGGCTTCTCACTAAGCCATTTATTGGCTTAGTAAGAGGCCGAAAAAATTATTTATTAATTTCTGTTACATTGCTTCTCAGTCCGTCTTTTTCCCTATTTGTAGTTAGGGTATCCGTATAGTTTTAACACAACTGTTCGTGAAGTGTCCTGTCGGTAGTGCCAGTATCTTTCTTCGGATTTCCTTAATTTATTTGTCAAATCTTAGATTATCTGGCACAAATTATCAAACTATTTAGAAAAATTAACTGTTCGAGAATGTGCTATCTTCATTTTGCGGGAAAAGCTATCTAGAGGATCTTTGCACCCTGTTTGAACAAATCAGTGTTTTAACACATTGTATAGCTTACTCAAGAAGTCGACGTCTTACATCAATTTTTTGATGGCTACAGTAAACGCAGTTCATAGAGGAAATCGAATGAGGGGAAAATGTCAGTCGCCAAGCGATGTTAACGAACATGATATGGTAAGTTATAACTATATCTCTATATTAAATGTAATTTACAGGTTATGATTATTATACTACTTGATTTCTTCTGTACAACGAAGTCTAAGCTCTTTAGCGTTCCCCTATATCACTTTCAGACTTTAACAAATTTGAACGATTTTTACGAATTGGCCATCGGGAACATCATCGCGCTCCATCATTAAACTAACATGAATCAAAATGACAAGCTTCATTTTGCCAAACAGAACTTATTTCGTTGACGGCTTGTTTGTAAACGGTTGCCCCAAGACAGTTACTCCGAACTACGCGCTATGATTACTAAAATTCACTGAGCAACCTATGGCCGCTAGGGGGCGTCGTGATTTGAAAACAATCACTACTGGCGCACAAGTTAGTTCGTCGTTTGCGGGAATCGCCAGTTTCAGACTCGGTCTTTTTCTATCTTGTTTTGAGTGTCTGTTTTTTCCTCAGTCTATCCGATTCTCAGATCACGATTGCGCCGTAATCAGTGGAACATGGCATGGTTCAGCTTTTATCACAGTCATAGATTTCGTTTATGTCTGTATATTTAGGTATATTCAGTAATCATGCTTGTTTGCGCTTACCATACAAAATACGGAAATTCTGTTGATGTTCAATCAACAAATATCCAATTCTATAACGAGTACTGGACACCGTTGCGAAGACAACTTCGATGTTCGTTACAGCCACACGCGTTTTTTTTGTTGTTACAATTTGACCTACTGATCGAAGAATGATTACACCAGATGAAGATACGGCTTACTATGATGCGCTGACGGATAAACTCATCGATCCGTTGGCCACCCATTGACTTGCGCTGGCAAAGTTACTGATGTTCTCAGTTAGTTCAAAGCGAGCGGCAAGATGGCTTAGAGCACGGCAACAAGTTCCCCTTCAGCTTCTGTCGCGCGTATTTACAAATCTAGTCATTGAAAACTGTCGATTCTCAGACCGACGAAAAAAGAAATTCATTATTATTATATCATATTATGAACCGAAATGTTGTTCTTAGCGACATTTTCTTCTTACTGTTGCGTTTAATCAGTGCAAGTATCTATTTATATAGTAGTTAGATATATCTTTTCGTAAAAATTGGGCAACACACATTTGAGAATATCTGTTGATACCTATGTTATATCATTTCGTATCGCTATCTGATCTGTCTTGCTATCGTTGTTGCATACATTACCTCTATTCTAACATTTTACAGTACTTGTAAATACTTAGCATGTATTCTGGCCTCTCACTGGACAATTGGTCATTTGTATTGATTCAAATCGCTGTTTCTACTCAACCTCTCTTTCAGCAAAGCTGCTCTATTCCATTATCCCTAAACCGTAATGGCTAAGTTCATCTGTTATAATATCCATAATATATAATAAAATGTCTAATTGAAAATTATTGGCCATTATTGAACTTTATTAAACTCCATTCATTGACAAACAATGGTACCTAGATATGGCACGACGATCATCTTGGCGAATTTGAGCGCCACTTAATTACGTAATTCACAAGCAGATCCTTTAAAACAGATAACAGCTTAAATCTAAATAGAAGTTATCGTACTTAGACATAGCCTCACGGTACCATTTTCAATGTTACCATACGGTTTCAAGTGACGTCATTCTAGTAGATTCTCTTCTTTTGTCCGTATCGTGTCGATGCTATGTCCAGAAGGCGGTGACATGCTCGTGCAGTTTGTGACTACATCGTGCCCGTGCTCAAGAACCACAGCAATACGAAATCAAGAATTGAGAAAGATACGAAAGAGCGCCTGATCGGCACCTGAAGCCTTAGCTTCTGCGTTGTCATTTCATCGCGTAATTGAAACTAGTCGATTTATCCGGTTTCTTGTCCATTACGTAACTGGCCCCTAACGATAGCAGTACTACGTATTGTGCTTAAGTAAAGCAAGCGGGACCCTATACGCGGCCATTTTTCACACGGTCAACGGACGCGTTCGATTCTATAGAGCTAATCGATCAGTACCACAGCATGGAGAGAGGCTAAAAATAGAAAATTTTTATTTTGAAGTTGACTTTGGTGGTAGAGTCTTGATGTTTGATGCGGCGGCTATCGTCGGTTTGTAGCAGCGAATGGCGAAACGTCATTTTTTAGTGCGTAAAGGCATACTTACAGGCGTGTATGCAAGAGTCGACTATGGTTTGATCTAGACGTAAGGTTTTAGTCGTTGAAACCGCTTTGCTCTAAAATTTTGAAGTAAATAGAACTATACATAGTGTTTAGGTAATCTGCAAGGAAATAAAACACTGTGCAGCATTGTTCCATCTATAGATTATTTGTAGGGAACCATTCGTTTCTGTTGATTTACTTTTATGCTCAAACAATTAGCATTCGGGGTTCCACCAATAGGGAATATGAAAATCCAGATTTAATGGTCAGGTAAAACTAGAGATATGGCAAAATTTTGTGGTACGTTTTGCATGTTTCATGATGGTAGTCGATATCTTATTTCAGATCGTCCATTGTGTACGGCCGAAGTCGGCCAGAACGAACGTGAGTAGTAATTATTGTGTGTATAATAACTTTTTTTCTTTTTTTTTTTTAATTTACACAAATACTTTTTATTTATTTATATGTTACACAATCCAATGTGTTACCGTCAGAAATGTAGTGTTTAGTCTCTTGAGCGAATGCAGCAAATCAGTGCCTGTATAAACCTTTATAAGCTTTGTCCCTTGTGAACTTTATAATTTCTTCTGCTTTGTCGCCAGGCTGAGGATTCGATTGGGGCTTATTACTATTGTTATTATACTTTATGATCACATTTGAATACGTCTAATGTAGAATATCATGTCGCTTTCAGCATTTCAGCTGCATTAACAGTAAACCAAGTTTCTAATTGGTTAAATTCTCTCGTTGATCGCTCTAGCCTATATAATTATTGCAAGCAAAAAGCGCTAAAGTCGAATCTATACTTTTGTTTTTGCTGGCCATTTATTCGTGACAAAAAAAACAATCCGTTCAATGTCTGACGTGTAAAAAAAAGCAGACATTTCTTTTTTGTTTTTATTTCGCTACTGAGCAGCTTGTTGTATACAACAGAGATAGGTCAACATGTCGCTAAATCAATATATATATATATATATATATATATATATATATATATATGTATATATATATATATATATGTACGAAAATGGGAATACGTCAGCCTAAGCATCGTTTC